ACTTACACTGTACTGTTGGGTTAGAAAGAACTGGGGGGTCAGCCTGGTAGTAGCCTAGAGCATTCCTATTTTCATGTACTATGGTTTATGCACAGTTGAGTTACTGTCTATACATTGGTATGCTGTGCCAGGGTGAAATTCCAGCCTGCATGTCCGTTTTTCACCTAACCCAACCGTTCTTCAGCACCCCACAGTACAGCTATCTGTACTCTTGATGATGTAACCATGCACTGGTCATGTGACTATAGTATAGATATTCAGACAGACCGTACACATATACACACACGAGTGCAGTGTAGCTGGCTCAAACGTGCAGCGACGTACAAAACAACAGTAAATAGATGGTAGAGTGTTGATTGCTGTTGCAGGCAAGAACAAAAAGGATAGATTCAATAGATTGGAAAGCTTTCAGTATGACAGCAGGCAAGGGGTGACGGGGAAATCACTGATCACGGTAAACTCACGTCATCTCAATAAAAATGATACGTATACGGCGGCGGAGGCAGCAGGCGATGGAAAGTAACCCGGTGCATGATTCACTACGTGTACTATGCTGAAGATGCTGAGAACAAAAACACACAACACACGCCAGCCACACCACGATGGTGTGTGCAGAGCAGTAAAACTGAACATGGGAGGGAGATAAAGTGTGTACTGTGTTGCCATGGTACCCACTGCTGCTGCAGCTGTACATACAGATATTACAGGTATGTTAACAGGAGAATGACGTCATGTCTGCTGCTAGTAATACTATTAGTCTTGAAGTAATGATGCGCTTACTTGCTTACAATAGGTCAGGAATACTAACACATATTCATAAGAACACAACACACACACATATATATACTATAAACAGCACTTGAGAACATACACACACACACACACACACACACACACACACACACACGCACACACACACACACACACACGCACGCACGCACACACGCACACTGTTCTTCAAAGACGTAAAACGAAATAAAAGAGCCCACAGGCGTTGCACGCAGAGTACACTCGACATGTTAGCAACACAACGCATCAAATGTTCTTGTCATCACTGCAGCTTGATTGCTCGTGGAAAGACCACGTGGCAATGAACACACACATACACAAGAAGTGTGTGTGTGTGTGTTTGTGTGCGCGCACGCATCATGCCAGAGGTCGTACGGCGAATAAAACAGATTGTGAGCGGCTGGATGGAATCAGGTCACTGCTACTGGAGCATTGTTGTATACTGGACTGAGGATACGGCGGGCTAGTAGGCAAGTTTGCTGCTGCTGACACTGCGTAAGTGGAGTTTTGCTGATCCTCTATTGATGGTGAGGGTGTACGACGGAGCAGTAACACTGTGCCTGGTGATGAACAGGGTTCATGCTCATGCTGCTGCTGCTGCAATTTGTCCATTTCGTCCAATGTAGCAGCAGCTGGTGGCATTGATGGTGGCAGCGACGTTGCTTCAGCCGTAGTGTCTTCTGGTGGCTGGATGCTCGATGGATGTGGTCCAAGGATGGTGACGGCGGCCACCATTGCACGGTGGCATATCGAGTCAAACGTCACTCCCAGCAGCCTACACACGTGTGCAAGAGAAGATACACACACACACACACACACACACACACACACACACACACACACACACACACACACACACACATACACACAGGCATGCACAGACACAGGCACAGTTTTACACACATGGATAGGACACAAGGATGACACGATAGGACGCATGGATAGCAACACAAATGGATAGCACAACACACATGCTGTTCACACGCAACATGTGCATACACATCATGTATGCACAAACATGGACAGGCACACTCAATGCTCACTGTCGAGTCGGGAGCGACAGGGACTGTCCCCGGTGGGTGTCTTCACCAGCCGTATTTCGTTAATTTATTAGTATGCTGACAATGGCCACACACACACACACACACACACACACACACACACACACACACGCACACACACGCATGCACACACACACACGCACACACACGCACACTCACACACACACACACCTTTGACCATTGACGCCCATCGCCAGAGGCGATGATAGCGATGCTACGGCAGAAGCCATAGCAACTTGTGCTGGGATTGCACCATTCAACAGCTTGCAAGGCTGAAGAATTGACCGTCACTATTCAGCCTGGTCTACACCATACAGCTATTTGAAGTGACATTTTCTGGCCAGTGAATCCCTGTTTTTGGTCTTTTTTCTTCTTCTTTTCTTCTTTTTTCTTTTTTTTCCCGCACACACATCACACCACATACTCCGGCATGCACTGGCTGTTGGTAACCACCCAGGAGAATGAAAGAAAAGTCAGGAAGAGTCTGAGAAAGAAAAAAGACGTGTGTGACCATAATCGTCGGGAATCGAACCCGCAACCTATCGATTGGAAATCGCTGCACATACCACTGCACCATATGGGACACACACACACACGCACACACACGCATGCACACACACACTCACACGCGCGCACACACAAGCGCACACACACACACTTACCGAAGACAGACCAGCTCCAGCACTGCCGTGACAACAATCACAGTATACTTGGCCAAGTCATGGAACGGAACATGTTTAATCACAAACGTCACTGTGATCGGCATGGCAACGATAACACAAATGAGTAATGACGAGCGTAAACCTTGCCTACAATAAAACACCGGACAGAAACCAACAACTGATGAATACACAGGGGTGGACGTCATGGTTGAGAGAGAGAGAGAGAGAGAGAGAGAGAGAGAGAGAGAGAGAGAGAGAGAGAGAGAGAGAGAAAGAAAGAAAGAGAAAGAGAGAGAGAGAGAGAGAGAGAGAGAGAGAGAGAGAGAGAGAGAGAGAGAGAGAGAGAGAGAGAGAGAGAGAGAGAGAGAAGAGGCACAGCGAACTAGAAAGCAAAAACTGAACACAGAGTGAGCAAGGCAAATGCTTACATAGTTGTGCAGGAGAATTTGAAGCGTCGAGTTCGGTCAAGCACGTACTGAACACGTAACATCAGCACAAGAGCACACACACACGCACCGTACACACACACACACACGCACCGTACACAAGAACACTCATTAAAACTAATTTCATACTGAGCCTGAGTACAATCATGATGTAGATCTACATGATATTGTACTACTGTTCCCAGCCACTATACTACAGTACAGTACAGTACAGTACAGCACTGCACTGTACTGTACTGCACTGCACTGCACAGCATTGCACTACACTGCACAGCACTGCACTGCACACAGTGCACACAATTTACGTCCAGGGAATACATGACACAATTGTAGAGATTTGGACAAAAACAGGTGATAACTGAAAACAGGTGGTTGTTGAAACCAAGTGGCCACGAGACTACTTGGCAGCAGCGGCAGTGGACAAGAGTATCATCAATGTACAGACACTGCCAGTCAGTACTCCATAGTATCATCAATGTACAGACACTGCCAGTCAGTACTCCATAGTATCATCAATGTACAGACACTGCCAGTCAGTACTCCATAGTATCATCAATGTACAGACACTGCCAGTCAGTACTCCATAGTATCATCAATGTACAGACACTGCTGGGTCAGTACTCCATAGTAATCTGATAAGACGTACCCCCAGGATGGGCAGTAGGAAAGTGTTCTTTAAAAAAGTATCCAAGTTGCAGTGCCGCTCATCGGCTCATCCCCTAATTCAGCCGTGTCACTCAAGTTTGTGTCTTACATTATTTCACAGCCTAGTGTTGACAGGTCTAGGGCTGCACAACGTCCAGTGGCGTGTACTTGAGCAACGCCACGGGATTTCATTTAGCAACACTGTACTTCTTTGGGGCCGTCCACAATTATCCATCTTTTACACGAAGAGAAAAAAAGTTTTGTTTTAACATGGGTGGGTGGGTTAAGGTGAGTTTCGTTTCGAAAAATATTCATATGTGAGATATCAAGGCATTCTTGCTGTCAAGTCAATCTATTTTCCGTTCAGGGGGGTGGGTGGGTGGGGAAGGGTCCTAAGTAAACTTTTTTTCGTTTCGTGAAAATTATCGATAATGCCGGATATCCCCTTATCCCAACACACTTGAGTATGTATAAATATACTGGTGTGCTCCGGACACTGTGATGACTGCACAAAGCAAGAGAGTAGGTATGTCTTTATCAGAGTACCGGTATGTACAAGACGTGTGTTCCACTGTACATGTACGGGAGAATATGTAATCGATTCTTGTCCACTGCTGCCACCAGCACCAGCACCGCCGCCGCCACCACCACCACCACCACCACCAGCACCACCGCCAGCACCACCACCACCAGCACCACCACCACCAGCACCACCACCGCCACTACCACCACCACCACCACTACCACCACCACCAGCAGCAGCAGCACCACCACCAGCACCAGCACCACCACCACTAGCACCACCACCGCCGCCACCAGCACCACCACCACTGCAGCACTGATACTCAGCAAACCTGCACTGATATCTCTGATAGAACATGGCTCTTGTAGTCTCAGGGCAAACGCTGCAGTACAAAGGGTCCCGGCCCCTCAAACAAAATGCAACAGCTACATTAGCCATAGAAATGCACGAGGAAGATAACAGCTGATGCAAAAGAAGAAGAAAAAAACACGTTGCATCTTGAGCAATTACACTCACAGGCTTCTTGCAGATGTCACACTGAGGGACCTTGCGCTGAGACAACTCTCCTTGCTGCTCATATCGACACAGACACACAGACACACACAAACACATACAGACACAGAGACACACACACAAACACAGAGACACACACACACAAACACACAGACACACACACAGACACAACACAAACACACACAGACACAAACACACACAGACACAACACACACAGACACAAACAGACACAAACACAGACATGGACACAGGGAAGCACAGAAGCACAGAACTTCATTTTAGAACGATGCACGGCTAGACAGACAACGTGCCAGCATGCTGACGTGCAATCAAAGTTAGTACCAAACGCAAGAATTCAACACAAGCTACAATGAACGGGCAATCAAAAGCAATCCTGCGCTTTGGTTTTCAAAGAAAACACACCATGTACCACACACACACACACACACACACACACACATCACTGATCACTAGGGTTATGCCATATCCCACACATCACTGATCACTGGGATAAGGAATATGATTATATCCCATGTCAGAGTGGTGAGCATGTGAACCAGGTATCACCCCCCCCCCCCCCCCCCCCGCCCTCTTTTGGGCGCCACACACACACACGCGCGAATCAGATATCCCCCCCCCCCCCCTTCTTCCGGGCGCCACACAGACACATACGTGAATCCAGGCGCGTCGGAACGACTTTGGAAGTGGGGCGGCCATGGAAGGGGGGTCCGGGGGTCCTCCCCGGGAAAAAATTTCAAAAATTAAAGCCAATTGCAAGCATTTCCGGGCATTTGGTGCCATTTCAGTGTACGGTAACTACAATGAAAGACTTTCTGATTCTGCAAAAAACCAAGAAGATGCTACAATCGGGGACAAACATTACCCTCCCCCGGGAAAAAAATTCAAAAATTGAAGCCAATTGCAAGCATTCCCATCCCAGGCATTTGGTGCCATTTCAGTGTACATGGACTTTTGATTCTGCAACAAACCACGATCGGGGACAAGGATTTGCCACGTTTGCGCTGAGATCACCGCGCTTTGTTGCAGTGTGCTAAAAAAAAAAAAAAAAAAAAAAAAAAACGGCCGAAAAAGTGGGGCGGCCCGGCCGGTGCGGTTCCGACGTCCTTGGAATCACATATCTCCCCTCCCCCCCCCCCCCCCCCCACCACCACCATGTACCCACATACTCTCTGCAGCTACAGTGCATAGAACTGCATTGTCTAGCACTGCCTACACTACCTGATGTCAGCTATCAGTACATTACACAGTCTAGCACTGCATACACTAGCTGATGTCAGCTATCAGTAAGTCATTACACAGTGTAGCAGCACTGGCTGATGTCAGCTACTACAGCACTGCATGTACAACACTACTAGTACAGTACATGACTGTATAACACTAACCTCCAGTAGCCATCGCTTCAAGCAGTTGTGATGCACAGCAGCCGTGCCTCCCTTGCAATCACACGGGCAGATCAACGGTCCGGACTCGCCACTTTCCACATCATAGCAAATCCAGCACTCAAACTCATCGGTGCTACATTGCTGCGCACGATTCGCTGTACATCGGTAGACATCATCAACACCAGGCAAACAGCATGGTTTCAGACACAGCGAAGCAAGAGAGGGGATTCAATCTGCCTCAGATACGCCAGACCACTACTACTATGTAGACAAAGAATTCAAGCTATCACTGTGCTGCAGGAGGCTAGTAGTGATAACAGAATTAGTGTGAATTAGAGACAGCAGGGTGCTCTGTCGCTCTCTTTCGTGAAACCGGGCGCTTTCGCAGCAGTACTTTCCACTACAGGACTGTCGGGCGCCGAAGAAAGGAGCGCCGGGAAATGACCAGGCTGGAATTTCACCAAGCAACAAGAACGGCCTAGGCTAGGAGGCTGACCCCCCCCCCGAGCTCTTCGTCGACCGATGGTACTGCACTGGTAGTCAGTTGGGAGTGTAGAGGTCTCTCAATCAAGCAGACTTGCAGGCTGTGCAGACACACTAAAGTCCTGGCCAGAGAAATTCAACCTCATGAATAAAGTAGCGCTGGCCTTAGCACCACACACACACACACACACGCACACACACGCACACACACACACGCACACACACACACTACCCTGCACACTTGGGTGCGGCGCTACTTTATTCATGATGCGGTTAAATTTCTCTGGCCTGACCTGTACACACTGTACACATGCATGGCTGATCACTTGCACGATAAGAGAAGATCAATTGCAGCAGAGCGAAACAACATTGAGCAAAGACTCTACAAGCTTCCTGCCATACCTGATACACGGCGAATGGTGCTACCGTAAGACCGTTGGTTCTCAGCCGATAAAGCGGCATACTGCAGAGAAGAAACCAAGAACAAGAACAAGAACAGCAGCAGCAGCAACAGCAGCAGAAACAACAGCAGCAGAAGCAGCAACAGCAGCAGAAACAGCAGCAACAGCAGCAGAAACAACAGCAGCAGAAACAACAGCAGCAGAAGCAGCAACAGCAGCAGAAACAGCAGCAACAGCAGCAGCAACAGCAGCAGAAACAACAGCAGCAACAGAAGCAGCAACAGCAGCAGAAACAACAGCAGCAGAAGCAGCAACAGCAGCAGAAACAACAGCAGCAGAAGCAGCAACAGCAGCAGAAACAAGAGCAGCAGAAGCAGCAACAGCAGCAGAAACAAGAGCAGCAGAAGCAGCAACAGCAAATGTTTCATTAGCTTAGGCAGAAGTAGAAGTAGTTTACACACAAGTTGTTTGCAGTTCCAATTTCCCGCATTTGTCCTCACAACTTCCCTTATTGGGCGGGTGTTGCTGTTTGAACCGTTCGCAGTGAGTTGACGACACGGCCGGGGAAACGTGAACTCACATGCCTGCCAGCATAACATTGGCGTAGTGTGTGAGACTGAATAGAGTCAAGTACACTCTTCTATCAAACTCAAACTCAAATACTAGTACTGGACCGTCAAGTAGCACAAGGGCTCCCCGTCTCGCCAGAACGCCCCATCTTGATTTTACAGCCAGGAAAAGGAAAACTGTATGGCAGAGTGTTACTAAGGGGCCTTCTGTAAATACCGATATCTATATAGAAACGAAAACTAGTCGTTTCTCTTCAACCCCCCTCCCCCTACCTAAGAAACGAACACATGCAAATGGTACATAGTATCGATATTTTTGGTCCTTTTTTCTGGACATGCTCACGCATGCAAAATGTACATCGATGTTTTTCGAGAAACGAACAGGCGCTCAACCCCCTCCCCCCTAAACGACTAGTTTTCGTTTCTAAACAAATATCTATATTTACGGATGGCCCCTAAGTGTGTATGGTGTACTAAGGTCTCACACCGTATGTTCTTGTGTGGCGCTCGCATCCACTCGACTCACTGCGTATGTTCTTGTGTGGCGCTCGCATCCACTCGACTCACACCGTATGTTCTTGTGTGGCGCTCGCATCCACTCGACTCACTGCGTATGTTCTTGTGTGGCGCTCGCATCCACTCGACTCACTGCGTATGTTCTTGTGTGGCGCTCGCATCCACTCGACTCACTGCGTATGTTCTTGTGTGGCGCTCGCATCCACTCGACTCACACCGTATGTTCTTGTGTGGCGCTCGCATCCACTCGACTCACTGCGTATGTTCTTGTGAGGCGCTCGCATCCACTCGACTCACTGCGTATGTTCTTGTGTGGCGCTCGCATCCACTCGACTCACTGCGTATGTTCTTGTGTGGCGCTCGCATCCACTCGACTCACTGCGTATGTTCTTGTGTGGCGCTCGCATCCACTCGACTCACACCGTATGATCTTGTGTGGCGCTCGCATCCACTCGACTCACTGCATATGTTCTTGTGTGGCGCTCGCATCCACTCGACTCACTGCGTATGTTCTTGTGTGGCGCTCGCATCCACTCGACTCACACCGTATGTTCTTGTGTGGCGCTCGCATCCACTCGACTCACTGCGTATGTTCTTGTGTGGCGCTCGCATCCACTCGACTTACTGCGTATGTTCTTGTGTGGCGCTCGCATCCACTCGACTCACACCGTATGTTCTTGTGTGGCGCTCGCATCCACTCGACTCACTGCGTATGTTCTTGTGTGGCGCTCGCATCCACTCGACTCACTGCGTATGTTCTTGTGTGGCGCTCGCATCCACTCGACTCACACCGTATGTTCTTGTGTGGCGCTCGCATCCACTCGACCCACTGTGTATGTTCTTGTGAGGCGCTCGCATCCACTCGACTCACTGCGTATGTTCTTGTGTGGCGCTCGCATCCACTCGACTCACTGTGTATGTTCTTGTGTGGCGCTCGCATCCACTCGACTCACTGCATATGTTCTTGTGTGGCGCTCGCATCCACTCGACTCACACCGTATGTTCTTGTGTGGCGCTCGCATCCACTCGACTCACTGCATATGTTCTTGTGTGGCGCTCGCATCCACTCGACTCACTGCGAATGTTCTTGTGTGGCGCTCGCATCCACTCGACTCACACCGTATGTTCTTGTGTGGCGCTCGCATCCACTCGACTCACTGCATATGTTCTTGTGTGGCGCTCGCATCCACTCGACTCACTGCGTATGTTCTTGTGTGGCGCTCGCATCCACTCGACTCACACCGTATGTTCTTGTGTGGCGCTCGCCTCCACTCGACTCACTGCGTATGTTCTTGTGTGGCGCTCGCATCCACTCGACTCACTGCGTATGTTCTTGTGTGGCGCTCGCATCCACTCGACTCACTGCGTATGTTCTTGTGTGGCGCTCGCATCCACTCGACTCACTGCGTATGTTCTTGTGTGGCGCTCGCATCCACTCGACTCACTGCGTATGTTCTTGCGTGGCGCTCGCATCCACTCGACTCACTGCGTATGTTCTTGTGTGGCGCTCGCATCCACTCGACTCACTGCGTATGTTCTTGTGTGGCGCTCGCATCCACTCGACTCACTGCGTATGTTCTTGTGTGGCGCTCGCATCCACTCGACTCACTGCGTATGTTCTTGTGTGGCGCTCGCATCCACTCAACAGGTAAACTGAGTATGGATTGATTGCACACAGAGGAATGTGTGTACAAGATAAGTGTGGAATGACCTACGGACAGGACACCACCTCTACAACACGACCACGAAAGGGACGTGCTGGTGTGGAGCTGTCGCAGTACTTAACAGTACACTGAAACTGATGACTTCTGTTTGTGGATCATATGTGGGTGAAAGTTGTGTTCCGCTCTTCCCTTGCGCCAGCCAAAACGTTTTGAAACACTGCGGTCTGACACGTGATCAGTGTTTTTTCAGAACCCGTGCTCGAGTGGTGGTCAGAGCGAGTTTCCTACAGTTTCGGTGTAACCGGACCTAACTGTATGGTGTGGCATGGTATTTTAATTTTAATTCACCAATCGAACAGGCATAGCTGCCTTCTTGCCGGGATGGCCAGAGCCAACTACGGCTCCTACTAATTGATGAATATTGTATACTGGACTAATTTCACTGGGGGGGGGGAAGGAGATGATGACCTTCACTTCCTCGCATACTCTTATTACTTGCTTCTATGATGTTTATATGCACGCATACACGTTTGCTCTCACGTAACAGGGCTTGCTGCCCGTTCAATTCTGCGAATTAAAATAAAACAACCAACCAACCAAGGATAAAATAAAAAATAAATAAATAAATTCGACGGGGTTCGCGTACCGGGCAGGTCAAGAACAAGGATTCGTACAACTCCCTGGTCAAGCCGTTCCGCTTCCGTGGGAACCAAGGATAAAAGAAATGTAAAAGACTCAGCCAATACGAATACATACACGTAAACATAGCTCGGCGATGAAAAAAAAGGTGTGCTCCCAGCAGGGCTCGAACCTGCAACATTCGCGTTATTAGCACAACGCTCTAACCGACTGAGCTATGGGAGCTCATACACGTGTGCACTGAACATACAGACTGTGAAACGGGAGTGTTTGTGCGCGGTGTGATGACCACCTAAAACATACAACCGCGCATAGACAGTAGACGTCACAGCTGCCAACCAACTGGGTCTGTTTTCCGTATTGCGACTTTCGATTTTCTGTATTTCGCGGTGTTTTTGCGTACTGCCAAACATGTTTTTTGACACTCACTTGTTTGTCGGTGGATGGATTTGCTAGTGCAAAACATGTGTGACTTGTAACACGGCATGATTTGTTGGTGCTACATGTAGTCGAAGCACAGCATGCACTCGTTTTGGTACAGGGATACTAATCGCTCAGCTTGCGCTTGCCATGCCTCTACATACATAGCTGTAGCTGATCGATCCTCTTCAATTTTCTGTATCATCTTTAATACTCAAATTCCGTAGTGCGGACGAAGGAATGATTTTCCGTACAAATACGGAAAACACGGAAGGTTGGCAGCACTGGTAGACATGTAGCAACGCAGATAAGTGGACACATGTGCACAGGAGATGCCAATACACCATGTACATTATACTCAAGTAGCTACCCGGTCTGCAAGTTTGGCCCTACCTCGCCACTTGTCGTGTCTAAGACTTGACGGGGGTTCAGGATCCACAGTGTTTCCGGTCTGGTGAGCACACACACGTACACACACGCGTACACACACATTTTTATAATATTCCACTGTATGTCTGTGGATGCAGCTAATCAAGTTCCCAAGCGTTGTCAGCCTACACGGCAGCACGGTGTGAAGTACAGCTAATAGACCAATCCCGAAAAGATTGTCTGGGTTCGAAAGGGGGCATGTCAACTGAGAGTACACTGTACAACACATACATGCACTACCTGATCAGCATGCGGCACAGGACGTGTTTGATAGTTTGCGTGTGAATGCGAGGGTAAGTACACGGTTTTCTCGTTAGTTGCATGCAAGAGAGACGATGCGACAGAAAGCAAAGCCCTTTGTAGTTTTCTCTCTCGCACTGGTAATGGTCTGCTTTTGGAGTTGAAATGCTAAGACATAATCCTTGTTTCGCTCTTCTGTGTAGTGTGAAGAGGTCAACGAACATGTAGAGCTCACTTTGATGAAGAAGGCAGGCTGTGAGCGCTGCGGCTCAAAGCGATAGGTCCTACATCTTACGAGATATTTCGAGTGCTATTGTTTGTTGCGAGCGCTTCGTCTTCGATGAGTCCTGCCTCTTTCCTGGCAGCTGCCCTCCTATAAGACCAACCACGAAGTGACTGTACTCATCTGCAGCCGATCAATGTTATATTGCACAAGAAGATAGCGTTTTCGCCAAGCCAGTGCCCCGCCAAAGACCATAGCCGTGTCACACCGTCGGAACGAGTTCATGATGAGAAACATCATTCGCGCGAGCGCGATGAAGAACTATTTCGAAAGACAACATAGTCTTTACCCCCGGGACGACAACTATGCGCACGTCCTGCAAGGGGAGAATGTCACCAGCGACATCAACGAAGACGACGGCAGTACTTCGAAACCTGGAGTCAGCGGACGTCGTCAAGCTCCTCCGCGACCCGGTACATGTACAATAGGTGACATGTCGACACGAGCTTGCGGAAACACGGTATACACTGTAGTAATGTTGCGAGAGTTTGCGGAAGGAGTCCAAGTCGGGAAATCCATCAGCTCCAAAAGCTACCTGTAGGTGGGCGATGAGACTCCAGCTTCAGACTACAACAGTCAGGACTTGTAAATAGTTGAACTTTGTGAAGCAGCAGATCGAGAAGTTAGCTGAAATGGTAGCTGTTGCAGTATGTCGGCGCTATGTAGCTTGCATTTTTTTACGGAGAGTCAATCGCCACGCGAATGTTTCTCTCCTCACCGAGAGCTAGCTGGCCTCCAAACTCCGTCAGGGTCTGCCTAAGGTACCGAAGGTCCTTTGACTAGCTGCTGGAAGGACTCCATCAAATCCTTTAGCTTCAGCTCGGCGAGCAAAAGTCTCTCTCTCCGCCGCCATGAGCCGACACACACAAACTGAATACAAAACGATGCATTTCACACGTGCTGGCTTGCACGCGTGCCCCCTTTCACGAACCCAGACAATCTTTTCGGGATTGGTCTATTAGCACCGTGAAGTACGACTGATCCCCCCCCCCCCCCACCCACACCGTGAAGTACAGCTGATCCCCCCCCCCCCCCCCCACACACATACCGTGAAGTACAGCTGATCCCCCCCCCCCCCCCCCCACACACATACCGTGAAGTACAGCTGATCCCCCCCCCCCCCCCCTCCCACACACATACCGTGAAGTACAGCTGATCCCCCCCCCCCCACACATACCGTGAAGTACAGCTGATCCCCCCCCCCCCCCCCCCCCCACACACATACCGTGAAGTACAGCTGATCCCCCCCCCCCCCCCCCACACATACCGTGAAGTACAGCTGATCCCCCCCCCCCCACACACACAACAGCTGATCCCCCCCCCCCCCCCCCCCCACACACACACACACCGTGAAGTACAGCTGATCCCCCCCCCCCCCACACACACCGTGAAGTACAGCTGATCCCCTCCCCCCCCCCCCCCCACACACACACCATGTCGCTTCCCACCTGGTTTTTCGGCAGGGGGCGGGAATTAGATCATTTCAGTCACGTGCAGTACAATGTGCAACAAAGCAGAAGATCAGACTTGGCATGCGGGACTGTGCACATTCTCATCCTGCTCTGGCACATATTGTGTACAGCAGTGCATGCGTCAGTTCAACACCATATTTCACTGTATACACCGAAGTCGCTTCACAGGCGGAAATTCGACAGGGGACGGAAATTAGAACGGGGGTGGATCAACGGCACTTTTCGGTACATGCCCTCACTCCTTACCGCTTGCAGTTCCACAGCGCGCATGGAAACCAGATGACGACGGCGATGTCCGTCACACGACTGACAATGTTGAACAGGTCACGGTTAAAAAAGCGACTCCTGAATGTCAAAAACCACAACAACAAAAATGAACGGTCCCATCTTCAACTGAGTAGACAAGAAGCAGGTAATATAGAGAGCAGAGAGGATGGAGTTAGATTTTTTTGGTTCCTCTTTTTTCATTTCCTTCTCTATCTCTTAATTTGCTAAATCCTATATATAGGATTTTGGTCATATTTTTCAACTCAAAATGGGTGTGGCATGAGCATAGGGAAATGTATGTGACCAATTCTTCCGCGTTATGTCTTAGTCGATATGGAGAGTTGAATAAGATATTTTTTTCAAATACTAACATCTAAGGCTCATCTCCTTGCGCAATATTTCTAAGGCCTGTGCCCTATTTTTTGAATCCTATATATAGGATTTGAGATTTTACTGGATCTTGTTTTATCCTTAAAATTGGTAGTTTCACGACGGCATGTGCGATATGTCGTCATGAAACCACCCCGTGCCACACCTGTAATGTTCTTTTGCACATTCACTGCTTCAGTCCTTCCCATGACACCAGCTGAACAATGCTGCTCAAAATTCCAATCCTTGCTCAAAATGGGTATTCATGATGTCCTATGAACCTAAAAAGTAAACATCCATGCCTCAAACATATTTACAGCTTCTAATAAAACCATTATGCTCTTATTATGGGTCATGAATGACTCATGATGACCAATAACAACGGCATAAAGGTCACGCATTTTCAAATCCTATATATAGGACTTTTGCCCAGCAAATTAAGAGATAAACATTGCAGCTGCAATTGCAATTCTCAATTTTATCAATTTTGCTTTTCCCTTTTTGAATTCTTTGCCCTTCTTGCATGCACACTTTTGATGGATTTGTGCGTTCAATAAAACACGACGTTTCAGTAGAGAGGACTTTAAGAGTTGAAAGTGTGACGAGTCCAAAGTTTTACGATTTGAAGAAAAATTTCCCACTTAGCTGGCACAAAGTTTAACGACTCTGCCAGCACACAGCTGTCTTCTATTTCTCTAGTACAGAGGAGAGAAAGAATACCATACGATTCTTGAGTTAACGATGGATTCTTTGAATTTCTTTCTTGTTAAAACGTTAGACTTTGTGCCCCGTTAGAAATTCAACTCTTACAGTATTCTATGACATGGTCTGAATTTCTACCTGAATAATAATTATATTGACCACACTCACTCAGGTGGGAAGAAGTGACTGGAGAAGTCAATTACCAGTAACGTTACCACACTCAGCTGGGAAAACAAACAAACACACACACACACACACACACACACACAAACACACACACACACACACACACACACACACACACTCACACACACACACGCGCACACACACACACACGTACACACACACACACGCACACACCACACACGCACACACACACACTCGCACACACTCGCACACACACACACACAAATGCCCACACAGAAATCCAGCAGATCAGTACACGTGAGGACAAGCACAGCTACAGTCAAACTTCAGATCCAAGAGTTGTAAAATGTGTATTTTTTATAGCCAAGATACTACTGTGTATCTAAGGTCACACAACTGTCACATGACTGTCACATGATTGGTACAACACAATGCAGGGTACTCAGAAGTACATGTACTGCATATCCAATGCAAAGAGAAAGGTTGTTACATCCAGGGTATCATGGGTAGCTTCAAAGCAGCTGATGAATACTGTGGAGAATCCATAAATACAAATACCTGATAATTGCCGGATGATCATAGTGATACGTGAAACTCAGAGTTGCGACACAGCTTCCAATCTCTCTTGTGCAAATACAAATAGAAAAGACCAATGATGCACACTGCCTTGCTGCTTTGCAACGTTCTCCAGTCCTACCTGGAATATTCCCTGGAAGAAGACGCCAGCCCGGGAGAGGCTGAGCTGCGTGGTGTTGACACGGCAGTCTTCCGTTTTGAACGCTCCAGTCACTTTGTAGAACATGCGCACGCCGTAGAAGAGGAAGAACGCTACGCACAGCAGCTGCACAATGGCAAACACCAGGTAGAAGATGCGGTGCACAAAGGCCTGTGACAAAACATGCACATACGCACACCCACGCATACACACACATACATACACACGCGTGCAAATACGGACACAGACACACAAGAGAGAGAGAGGGGGAAAGAAGACAATGAGTGAGCAGGAGAAAGAGATAGAGACAGGTAGATAGATGGCCTCTGATGATCGCCTAGTGTGTGAAACTCAGAGCCACAACGCAATTTTTCCTCTTCTACTTGGTGATACTGTAGCAGACATGGAAATCCAGTCAATTGACCGGGGCCGGCGCCCTCAGAACGCTGCGTGCAGTGCACATATTGTTGATCCGATGCGACCAGGGCGCTACATCGCATAAATGCATGTGTGTACCGCTGATCCACGGCTGCATGGCCAGCGCTCTGGGGCCGCTAGAAGTGCGACCGGATTTCCATGTCCACGACAGTAGATAGATACTTGAAACCTGGGTATACCCACTTACGTAGATAGATAGATAGATAGATAGATAGATGGGAGAGAGAGGGGAGAGAGAGAGAGAGAGAGAGAGAGAGAGAGAGAGAGAGAGAGAGAGAGAGAGCTAGAGAGAGAGAGTGAGGGTGAGAGAGAGAGAGAGAGAGAGTGAGAGATAGATAGATAGAGAGTGTGAGAGAGAGAAAGAGAGAGAGAGTTTGTAACGCATTCTCGAGAGTACAAAACTGACACTTCAAAGTGACTTGAGGCAGAGAAACAACACTCGCATCACCGGCCATGCCAGGACTACACAGTACTTCACGGCACGCACACACACCCACACACACACACACACAGACACACACGCACACACGCACACACACACAGGCACACAGGCACACAGACACAGACACACAGACACACACGCACACACACACACACACACACACACACAGACACAGACACGCACACACGCACACACACACACAGTGTACTCACACGCACTATCAACAAAGACAAAGCAGCATACCTGTTCATCAGCTGGGAGAGCAGCAGTTAGCACAATCATCAGGAAGAACGATACCCACAGGGCCACGTTGAAACCGACATAGAAGAGAAAAGATTTCTTTATGGAGTGCGTCTCAGACGACGGGACTTCCAGATAGTACCTCTGAAATTACACATGAAAAACAAAACAGTTTCACTACACGGCACACATTACATCGAAGCGTATCCACTATCAAAAGCGTCTGTCACAGAAGGGTGCCAAATAGTTTTAACTGGAGTTCGATTAAAAACACTTTCCCTTCCCCGAACAAAACGCAAGCATAACTACACAGTAGCTTGAGAGTGGTACTTGCAAGAGAGTGATCATTGAGTAGCTATGGTTGTACATGTACATGGTCACAAGGAACCCTATTGCGGCTTTTTTACGGTAGTCAGGGTGGTGGCGTTCCCACAGGCTGCTGGCATGAAGAAGAAAAAAAGAAGGTTTCAGGCCTTTTCAGCACGGCCATACACGCAGAACAGCGATGCAAACAGATACCGGTGGCTCCAACATAAGAGCTGGCTGGACAAAAAGGGGGGGGGGGGGGAGATGAGCGGGAGCACTTCGACAACCTGATCACCTGCTTGTTTCGACAGACATCGGTGGTGAGAGTTTCTAATCTATTGACGCTTTAATAGTCAAAGAATGTTTCCTCGCTATGGACTACGGTGTTGTGAATGTGGGCCAAGAGCGCAGTGTGGAGAGGTGGACAGTTCAAATAATTTTCAAATGCCAGAGTTGGTCACTACTTCTGAGTTGCGTTTCAATCCATGACTGCAAGCCTTGTTAGGCAAGATAACAACTTACTTCCCCGAGTCACCGAGTAGATATGCTAATCCATGACTGCAAGCCTTGTTAGGCAAGATAACAACTTACTTCCCCGAGTCACCGAGTAGATATGCTAGTCCATGACTGCAAGTCTTGTTAGGCAAGGTAATAACTTACTTCCTCAAGTCACCGAGTAGATATGCTAATAAGGAGCCAAGGTTTTTGATATTGATATTATATTTTCAAGGATTCTCCAGAGGCAAATGGATGTCTATCAAAGGGAGTCTCCTGGGGAAAGGAAGTGAAGGTGGCTGTTATGAGAGAGGGAGGAAGGGACAAGTGTGATCGTAACTTACCTCCCCGAGCAGGCATGCTAGTAACGAGCCGAGCGTGATCAGAAACGGGTAGTAAACACTCTGCACATTGAGTGCAAACCCAGACGATAGGCCCTCCTGGCGACGACAACGACGACCACGTTCCCAACATACAACACACACACACAGCCACACGCAAGCGCGCGCACACACGAGAAGAATGCCATCAGAGAACACGGAGAAACGTGCACGGTATTCCCCCTAATCACCGGCTCACCCACCAGTAGGACAACAGTGCGTAATGGGCCATTCACACTACGCCCAGAACGTGGCGTACGTGACGTTTTCGTCCGGATAGCCATGACAACATGGAACGTGGCGGGAAAATCGTACCCCTGATACGAAAACGTAGACGACGTATCCAGACCCCTGTACCGAGTTTCGTTCTGGCGTTCCCAGCAGTTTGTGTCCAAAAGAAGCTGTACACACAGCTGTACGAGCAGCGTGTGCTGGCCTGTCTGAATGCACCTGCATGAAAACGTGACGCGTATTGTAACGTAGTATGAATAGCCTATAACACAGTGATGGTTTACTATACATCATGCACAGTACACGGTATTACTGTAAATTTCGACGTCAGGGACCTGATGGGTTTCAGGTGTAACTTAAAATTAGGCGACAAACATTCCCTTCACATTCTAGTACAGTACACACTTTTATGCCATGTAGGTGTAAACTAAATTGAGGGGCCTGAAATTTCTACTGAAATCACCGAAATTAAAGTTACACCGATACCCTGCTTGACAGTAATTCCAACTGTAGCTTTCACAAAGAAAACACGAGCACAGTGCAATGACAGGAACAAGAACAAGAGCAACACCAAAAACACCAATCTTGCACACACGGTAACGCCAGTCAAGGCGACCACTCGAACAAGGGGGCCACCTGTCCTAGAAGACCACTGAAACCAGGACCAAAGGGATGCTGTTTTCATTCAAATGACCCTGGATAAGGAGACCACCTGGTAACAGAGACCACGTTTTGAAGGTCCGTAGAGCAGCCGTCTTAGACAGGTTTCACTGTACATGTACTGTCAGTCTACACATGTTCAGCGTGTTAAAATTCCAGCCTGCATGGCTAAAAGTCTTTGGGGGCCAGCAGCGTGCACTGTTGACACTGGCACGGCATAACCTACTGCTATTGAAACATGTCACGGGAGTGTGACACTCTGCTGCTGCCACACTGGACAGAAAAAGAGCAGCCAGCTACCGCCCGCTCTTGGGTGTTATGAAGTCTAGCTGGGGTTAACGGCACTCGGACGGTGCAGAGTTTCCAGCGCAGTACGCGTGCAATTCATACCTGCATAATGAGAGAGAAAGCCCTGGATCCTGCCGCCAGCCAAGCGACAAAGTATAGCCACTTGTGAACTGTGAAGCGAAACGCCTCTCGCAGCCGATCGGTCTTGCTCTTTTGCGTGTCATGGTATATTGTCAACGCCTGCACGAGCACAAACGCACGCACCCCCCCCCCCCCCCCCCACACACACACATGCACACACATGCACACACATGCACACACACACACACACACACACACACACGTGGGCGCACACACACACACACACACGTGCACCACACACACACACACACACACACACACACACGCATACACACACGCGCGCCCAGGACAGTGTCTCACATCTGCAGAGTATGCACCTGGGCGGCAAGGAACAACGCCACCAAGACCTTGAGTCTTGACTACAATGCACTTCTTTGAAGTAGAATGGTGGAAAATTCAAATGTATGAAATGTATGCCTGTGTGTGTAAGTGGCAGTGTACGCCAAGAAAAAGACTTTGTATGCAAAGTGCAATGCTGGCCCGCAGAGAAATCCAACATCCAACCTCATGAATAAAGTAGCGCCGCGTTCGGGTGCACACTCAGTCACTGCACATAACAGGGTATGTAGTGCTAGGGCTGCGTAGCGCCCGGCACTATTTTATTCATGAGCTTGGATTTTCGAACAAAGTAGCGCCGCGTTCGAGTGCACGGCACAGTGTATGTAGTACTACGGCAATGCTATTTTATTCATGAAGTTGGATTTCTTAGGCCAGTACTGTCCATGATTTCGCAGTCCATGTACACGTAAAACCTGTATCCAGAGATCACCTGACTTAAGAGACCACCTTTCTTTACAGACCAGTAATCTCCGGCACCTAATCATGATTCAGCACACATTCATGTCAGACCTATGTAGAAAGACCACCTGCCCTAAGAGACCACCTTTCTTTAGAGACTGGTAATCATCACATTCATGTCAGACCTGTGTAGAAAGACCACCTGCCTTAAGAGACCACCTTTCTTTAGAGACCGGTAATCATCACATTCATGTCAGACCTGTGGAGAAAGACCACCAGTCTTTAGGGACACCGGTTTCTCTGCAACATGGCCCTGGGGGTGGTGGCTGAACACAGGTTTGTCTAGTGGAAAGCTCGAAACATTTTCTCCAGCCATGCATCACATACGTATGAAGAGGTTGGCAAGCCATAGTCTTGTCATAATCAAAAGTCTAGCATACGGTGCTGTACCCTCCCTCGCATCGCCTCATCGAGCACTCTTTCCGGTTAGCGTGCACGTTATCTGCCCTCGTGTAAAGACCTTTTTATCAGTCAGAGCAGTGAGTGCCGCGACCTGGGGAGTCCGGATTAGGGGAGTTTTCCAGGACATGTAGAAAAGCAGAATGCAGAAGAAACGTGAAGAGACTCACCAATTGCACAAAGGAGACCAGAGTGAGAAGGGTGAACACTGTGCCAAAGGTGACAACGTATGGATAGTTGGCACTGGCACACTCTCCGCCAGTCCATTGAACCTGAGACAGACAGACAGAGAGAGAGAGAGAGAGAGAGAGAGAGAGAGAGAGAGAGAGAGAGAGAGAGAGAGAGAGAGAGAGAGAGAGAGAGAGAGAGAGAGAGAGAGAGAGACAGAGAGAGACAGACAGAGAGGGGTTCAATTTGAACTACTAATTTCTCATGTCCCCTTCCGATCATAACTTTGCTTTCCCCGTGGTGAATCCGGTGATCTCAGACTTTGCGAAAAGCTGGCTCCATAAAGAGTACTCTTGCCCCACTTTCTAGCTATCACTACGTAAGAGAAGCAAGTACAAACTACAATACGTAGCATTGCAGCAGAGATGCGCCTCGACGGTATAGCACTGCGTAAGCGTTATCATCAACAGGGTGTATTACCATGGAAGAACACACTCAAATTAGAAATGCAGACTCCACACAATGCAGAGAGAGAGAGAGAGAGAGAGAGAGAGAGAGAGAGAGAGAGAGAGAGAGAGAGAGAGAGAGAGAGAGAGAGAGAGAGAGAGAGAGTGAGAGAGAGAGAGAGAGAGAGAGAGAAAGAGAGAGAGTGAGAGAGAGAGAGAGAGAGAGAGAAGAGAGAGAGAGAGAGAGAGAGAGAGAGAGAGAGAGAGAGAGAGAGAGAGAGAGAGAGAGAAAGAGAGAGACAGAGAGAGAGACAGAGAGAGACAGAGAGAGACAGAGAGAGAGACAGAGAGAGAGAGAGAGAGAGAGAGAGGGGGGAGAGAGGGGGGGAGTATGGAACGGCCATGCAGTTGCAATGTACTAGAAGTACATTCATCCACCATTCTGTTCTGAGCAACACATTGCATTGGATACACACTCATACCTCAGTTATTCAGACCCGAAAGTTATGGGCACTTCGGTCTACCGGGCACCCTTTGGGCGAGTTCAACGGAAATATTACTACTCTTTCGTCACTTTTCGTGGAAATAGTGACGTAATATGCCACATCTATGGCCTTTCCCCATGAAAATGTACGTGATTCGGAATTGCGGACATTTCAAAGTTACGGGCAGTGCCCGGTCCCGGACCGCCCGGAAAAAATGAGGACGAGTGTACTTAACTAAAGCCAGTATTGTGATGCCTACAGTCTTAGCCAAGGCAATACCAAGTACACTCGGACCTCATGATTTGGCCAAAATTTCTCAACTTGGCCAGATGCGTGAAATAGGCTCCAACGAATGTGAACAAAAATACCGGCATGGGAAATTTAGGAACCAAAAAGTAGTCGGTTTGGTGAGATCGTCGGAGACCAAGACTTTACACAGTATTCTATGTAACACAATAAGCACTACAGAGTGGTATCATCACACTTGATAATGACATCATCACATTAGATAAGGACAACATCACACTTGATAATGTTTGGTATGCATGTTGTGGATATCGAACACGCCTCACCGAATGGAGATGACTCCAGTCAGATCAGGAAAGTCCCGGCTGCACCAAGGCTGTCGCTGGGTAACAACAGGGGCTCACCACTTCACCGTATACTGTATAAGCAGAAATATTCGTCTGGAATTTAATTTCGTCTTTTTCGTCCAAGGAACGTTTGGACTAAAGTGCCGGACTAATGTCGATTTGTCCAGCTTTTCTATACACTATTATGATCCATGGACGAAATTTTCAACCGGACGAACTCCCTTTCTTAGGAGTTGGACGAAATTTTTGACCGACGAAATTTTCTGCCTCTACAGTACAATAAAACCTGGTTTAAGCGGCCACCCCACGGTGCAAGCAAAAGCAGTCGTTCTTTAGAACCAGGTGCCACAGCGTCTGTGTAGAACTGTAGGTGCATGGAAAAATGGTCGTTAAGAGCAGGTGGTCGCTAAACACAGAGGTCGCTTACACCAGGTTTACTGTAGAATGTCATGTACTTTCAGCCATTCTGCCATTCTACTATCCTTGCTCGCACCGAGCTCAACTTTGGTTGCAAAGACTCCCGCGAGTCCACTGACAGTTTTTCGAAATGTGGACACACAATGAGTCATACCTTTAGTTTACCTTGATTTTTATGATCTTGGGCTCCCTGGAAAGATCTCGCCAAGAGGAACAGTTTGAGCTCAAACTCAAGTCAACACACACGCGACGAGGCCAGCGCAGCAGCGACAACACTGGAAAAGTCTTGAAGATCAATCCTCATCGGCCATTTCACTCTCCTTGCTCCTATCAATCTCAATTCTTTTGGGAAGATTCACCAAGAGTACATGAAAACCAGAGTGTGCAGCTTGGGGACTTTTCTGCTATGGGTGTCTGTCACGGCGGAATTCCGTGATTACATCATATTTGGCGCAGATCTGAGGCGGGACATGGCGTAGTGCGTACAACTGAGCTGCAGTTGTGCAGAAAGAGACCCGCTTGAATCCTGCTTGTACGCACTACATCACTAAAATGATGTAATCACGGAATTCCGCCGTGACAGCAACCCATCCGAGCTGCACACTCTGGCTTTCATGTAGTCTTGGATTCACTCATGTCCCAAGCTGCATCCACGTTCCCATAGAAACATCCAGCGGAAATGGGGAAATCCCCAACTCAGTGACAGGCACACGCACTTTCCGAGCAAAGTGCCGTGACTCAACTTCAAAGAATCTTAGCACATCCATAGTACATCCCGCCGATTGCGGCGATGGAATGATACGAGCTTCCTCTTCGATTTAGATATTTCGATAGTCAAAAACGGTCAGATATTGACCAAGTTATGGTCGTTTGAAGTTTCGAACACATATGTTCGAAACTTGTATGGCTGGCCTGTAAAGGGTGAACTAAGGCTGTGTTTACATGAGGCGTTTCAACCCGGGTCAGATTTCAACCCGCCATGTACACAAAATGAATGGCACGTTTACATGACGCATTGCGCTTGACCCGGGTTGAAATTTCGCCCCGGGTTGATTTCAACCCTCCCCTTGGGGGGGGGGGGGGGGGGAAGGTTGAAATCAACCCGGTCGAAGATTCTGTGCGTATCTCGCGCCATGTTTGATCAATTTGAACAGCACTGTACATGCAAATTTCGCGCGAAAGGATTCACGTGACCATACGGAACTTTAGAAGTGGACTTTTGGCGGCATATCAGTATTTGACCCGGGTCAACTGTCTTCATGTAAACGCTCACCTATTTTGTCTATCGTACAGACTTTCAACGCGGGCTGAACTTGACCCGGGTTGAAATTTCTCATGTAAACACAGCCCAAAGGGTTAACTTGGATTGCCACACACACGACAGCATGAAGTACTGTAGCAGACATGGAAATCCAGTCGAATGACCGGGGCCGGCGCCCTCAGTGCATACAGAACGCTGCGTTCAGTGCACATGTATATTGTTGATCCGATGCGACCAGCGCGCTGCAGCGCATAAATGCATGCGTGTACCGCTTTTCCACCGGCTGCACGGCCAGCGCCCTGGGGCCGCTAGACGTGCGACTGGATATCTATGCCCACGACAGTACATAAAAAGAAAATCAAGTGGTCCGTGAACTGCGCCATAGTCTTTCAGAGCGTATATGTTCGAGCGCAACAGTGATTGTTGACTAGGTTCCTTTGCTCATGCGTTGGGTGTAAGCCAGCCATTACTTCAACAAATAAGAAGTTTAATCGATGGAAGAGCTAACCAGTCATTGCTAAGAAATGAGTAGATAAAAAAAGGGAATTGTCCTTTGGAAGTGTCATTCTATACTTCATTGTCTTTGTTTCCAATATTGGAGGGTAAACTGTTATCAGGAATTCATTAGGTTACCAACCTGACAGACACATGCTCCTTGGTTACAAACTCCATGACCAGAGCACTTGCTGGGGCAAGGCGTTGGTCCTAACCTGGTTGTGTTCACAAGCATTCCCACAGTGGGCCTTGAAGTTATCGTCGACATGCTACTGACCAACTTCGCTCATCAGCGATGCGGACACGTCCAGGAAAGCAAGGCCATCTCAGCTGACCATCTGGGAAACTATAATTATGTACTAAAGTGGCACAGAGATTCTGCTCTGGAAGCACGTAAAGTGTGTAAGACGAAAAATGGTTGCTTTCCGCAAGACAACGGCCGTCGTCACTGCTATACTCAAACAAAGGACGACTATTGGGCTGGCCGTTTGAGTCGCCACACTCTACTTCTGTACTAGCCCTGATGACAAATGATGTGATTGTCCCTTGGGAGTTGAGGCAAGAGAAACAAAACAAGTCTTACAACTCTCTTTCATGCAAGTCTTGTTCCTTTGAAAAGAGGCCTTCAAAAAACAGAAAATGTGCGAGAGACTGACATGATGCATGCCAGTGCATGCAGCGCAGTGACTGAGTCGAGTCTGTACTGTCAGTCCATGCACCATAGATCTACGTGCCTGGCCTGCATAATAATGCTGAATCTGCTGATATCATGATCCCTTCTGTTTCTGACGTCATGCTTCATGACCACAATCATGACGTCAAGCATGCACGTCTACAAAAATTTGTACTTACAATAGTCGTGTGACCATGGTGACTGGTGACTGTCGGTTGGCAGTCTAGTCGACACTAGACTCGTAGGGAGTCGTAAAATACCGACCTAGCAACACGTAACTCGTTGACGGCGCGGCGCTCCGGTCCGCTCGGCGCTCGCCCGTAGATCTACGAAATATGACGGCGCGGTACTGTCGTGGTGAAGCGCCAACCTTGAATCGGCCTGATCCCACACGCGCGCACATAATGCAGTGCATGCAGACTGCACTGACTCAGTCACTGAGTCAGAGCATGCTTCGGAAGCCTGTGATTTTGAGCGAGAAGTCCAAGGATCCGTCCACATCAAGCCTTGCTTGAAGATTCCAAAATTACTTCGTCGATGTTTGTGCGATCAAAAACGAAAGTACGAGTTGTAGCCTTCATGTATGAGGTACACTTTTGTTTAGGCTGGAGTTTGGACTGTGCTGGTATTCAGAATAAGTTTTCTATCTACAGCATCCCCTAATACTCTGCTGTGTTTGCTGGTGAAGTGGCCTGTTCGTCGTCCCTGGTTGAATTCAGTCAGTGCTTGTTTTTGTTTTTGTTTTGTACTGAGAGACACGCTCAAACTTTATTTCGTTGGTGTTGTCGTGCTTCTTGCTTTCTGTCAGATATGCACAAGCGCCCTGGACAGGCCCCTGAAGGAGGGTTTGGCCAGAATCGAGCTGCTCCATCTGCGGTGCCACCGACTATTCATCCCAATCCGCCTCAACTGCAGACCTTTGACCAGCCAATGCAGGATGTAAACCAGCAACACGCTCCCCAGCAGCAATTTGTGCCAGCAATACCTGCAATGGCTCCAGTATCGAACGTTCCTGCCTATCAGTAAGTTTTCCTGAATAGATTCCACCTGTTCCATCCCTAGGCTGATTGAAAATATCGACAAGCAACAAACAATAATGTGTTCGTATGACTGATATTCTTCATCCCTGTTGCAGATCTGCAGCTGCGAATCCCGTCTCTGGACACGTACCAGCCGTAGTTCAAGTAGTAAGTGCTGCAGTTGATGTGATCTTCTCGGGCTCATTGCAAAGAGGTGTCGTTTCTTTTTGTTCCTTCCCAGAACTCTGTCATGATTTCGACAGTGTTGTGCAGTTTTTCGAAATTTTCAATTTTTTTGCATTCTTTACACGTGCCGCTTTCCACGCAAGTACATGTACTTGGTGGTTGTGCTGTTTCGAGGTGGAAGAGTTTCAGCCAGGGCTTGAAGTAACTAACTTGTGTGAGTTGTTGTGTGCTGTACACTCCTTTCCTCTGTGCCCAGCCTACCCAGGCTGCACCTGCGGCAAGTCATGCTCTTCCTGTGACAAACAACCCTCGACCTGCAACACCAGCTGCAACTGTTGCCAGTGGCACTGCTGCTGCTGCTGCTGCTCCTGCTCCTGCGGCTGGGTCTGCCCCTTCTACCACTGGCACAGTGACAGCCATGCCTGCTGCTGGTGCTGCTGCTGCTACTTCAGCTATCCCAGCTTCATCCAATAGTGCTCCTGTTTCGAATCCTGGCCCCGCGCCTATAGCATCTGTGAGTATATTTGTGCGTATAATAATAATAATGAGAGAGATAAAGTAGGAGTGTGTGTGCGCGTGCGCGCGTCAGTAACTGAATATGTATGCCGATGCAACTGAAGCCTGGTTCACAAATGGTGGGACGCGGCGATAGTTGACTGGGTGCTCGTGACGATATTGGGTTTGGACATCGCGGAATGGGGATGTAGTGCTACCGTAGTACGGTACAAATTGGGACGTACACGTACTGTACATGTTGCATTCTCCAACTTCTCTCTCTCTCTCGCTCGCTCGCTCGCTCGCTCTCTCTCTCTCTCTCTCTCTCTCTCTCTCTCTCTCTCTCTCTCTCTCTCTCTCTCTCTGTATGCGGGTACGCAAGCACACGGCATGGCTGTGTTTCAAGTGTAATGCACACAACAATTTCGCCAACTTGCACTTATCGAGCGTTCTGTTGCCAGCGATAACTTTGGGGATTTGCGCACGTGGCCCTGCTACAGTCGACCTACCCTTATAACGATATTACCCTTATAACGATATTTTTCTGCCAAACCAAGTCACTCCATTGACTTGTGTATACAATGCCTTACCTCTATAACAATATTGCTATAACGATATTACCCCTATAACGATATAAAATGGGCTGACCAATCGACATTTTCCATTTTATAACAATATCTAGCAGGGAATAATGTAGAGGCCACTATCCAGGTAGGGCAAGCTTCACTTGATAAGTCGCTGGGACATGACGAAATGCAATGGGGGCACCAATGGGCACCTTGCTGTGTACAGAATGTGCATGTACATCAGTTTTTTATGCTACATAGAGTGTAAAAAATGAACAAAATACATGCATTATGACGTATGTGTATGAAATGAACCAGTTACCCCTATAACAATATTACCCTTATAACAATATGTCTTGGTCTGACGCAAATATCGTTATAAGGGTAGGTCGACTGTATATTGTGGGAAACTCGATTTTGGCTTTCTTGGAGGCAGAAATGCAGTCGCACTAGGGTACAGAGCGAACTTCAGGCTTGTCACAATATTTGCACAATGTTCCTTGCGACGAGGCGAAGTTTGTTCTGTTCCTAGATTTCGATCCGTGTGATACGTCCTTCGCATCAGCTAGATTCCTGGCCATTTGCGGCAGAACAAGTTTTGACTATCATAACACTGGCTAGATTCAGGCTTTCACGGACACTGCCTACTGTCTCGCACCAAGCATCACCATTCTCTATACACCATTCTCGTTGCTCATTGCGTGCCGTGTGAATTATGCAAGGTTGTGTAACTTGCCGTAGTCGCACTAGCGGTTCATTCTTGTCGTACGGTACGCATTGTGTTGAATGTGAACCAGGGCTCGACACTCACTGTTTAGGGGGAGAGGGGTATGTCTGGTGTCCAGTCTACCGCTCCGGTTGAACTGCACGGAAGCCTAAGCACATGGCCATGGGGGTTCTGTCTGTAGGCTTTGGAAGAGGCCTAATGATCCAGCCTCCCCTAGTATCATCCCATGGTGGCAACCTGCCTTAGTTCCCATGGTAACCTGCCTTGGTAGTCTCCCATGGCAACCGCTCATGGCAACCGCTCATTCTTACACACATAGCTACCGTATATTCTCTATTATAAGCACAGGTCTCCATTACTAGAACAGTCTGTAATACTAGCACACTGTGAGCACCTTTCGAAACATTATAAGCACAGTCTCTATTATTAGCACGGTCTTGGTGGAAATCAATGCTGCATGCATAATATCTAGCATGTATTTCTTCTTGCTCTGTATGGATGTATTGGTTGAAAAATATAAGCACGGTCTCCAATATAAGCGCGGTCTCCAATATAAGCACGGGGTAGAGGGGTGTTGAAAAAATATAAGCACGGCGCTTATAATAGAGAATATACGGTATGTGGTCATGCACAATGTATTGTTCTACTGTATTGACTTTTACAGTCATCTCCAGCACAGGTTGTGAGCAGTGTACCAACCACCATACCAACATCTGTGGCCCAGTCACATGTCGCTATACCTGGCGGACAGCCTCAGCAAAACTTCCAGCGGCTCAAGGTACGTACGGCTTTAATCTGATATAACTCGGCCTCTTTCAGTGTTGGTTCTCCCACTCTCTTCTTGCATGCGTTTGGGTGGAGGTTTCTCTTTCTCAGCCTCTCTCTCTCTCTCTCTCTCTCTCTCTCTCTCTCTCTCTCTCTCTCTCTCTCTCTCTCTCTCTCTCTCTCTCTCTCTCTCTCTCTCTCTCTCTCTCTCTCTCTCTCTCTCTCTCTCTCTCTCTCTCTCTCTCTCTCTCTCTCTTTCTCTCTTCCCCCCTCCCCCCTCCCCCCCCCCCTCTCTCTCTCTCTCTCTCTCCCTCCCTCCCTCTCTCTCTCTCTCTCTCTCTCTCTCTCTCTCTCTCTCTCTCTCTCTCTCTCTCTCTCTCTCTCTCTCTCTCTCTCTCTCTCTCTATCTCTCTATCTCTCCCTGTTTCTTGCTTTCTTTCTCCTCAGCACATAAGCAATTCACATGTTTGTCCACCTGTGTGTTCAGGTTGAAGATGCTCTATCATACTTGGATCAAGTGAAATTGCAGTTTGCTAACCAACCGCAAGTCTACAATGACTTTTTGGATATCATGAAGGAATTTAAGTCACAGACGTAAGCACCCAGACACGCTCTGCTCACGTCCCTCTCTCTCTCTCTCTCTCTCTCTCTCTCTCTCTCTCTCTCTCTCTCTCTCTCTCTCTCTCTCTCTCTCTCTCTCTCTCTTTCTTTCTTCCTCTCCTTTGCATGACTTCTTCCGAATGTGTCCTGCTCTTCAGATTGCCTTTCAACCTTAACACTGACAGAAAAACCAGAGCCCAGTGAGCAGTGAACTGGCTGAACCCCAAACAGGAGAAGATTGTATGCAACTGGAGTGTATTCTCCAGTGTAATGCATTGCCTCTGGAGTGTATTCTCCAGTGTAATGCATTGCCTCTGGAGTGTATTCTCCAGTGTAATGCATTGCCTCTGGAGTGTATTCTCCAGTGTAATGCATTGCCTCTGCAGTGTATTCTCCAGTGTAATGCATTGCCTCTGGAGTGTATTCTCCAGTGTAATGCATTGCCTCTAGAGTTTCTTGGGATTACGCATGTACCCACAGTGCCCTGGATAGTAAGCTGTTCCTGCTGCCAACAAGTAGTACTACTGTGACGAGGGCCCCAGGACCAGGTTGTGTATGCAATGGTCTGTAGTCCATGCGTGTGTGCGTGTGTGTGTGTGTGTAGTGGTATGTGCGGATTGCAATCGGTCATTCTCGCGCCCTGGAGATCGTGCTCGCCACAAATGTGTGGTTGAGCGGGCAAAGCCGATTGCTGAGCAGCGAGGGGCTTGCCAATGTGGAGATTGTGGGCGTTGGTTTCGCAGCAAGGGTGGTCTAGCTGTTCACCGCTGTTCCGCACCTCAGCCTCAGCCTCCCGAGCCCCGGCAAGTCTATGTGCAGGATGCCTGCTGTGCTGCGCACTGTGATGTGTGTGCCCGCTGCTTTCGGTCTGTGCAAGGCCGCGGTCGTCACCGGTGCTCGAGGACTGGCCCGCGCCCGACTGCCCAGCAGCGTAATTCGTTCAGCCATGTATGCGTGTGTTCTCGCCGGTTCCGTTTGCCCCACCATCTCCGGCGTCATCAGGCTGCGTGCTCCATCTTCCTCTCTGATGCCCCTCCGGGGCCCACGTGACCCCTGTGGCAGTGGCTCTACAGGACAGGTGTGTGTGTGTGTAACGTTATGTTCAGGGAATGGTACAGGCAGACCTCGCTTAACCGCACATATCTGTTTTCCACAAAAATATCCGGATAGGCGAGGGAACCGGATAACTGAAAACACATACTGTATATGCATGTGGCATGTCAAAAGCAGTGACATCGTACATACATGTACATGTGGACTAGACGGGTCCCATGCAGTACAACCAGCGTGCACAGTATGTAAAACAAGCGAGAAAAATGACAAGTGCATGCAACTGAGTGCTGTCCGCATGCACCCAGCAGGTCAAGGACCTCATTTGCTTGCACAACTCCCTGATTCTAGCTTCTGCAAGCCACATGCAACCGGATACGACGAAGCTTTTTGTACACATTTTTACCAGTTTGTACACAAAATCATGCACCGGTATGCGGATCGCGAGGTCCGGTTATGTTGTATGCATAACATATGCTGCACATCGGTAACCAACGATTTTCTTCCGGATGGCGAGGGATCCGGATAAACGAGGGCCGGATAAGCGAGGTCTGACTGTATTGACGTTTTGGTGGTGGCCTGGCATGAGCAAAGCTTCTCTAAGCTGCTTGTGTTTCTAAAATCTTAACACAATATTGTATAGCCGGTGGTAACACGGATGTGCGAACTATATTATTTATTCGTGTATTGGCTTTTGTCTCCTTGTGTGTGTGTGTGTGCGTGCGTGCGTGCGTGCGTGCGTGTGTGTGTGTGTGTGTGTGTAGTATTGACACTCCGGGTGTAATCCAGCGTGTATCAACACTGTTCAGTGGTCACCCAGAGCTGATTGTCGGCTTCAACACATTCCTCCCGCCCGGCTACAAGATTGAGCTGCGGACGCTCGACGACGGTCAGATTTTGGCAACAGCCACGCACACGGCACAGGCCCAAGGCGGGGGCACCACCACCAGGGAAGTCTTGTCGACGAGCACGCGCCCGACTAGTCAGTTGCGGCCCCTTCCCACGTCTGCCGTGTCCGGTGCTGCTGTGTCTTCTGCTGCTCCCCGTCAGGTACAGAGAGCAGTTTGTGTGTGAATGATGGGAATAGTTCTTATCATATTGATACTGGATGGAACTGTTCTCCGCATTGTGAGGTTTGTGCTTGACCAATGTTCTGGCCGCAAGCTCAGAGCCTCCATCCAGTATCAGTGTTTGGTTGTCTGCTGTTTGTTTGGCTCTGTATTCTGGTCTGGCCACACAGGGGGCTCTGCAATGACGTAGCCCGTCGTCTCTCTGCTGGAGTTGAGTGATGCTAATGGACACGTGTGTGTGTCTGTCTGTGTGTGTGCGCGTGTATGTGTGTGTGTGTACGTGTCCGTGTCCGTGCATATACATGATGTGTGTGTGTGTGTGTACGTACGTTTGGGTGCGTGCGTATGTGTGTGCATTCATGATTACATCATCCCGGCTTTGTTTGCACACGTCCTGCAGGCACCCAGCATGTCATCGGTGGTGACTGCCTCTGCAACGAGCGCTGCTCCCATTGTCAAAACCGAGCCGACGTCCGCAGCAGCAGCCAGCAGCATGACGTCGTCCAGCTCCGCGGCGCGGCCAGTGTCGTTTGTGTCCTCTGTCATCAGCAACATTAACGCATCGCTGGGCGGCGGCGGCGCGAGCGTTGGTGCGTCTGCTGGCGCTGCCGCACCTCTGCCCGGATCTGGCAGTGGAGTTGTCACGGCAACGGCCACAGCAGCCAATGTCGCCGGCGGCATTGCTCCCGGTGTGGCCGCAGGCGGTGGCGCTCTCTCCTCTATGTCTGCGGCCGCAGCGGCTGCTGCAGCAGCAGGTGCTGGTACTGGTGGCGTGACGGCAACAACTAACTCTGCTGCTGCGGCTGCTGCTGGCGGTGGCTCATCGTCAAATGCAGCGGCCAGCGGCAACGCCGGCAATAGTGGTAGCGAGGTGAGGAGTCGGCTGGCATGTTGTAACCATAACCACGGCACCTCTACCTCGGAAGTACACTCGTACCTCGGTAACCCGGACCCCAAGGTTACGGGCACTTCAGTGTACCGGGCACCCTTTCGCCGAGTTTCAGTGGAAATATTTCTAGTAGTTTTTACTAGTCTCTTGTCACTTTTGTGGGATTAGTAACATATGCATACTCAGTATGTATGGCATTTCCACATCGCAATGTATGTGATTCGGAGTTACGGGTAGTGCCCGGTCCCGGATAAACGAGGTATGAGTGTACTCTATGTTGGTACTGCAGTTCTACGATGTTCCAGTCTTCCACGTGTTACTGTGTCAGCTGCTGCTGCTGCTGCCGCCGCTGCTGCTGCCGCCGCTCTCCATGAGGCACTCGACACCTGAACGCTAAGTGAGCTGTGTCTGGCACTCTTCCCAGACTTATTGATTTGAGAAGAAACTCATGGCATGCTGTCCTGGACATTCTCACACTTATAGAAGTACAGTCAACTTTGCGAATAACGACACTCGGTGGGGCATCAGAAAAGTGTCCTTATTCGCGAAGTGTCCTTATACGCGAAGTGCCATTTAAATGTTCTTGAAGTATGTGAACCCATATAATTATGGTAAAATATGACATGCATTTCAAAACAAAGCCCTTTTCATACTCTAAATCTTTTCATGTACACGCAAACTGAAGTCATGTTTTTATAGAGAAGCTGGAAATTCGTAGGTGGAATGATTTCTGGATATATGAATGCAATGCTGGTTGCCGGATGAGGTGGAGATGTGTGTCCAGCCATGTTTTCGCACTGTCGTGGTCTTCAGACGCGCTATCTCCCACGATCTGCTTGCAGGACACACCATGTTGTTTATCCCATCGCTCAATCCAGTTCGAATCCAAGCTAGCGTGTCGTATCCTTCGTTGTGGTCCTGGATCATCGAGTACTTCTCCGCAAAGGAGAGGGCTTGCGGTTGAGACCTCGTTCAGCCATGTTCACTAAACAATGTCTGAACGACAAACGAAATCACATCGACACTAGGCAAATGTCGCCATTTTATGCGATTTTCCGAGATCGATCGAGCCTCGTACCGAGTTACCAACACCCCCAGAGTGTGCAACGTCCGATCCAGCTCTGCATAAGGTCTTCGTCGAGCGTAGTCGGATCTTCTGATGTCATGTGCACGCTCCACACCGGCGGAAGGCCAGTCTCGAGGCAGGTCACCGTTGTTTTTGATCCGAGAGTCTCCGCGACTCCCCGGGTCCCCTCAGATCTGTACGGTATTATGTCCCAAAGATCCGATTACGCTCGATAAAGACCCTATTGCAGAGCTGGATCAGGCCTTGCACACTCTGGGGGTTACGTACTTTTGGTCATAGTCATGCGCCATCATACACGGACCGGTGTTGTGTTTGAAGAAAAAAGTAGTTCTCTCCTGGTGAAAGTTCTCTCCTGGTGAAAGTGCTGGCTCTCAACACTTTCCAGTGCTGCATCTAAACTTCTGGCACCTCTGTCTATGAGTTCTTGTTCTGGTGATTCAGCATGACAGGCGGGTGACACACATCAACGGTGACAGGTACGATCATGCACCTGTCAAGAGCCCGAAAAGTCGTTATTGGAGTAGTGGATTTGACGTTGAGGCACGGAAATCGTGTCGTTAATCGTGAATTGTCGTTACTCAGATAGTCGTTGTATCCAAAGTAAAATGTATGCTGGGACTTTGCTCTGGGCATGGAAATTCTGTCGTTGTTCGCGAATTGTCGCTATATCCACAGTCGTTATTCGCGAATTGTCGCTATATCCACAGTCGTTATTCGCGAAGTTGACTTTATTGCATGGTGGTATGTTGTATGTACCACGTCATTGTATTGTGTCAAGAATTGCAGCGTGTTATTATGAGATTGGCATGGCACTGCTTAGGGCTAACGAGTTTGTTTACGTGCCCAGTACTCTGGTAAATGAGATCAGCTGAACGTGAGGACTGATTTCCTGTGTACGTGTGTGTCTGTCTGTCTGTGTGTGTCTGTGTGCTTGCTTGTGTGTGTGTGTGTGCATGTGTCTGTCTTTGTCTGTGTTGTACTCGTGTTCGTGCTTCGTGTTCGTAGCCGGTGGAGTTCAATCATGCCATAAGTTACGTCAACAAGATCAAGGTAAGAGTGACGGCGTGCGTGTGTGTGTGTGTGTGTGTGCGCGCGCGCGTGTGTGTGTGACTTTTTCTGGTTGCTATGTCTAACATAGCTGTTCGCTATCATCGCTTCCGCGATGGGCATGTCTGAGGTGTGTGTGTGTGCGTGTGCAGGTGTGTGTGTATGTGACATGTGACCGTCTTACGGCAACGTTCAGGACAGGCTTCCGGCTTGGTGTGTTGTCCGGTACATGGAGTGTAACTCTGCCGGTTTGCATACCCTGAATCAGCCTCAATCACCCTCAATCAGCCTCTATCAGCCTCAATCACCCTCAATCACCCTCTATCAGCCTCAATCAGCCTTGTACTGTCAATGTACAGTAAACCTCCCCAGATCCGGGCTGGTTGGGACCGAGCGCTGCCCGTAACTTAGAACTTGCATAATTACTGCATGCAAGTAAAGGTTGTATGCCATTACAGTCCATTCATAAGAAGATGGGTCCTGGCTCTGGCGAGCTCCCGTATTTGGCGATTTTTCGTGATTTCATCGTACACAGTGCAGTGCTGCGAACTTTGAAATTTGAAAAAGGGTCCAAAAAGGGTGCCTGAACTGGGGTTCGAACCGCAGAATGCACTGTTGCAGGCGGGGTCAAACGGCCTGGATTTTGATGGTTTTTCCCAATTCAGTGCTTTTGGGGCAAAACCTGGCCGAAATCCTATTCTTGCTATGGCTTGCTTTTTGGACAAAAAAACTTCAGAAACATAATTGGAAAAGGATTCCATATGGGATTGCAGAAAAAAATTCTAAAAAAACTCAACGTTTGACCCATTTATGGCCAAAAGCTAGAAGTTCATTTTATTCTGAATGGACTGTAGGGGCCATCCGTAAATACCGATATTTATTTAGAAACGAAAACTAGTCGTTTCCCTTCAACCCCCCCCCCCCCCCCCCCCCTCCCTCAGAAACGAACACATACAAACTATGCATAGTATCTATATTTTATTCTTTTCTTTTCTGGCTGTGCCCACACATACAAACTGTGCATCGATATTTTTCGAGAAACGAACAGGCGCTCAACCCCCTCCCCCTAAACGACTAGTTTTCGTTTCTAAATAAATATCTATATTTACGGATGGTCCCTTAATAATTATGACTGTTTTGAGGCCGGTGGTCGTTGTAAAGCCACTTTTATAACTCTAGATGGGTAAGAAAGGTGCCCGGTAGACAAAGGTACCCGGATTAGGGACGTCGTCCAGATCTGGGCAGTTTTACTGTACTCACCAACTCCTCAGATCCGGATATGTCCATCTAGCGGACACCATGGCACACCCGCTGTGCACAGATCCAAGCACCCTTTTGCTGCGTGTACATATGAACTTCTTGTGTCTATGGGTGTATATTGTGGTGTGCTGCTGCTTGCGTGTGCTGTTTAGAATCGATTCCAGCGGCAGCCTGAGATCTACAAATCCTTCCTGGAAATCCTGCACACATACCAGAAAGAGCAGAAAAGCATGAGCGAAGTGAGTAGCAATGCTTGCCGTGGGTGACACTATGGTTGTTGCTGTTGGTGGTGGTGGTGGTGCTGCTGTTGGTGGTGTTGTTGTTGGTGGTGTTGTTGTTGCTGTTGCTCTTGCTCTTGCTGTTGCTGCTGCTGTTGCTGCTGTTGCTGCTGTTGCTGCTGTTGCTGTTGTTGTTGTTGTTGCTGGTGGTGTTGTTGCTGGTGGTGTTGTTGCTGGTGGTGTTGTTGTTGGTGGTGGTGGTGGTGTTGCTGTTGCTGTTATTGTTGCTGTTGTTGTTGTTGTTGCTGCTGCTGCTGCAGCTGTTGCTGCTGTTGCTGTTGTTGCTGCGTCTACTGTTGCTGTTGTTGCTGTTGGTGCTGCTGCTGCTGCTGCTGCATGTCGGTCATGCATGATTCCTGTTCACATCAAGCTGTGCCTGAACTGCACTGTACATACCGCTGTATTGGTACTCGTACAACTCTATTGGTACTCGCACGTGTGTATTGTGCGAGTGCAAGTGAGATAACAGCTAAACAGCAGCCTGTAGGGCTTCAGGTAGTGTTGTTCTGTCTTACGCTCTTCACTGAACAGGTGCTTTTTTGTTCTCCGCGAGCTGCTGGTGTTGGATCCATAAGACAGTTTGACTTGTATCAGAGTGACTGTGAAGCTGTGAATGCTATCTGTCATGTTACACAATGGTGAAATCTGTGTATACTCAGATTGATTGCACAGTGGCTGGCACCAGTCAGTGTATAGGGTTGGAAAGTGATGACGCCAGAAGTCAACACATCTCGTGGCCTGGGGGCAAGCTGGATCCACAAACTGTGCCGTAGCGAAGTACAGTATCAGGGGTGAATAGGCACCTCGTGTCGCGAGCAGGTGTGATTTGTTTTCTGTACCGCGAGTGGGGGGGTCGTCCTCGTACAGTCAATACCGGCAGACATGCCACCCTGCTGTGTGTAGTTAACCCGCCTTGTCCGTGTACTTGTACTTGTTGTTCACTGCCAAAACTGGTCACGTGGGTCTCCCCGGGAGAGGGGAGAGCGACGCAAAAGGAATCTTGGAAAGATGACTCGGCTGGCTATTGAACCGCCCAACGGCCGACAGTGACAGTCACACCCCCTCTAATCCCCAAACTTTGGGTGGACTTGGAAATGATCCCACTTATGGGCTCACCACACCTCAGTAAGTGGGCGAGGACAAGGTGCAGAAAAAGGATTGACGGCACCAGGGTATCCGTCCCGGGATCCAATTGCATTTACCCCTGCCCGCAGTGAAGGTAATACTTGCTTATAGTACCACCTAAACATGTCTGGATCTATCCGAATACTGGGATTCGAATGGATCCATACACAGACTGGCTACAAGTGGATCCATGCAAAACTGGCTGTGAGGTGGCACTTTCAAGCCCTGTTGGGCTATCTTGTTGTTGACTAACATGACGCTGTGTTTGTGTCCTTTCCATCGTCGTGTTCAGGTGTACACTCAGGTTGCTCGTCTGTTTAAGAACGAGAAGGACCTACTGGGAGAGTTTGGAAACTTCCTGCCTGACGCCAGTGGTGGTGGAAATCAAGTAAGCACTGTGCACTGCTCTCTGTGTGTGTTTCTGCCTGTTCTGCCTGCAGTGACAGGCTGTGCATTACGTTCTTGTTGTGTCCTGCTCAAGGCAGACCAACTCTTCGAAAGATGAGAATGAATCATCAGTGAAACGCACTGGCTTTCAAAAAGGGTAGCTGGCTGCAAAGGCGGCTTGAAAGGTGACGTGTGAATGTGTTATGCGCAAGGTGCGAGAGGTCCAGCAGTGCAGGGCCTAGGGTGCAACAGTGCATGGAAGCAGGTGCGAACAGTAGCACTAGCAGCCTAATTGCCAAGACCCATGCAGGGAAAGGTGCTATAATATCACCACATGCCCCCTCGGCTTGAGTGCGACTTCAGAGCACTGCCACAAAAAAAAAACCTGAAATTGATATTCGAAAAATCACAGCGTCGCGCGCAAGCTACAAGGAAAAAGCAGAAGAAGCATGCCTAGTCAATCTATGCACGCGGCCGGAGGAACCGTCTGTTCCGCCAGAAGCTGGACCCCAGTGACCGTGCACCGTGTAGCTCCGTCCTCTTCTCGTGCATCTTGTGACCGTTCCTTCCATATCCCAGCGTTTTGAAGACTGGTTCTGGATCCATACCTTATCGCCTACGTGGAGAGGGGGGGGGCAGAGGTTTGCCAAGCCGGGATGAGACCTGCTGGGGAGCGCCGCGGCTGTGGGCAGCGAACTGCTGCAGATTTGCAGGGAGTGTGTGAACCTTGGTCCTCGTCGGCCTTCCAAACAGTAGCTGGCCGGGCTTGCTCCTCCTGCACCCGGCGTGTTACGCCACTCCAGCAACCCTTCTCTGAAGGCACTGCTGTTATAGGCGTCTCCTTTGCCGATTTTCAATAACAAGTGCTTCATGGCCTTGACCACCGCCTCAGCCGCGCCATTTGACTGAGGGTTGTACGGGCTGCTGGGGTCGTGGCAAACGTTCCACTTTGAGCAGAACGAAGCGAACGCTGAAGACCTGAATTGTGGCCCACCATCCGTCGTGAGGCGCGTAGGAACACCAACGTCCGACATCCACTGAACGAGATGTTTGGTGACATCAGACGCCTCAAGCTCAGTGTCGTACACGATGACATCCTCTACCACTTTCTGAAGATTCGAAAACCCGGCGAACACTTGGTCTCTTCTCCGGTTGTGTTCGTCACCTGCCGACACCAAGCCCATGACGTTCCGCTTGAAACGGTAGGCACCCGATGGCGTCATGAACGTTGTGAGCCTGGTGCTATCGTCGTCGAGGGGTACCTGCCAGTAGCCATGGTGAGAATCTAGGGTGGTGAAGTACTGCATCCCCATTGGGACCGACGCGACGACCTCCCGAGGTACCCGGGTTGGGTATGCCGACCCATTATTTTATTTAGACCCATCAGGTCCACCGTGATTCGTGGCTCACTGGAATTCTTCTAAGGGACCACCACCAGTGGGTGACACCAAGTGTATGCTTCGCCGACAGGCACCTTCTCAATGACGCCCTTGCCCACCATGTCGGACAGCTGGTTCTGCACAGCGTCCCGCCACCTGAATGGGATGGAGCGAGCGCAATACAGGCGGCATGGCGACGCACCGTTGACGAGCTCGATGTGCATCGGCCCACCGCTCATGGGCTTGAGCGGGGTATCACAGAACACTTCTGGAAACTCTTCCAGCAAGGTCCGTCGGATTTCCTCAGCCGCCGTCGACGCAGTACCTACTGACGTGTCTGCGACTTCGGCTGCTTGCTTCCGAGGTATGGAGATGTTTGCCACTCTTAATGCCCTTAGGCGGGAGTGAGGCCATCCATCCTCGAGAAGCCGCAACTTCATGCATGTGTCCTTGCTGAGCAAAGGTGTGTTCAGCTGCCGGAATACGTGCAGAGTCGACACGGTAGTAGTGTGGCTCAAGGACAACTGAGCCTTCAGCTTGCCCATGGAATCCAAAGCTGTACCGTTAGCTGCCTTGACATCAGCTGTGCCCGGCACTAGATTCATCCTGAGGCTTGGGTCGATACCATCCAGGTCCGTCAGACTGATGGCGTCCACATCTACGCCCGTGTCCGGCAGCCACCCGATAGCGCATGACGATCCTTCCTGGATCGCGACGCCAACCGTCACCAGCTTGTTCCTAGAAGGACCAGCCTGGTTCACAAACAGTGAGTCGATAGACGTCGTTTCTGGTGAGGGCGAGGCCCGCTGTCGACAAACCCTAGCAAAGTGACCCATCTTGAGGCACAAGCGGCATGTCTGGTTATAGGCCTTGCATTGGCCCTTGGGGTGAGTCTCCCCACAAAACCTGCACGTGCTTACGTCCGACTTCAGCATCTTTGCCTGCGCCTGATGCCGCTTGTAAGCAGGGAGTAGTACAATACCGGGAGATGACACGGGCACATAACCGGACTTCCGAGCTTTGCCTCACGAAAAGGACGAAACCGCGCGAAAATTCAAATATTGTGTGTTTGACAATGCTGAGAGAACCTCAAATTTGTGACGAGAAGACCAGACGTATCCCTTCGTGACAAGCTATCACTTCATCTTTTCTGGTCGAGACTTTTTTGGAAGCTAGTCTGGTACATCGTCCACACTGCTGCCAAGTCACGACTCTCCAAAATGGATGGGGGTGACGAATATGGAGGACGCTATCCTAGGTAAGTAACGTAATGGAATTTTCTCATCTTGACATGGTGTAACACAAACCTGAATTTTTCATTTGGACCCTCTCGAACACCCCACCCAGCTGGGATATTTCGAAACTATACCTATTTGTCTTCCATTCTACTTCATTTCAACGTGTTAGAGACTGCAACACTTTGGAAAACTCGCTTTGAAATTTCACAACTAATTTAGTTGTATGGATTTGAACAATATGTTCAAGATCATGTACAATATGCTCAAGATCACTTGTTTTCAACATTCAATGACGCCAGGCTTTGTTGCTCTGTTTACTTGCTGTACACATGGGCAGAAGAGAAAGGGTGCAGCCTCCGGTATGGCTGCAAAGTCTGCCTTCTTGACGCATCGCCCAAAAATAAGGAAATTCAAATAGCATCAGTATTTCAATGCATTTTGTGTTTGGATATTGGTGTGTATTTGTGTAGTCCTAGCGTGTTGAGTAATATTACTAGTCCTGAGAAGGGTCTATGCCACACTGCATTGTGCTAGTATGAAACTGGAACTACTATTCTGAACAACCTTTTAGGCTGTAAATTCTGCACGGTACACAGCGCAATCTGGTGTGGAAGAGCCCCCACGTATGAACAATGATAATAGGTCTCATCTGGCAAGGTTAGTTACACAGTTCTACCACCATTGCCCATTTAGAACAGAAGGATTGATGTTAAAACATGGCTGTTCTTTCTTTGGTATGCATACTACACAGAACATGTCATCAGAAGCCGACGCCTCCGAATCGCCGTATCGTGTGCGAGAATTTCTTGAATAACAAGTAAAGATTACCTTTCTCAAGCAAACTGCATGCAAGGCCAGCTTCACGATGAGCATGAAGCTTCTGGAATAAGGGAACTGCACAGTAACTCAAGTCGTCCACATGACGCTTGTCATCACCATCATCATTGCTGCTAATGCTATCAACAACAGTGTGATAATCATCATCTTTCCGAGATACATTAGCTGCCACCACCAGATCTGTTCCAAACTTTGGAATGATCTGAACCAAGTAATCTGCTGATGTATAGCCAAAAGAGAAATAAGAACGTGAAGAACTAAAAGTCAACCAACGAAATTCTGTTAAAATCACTCTTTCGACAGCTGCCCACATCGAAATACTGGTCACGCTGAACGTATCCGGCTGACTGAGGTACAGTGGCCACTTGGCGTACCTCATCCGATTCCTCCTCGTCACTTGGAAAAACTGATGCCATTTGCTTGTTTCCAAAGTTCCATTGCACCAATAAACTTCTTATATTACCGGTACTTCTCCAAAACAGCTCTCCAACTTGTTGCAACTCTTTGGAAGTCTTTCCATGAAATATCATTTCTGGTGTTAAGTGCTAAAATATATTGTTACTAGGAAATCAACACACACACACACATGTGCGCATGTTCTTTATTCTCAGTTCATGTTTTACCTGATTACCTTCATGGTATATGTGGCTTGATTACTTGTAACATTGAACACAATTCCACATTGACTGAAAATCCGAGCAACATAGGTTTCTTGGCACCAACACCAGGGAGTGGCACAATCCCTTTGTGCTACTCCCTACTTGGCACCCGCTGATATCATAGACATCTGCGGATACATGTAGCTGCCTTGGCATCTTACTTTTATTCATGTTGTGTCGCATGAATGTCTCTGATGATCTGTCTTTGGAATAGGGAAATCGGCAAGTCATACCTGAAATATCTTGTGCAGTGTGACGAACTTGCGTCGCAGTTTGTGTATCTCCCTCAAGAAATGATGACGTGCATAAACTGAAAATAAAACAAACTACTTCCCGTCGTAGTAAATATTTTAGAGAAATCAGGCTCTTGCAAGCTGCCCACGTAAAATACTGCACACACTGAAGGTACCCGCGTGAGGTCCGGCTGCAATTTGACCTTCCTCGGAGGATTCCTTCTCGTCACTTGGCAAAACCGATGCATTCGTTGCCTGCAGCGCATAAACAAACTATTACTTCCAACTTCTCGAAAACAACTCCTCAGCTTTTCGAAGTCATTCTATGGAAAGATTTTGAAAATGCTACGGTAAATGGTTTGCAAAGTACGAAATTTCACGCCATTTCCCGGGACGTACCCGGGAAACAGCGCTCCACAAAAAAGTGATCTGAGGCAAACCCTGTCCGCAGGTTTGTGTGCCCGTGTCATCTCCCGATATTGTACTACTCCCTGCTTGTAAGTGTACTTCGTTGCCGCCGCCAACGCCAGGTCGGACAGCTGCTCACCGAGGCCAGATTCCGTATCGGTAGAGGATTCATATGCAGAGCATATCTGCATGACCCGATCGAGCGATAACTCGCTGGCATACTCTTCTTCAAGCACCCGTCGTTGCATCGCTCGATCCCCTAGGCCACAGGCGAGCCTGTCGCGGAGCCGGGTTTCCCGAAGTTGAGCTTCATGGCCGCACAGTGACCCGCGTCTGCCGCACTGCAGACTATCTGGGTAGTTGCATGCGTTATGCAGCTGAGACAGACCCGAGAAGTACTGGCTGATACTCTCACCTTGTCTCTGGCTCCTGCCATGGAAGGCCTGGCGGTCGAGTAACGGGTTTCTTCGTTTTCTCAGGAAAGCTTCCATCTTCTGGACGGCAACCCGCTCATCATTGCTGTCGGCTATGGGAACAAACCCGCCTGCCACAGCCGCACCCAACCGTCGTTCAGTGCTGTACGGAGAATTGCCTGCTGCGTAACTGTACCTGCGTTTTCTGCATAGCCCAGTCAACGACACGTAGTCGGACCACTTGACTTTCCACTCAAGGAAACCGGCTAGGTCTATCGAGTCCGGACTGGGCAGGTGGGGTATTTCTGCTCTCTGGGCCCACGGCCCTGCCTCTGGCTGTCTTGAGGTGGATGGTGGCGGGCCGCTGGGTGCGCCTGCGGCGGGCTGGCTTGACTGCGCCATTGTGAGCCTAAGCAGAACCTGCTGCTGCTGGCTGAGGCATTGGACGATAGACTGCAGCAGGCTTCCTTCTTCTTGAGCCCCTGGCTGCATCCGCCCTGTCAACCCGTCGTTGGTTGCTGCTGCTTCCTCAGCCTTGGCCTTGACAGAGGTTCGTATCCTGTTTTATTATGATTACTGTTCACTGCGCCATGTTGTGTCCTGCTCAAGGCAGACCAACTCTTCGAAAGATGAGAATGAAACATCAGTGAAACGCAATGGCTTTAAAGGGTAGCTGGCTGCAAAGGCGGCTTGAAAGGTGACATGTGAATGTGTTATGCGCAAGGCGCCAGAGGTCCAGCAGTGCAGGGCCTAGGGTGTGAACAGTAGCACTAGCAGCGTGCCAAGACCCATGCAGGGAACGGTGCTATAATATCACCACAGTTCTGTGGTGCAACGTCGGCCTAGTCGACTACCGTTCTTATGACGCAAGCTCAGTGCAGCCCTTGATCAATAGTTGTCACGTTTGTCCTAGTGACAGTACCATTGTCGTTTGTTATTAGTTTCGAGCTGGGTATGTGAACATAGTGAAAAGAAAAAAGAAAAAAAGCCACCGGACGAGTGTATTGCCCAGGGAACATGCATGGTGGTGTTTGGCGACTTGCTTCCACTATACGTGACTTGCTGGCTTGCTAGCAAACTTGAAACACTCCACCGCTCCACATTGCGCTCTTAGCCCGCATTCACAACACCACACTCCTATAATTATAGCGAGGAAACTCGTTCTTACGTTGCTAGCAAGCTTGATTGTAGTACACGGGTGCTGTTTGGCATGTCCGCCATTCTTATGTGTAGCATTGAAATTGAGCGCCGGAGGTAGTGCCACTGGTATGGTGTTGCGTACGTCTTGTACCTACCAGTATAGAGCTTGTGCAAATAGCTAGCGACTGACCCTGACAATTCCTTCTCACCCACCATTCTAGCAGCCACAGCAAACAAGTAGTTGGATTCGGCACTTTAGCGGTCAGAGCTGTGACACAAATAGCACCTAAAAGTAAGAATGCGTTAGTGGCGCCAACTACATGAAATGAGAAGGACTCTGCAATATACCGTCACCTGATATCATCACCGACCTATCTGGGTGCAGTGTGCAAACGCAGCATTTACTCGCACTTCAGTATCAAAGCGCGTGTGTGCAACAAATCTCACCGTGCTGTGCTGGAGGCGGTATAATTATATTGCCAAGCTGAAACCTGAACTGCACAAGTACCAGTATGTGCGAAAGTTGTCACTGTTTTGACATTGTAGTACCGTTTTCCCCGCTGTTGGTTGATAATACGTTCTGTATTGATTGTCTGACTATGTAGTTGGCCGCCACTAGCGCTTTCTTAGGACGGTGCCATTGTTGTAACTGCTCTGACTGCCAAACTGCCGGATATAAGGACTAGTTTGATGCGGCTTTAATCATCACTGCATTTTTGAACAGTTCTGGTAGGAAATGCTAGTTTTGCTTCTGTGTGAAGAGGGTTTACTGTCTTGTACAACTACATGTACAAGGTCGGCGTATCTGGAGGCATAGCCAAGCGCCGTGGAGGCTCACAGGGAACCGATCTAGTGCTCTTGCGTCTGTCTGCCCGGCCACCACCGCCCTATTTGTCTAGTTCCCACAATACAGTGTACGCTGGTGGCTGAATACAGTGCATTGCGAGTTTCTTGGCTCTCGAAAAGCAGCTTTTTTGTTACTTTGCAGTTCTCTGGGCTTTAGGCCCTCGGAAAAGTCTTGTATTTAGTGCGAATATGGCTAGTAAGCCACCCGCTGTTGCAGTGGACATTGCAGTCCTGATCAACAGACAGCTGAGGGCCCACGTTAGACGGCGGGGATGGTAGTTTCAACGAAACGCCACCAGACCTGAACTTGTTGCTCTGCTCAGGACATCATAGCATATAGACAAGGATGTAAGTGTGCGCACTAGCGCGAACTCTCTGGCTGCTGGTGTCTAAGTGAGCGTGTTGTTGCCAGCCTGTGCTCCGCTCTGTCTGAACTTACTGACGTTGTCCGAGAGTTGTGAAGGCTGAATTCAACTTATTCCATGAAAGAAATGGAAGCAGCTTTATTTCGTGTGCACTCGTGTGTGTGTGTTTTGAGTTAAGTATCTCTTTGTGGTTATGAGCTAAAGTTTCTTTTTTTAACAAAACAAAAAAAGGAACGAAAGGGCTTGAAAGCCCAGGAGCCATCGTTCTTGTCCCTCACTTATTTTTTTATTTTTTAAATATAATTTACGCTGGTGCCTTCTTGTCCGGACTGCAAGTAAAGAGGGTGTTCTTTTGGAATACATGTGGTAAGAGTGTAGCGTTTGCTGCCTCCTGAAGATTGCCGTCCAAGCATGAACTTTGGAGTCCCAGCTTGTATGCTTTCAACTGACCATTCGCCGTGGGCGGGTGTGCTTACTGTTAACTATGCCCCGCTGTCTACATCATACTGGCAAGAGTAAATAAGCTCCCAGGAGTGTGCATCTCTGCATATGGGGTCTCTGACGGCGAAAACTCACATCACGTGTCTCATATACTTGTTGTACTACGCACACCTAAAGATAGCAGGCGCGCAACCCCAATATCTGCCATGATCATGCTGGCGATTTGCATATGCACGGTGAGTTTCTGTCCGGGAGTTCTTTTTATTACTTCGCTGCTCGCTAAAAACGGGCTGGAAACGTACAACTGGGACACTACACCACGTGATGTGAGTTTTGGCCGTCGGCACACCCCGTAGAAAGGGTATCAGGAGTTGCACACTCTTCGGAGCTTATATACATGTACTCTTGACAATGGTTGTAGCAAGCGGATAGCTTCTATGACAGTGTATGATGTAATGATGACATCATCGTGATTGATGCAATGGGTTTTGTTTTCTCCTTCCTATGTTGTTGCTGTAGCTGATGACTTCGCTGCAGAACACGGTTGCTTCCAACAGGCCAGCATCAACAAGCTCCAGTACAGCACCGCTCGCCACGAAGAAATCAGGTTAGCTGATCAGTGATGGTGGTGTTGTTAAGACTTCTTTAATTTCGCAAATTTTAGCTGTACTTTTATTTTTGGCGGGTCTCTTTCATACTCCTCAGAGCTCATTTCAGAATGCTGATAGGTTGATCGAAGTCGTGAAGTTTTTGTTTCCGAATGAAGCACATGTATATTCTCTTGCCTTAGTTAGGTAGATGAGAGCTGGGGCTTGCTTGATAATCTGCATTTGTTGATTTTTTGTACTTTGTTCATCTGTTGTATGCTGCTGGTGGTTCCGGTGTGTGTGTGTGTGTTGGTGTGTGTGTGTGTGTGTGTTGGTGTGTGTGTTGGTGTTGGTGTGTGTGTGTTGGTGTGTGTGTGTTGGTGTGTGTGTTGGTGTATGTGTGTGTGGATGTGTGGGTGTGGATGTGTGTGTGTGTGTTGGTGTGTGCATGTGTGTGTGTGTGTTGGTGTGTGCGTGTGTGTGTTTGTGTGTGTTTGCAGAGGGCAAGGCTGGAAAGGACGTGAAGCGCGTGTCCAAGCGAGGTCCACCGACCGCCTCACCCATGGGAGGTGCTCCGCCAGCCAAGGTATACAGAGGGCTAGACACCGCTGTTGCCATTCTTGCCATTCTTGTGTAGAAGAGGCTCAACTGTCACTGTCAGAGCCTTTGCAGCTGCAGCAGTGTCACTTCAATCCACAGATGGGGCCAGTCCGTGTAATCATAGTTGCTGGATGCATCAGCTGCAGGTGCAGGTATTTCTGTAGTAATCTGTACTACTGAAATGAGCATTGCGTTTGCTGTGCGGCAGTGCTAGGATCTTTTCAGCGGAACGTAAGAAGAAGAAAAAGAAGAAACCAACCCCGCAGGCTGGTTTGTAGTCCCGCTGCAGTCTCCTGCAGCCTGCGTGTCAGTGTATGTGTGTGTATGTGTGTCTGTGCAGCTGTGCAACTGTACTATACTAGCTCAGACAGCATCTGTTCTGCTTCTGTCTTGCAGGAATCTAGTGTAGCCGGAACTTTCACCGCCCTGAACTTTCAGAAATTCATCCATGCTCACTGCTGTTGACACGAATTCTTCCCGTTGGCTTTGTCCGAAGCAAGGGATCTGCAACTGTGCTATGTGCACTTGTAGAACAAGTTACATATCGTTTTCTGTCTGATTCTGCGTCCTTTCCTGTGTGCACAAGAAAATCAAGCCCCAGCGAGAGATGGCGCCGAGCGATGCGGCTCGCATTGATAACTATTGCGAGTTCACCTTCTTTGAGAAGGTCAGTGAGTGTGCTGTGAAGTGGAGGGGGGGGGGGTGCGTTTTGGGGCACGCACGCACAGGGACAGACTGATGAGAGAGAGACAGAGAGTGTGTGTGGGGGGGGGGGGAGATTTCACGTGTCATTTTCACCACTTTTCGTACCCTGCAATGGACTGGTGATTGAACATGATATCAGTGTGTTTTCTACTATTCTATACTTGTTTTGCTGTTTTTCCTATGTGGTGTTTAGGTGCGGAAAGCGCTGCGCAATCAAGACGTCTTTGACAACTTTCTTCGTTGTCTGACTCTCTTCAATCAGGAGGTCCTGTCACGTGCCGAGCTCATTCATGTTGTCTCGCCATTCCTATCGTAAGCTTGTGGTTATCCTGCTCTTCTGTGGCGTTGCATCGACGCATACCCCTCCCCCGTCTCTCTCTCTCTCTCTTTCTCTCTCTCTCTCTCTCTCTGACCTTCCACTCATGAACTCATTCCACTCTGTCCAGCAGTAAGATAAACTTGAATACATTAACCACCAGAGCCCTTATGATTTCAGGAAATCCCAATGCACTGTTTGCACCATTTGGCAGTTGCTAATCAGCGGCAGTTGGGCCGTTACTTCAGTACGGCCGGTGGTGTCAGCTTGCACTGTACCTTGATAGCACAGACGGTGTTAACAATAATAGATTATTACACCTGCCCAAACTCATAATAGAGAGGTTCTGGGGTACGATTTTCCGTGCCAAAATCCGTATGGGCGCTACGGATTTTTTCCAGGCGTGCTCCATACGATTTTTCGGCACGGAGAATCCGTGTGGACTGGCTTTCATACGAACCATGTTTCGTATGGAGATTTTGCATCATCGGGTGCAGAAAGATTTTTCGCGTACAAATTTGGTACGAGAAACATCGATTTTGCGCGGGAAGTTTTGAATTTTCAAAATAAAAAGGCATAGCGCGGGAATGTGACGTGTTTGCGATCGTAACCTAGGGCGCGTTTGGTTGGTACGAACTAGAACAGGATTCACCAGAACAGCGCGTTTGGTTGGGACTGCACCTGTTCTGGGTCGGCCGGAACATGTTCTGCTTGCTCCGGCCTCGAGGCCGGAGCAGACCGAGCAGTTTCACTTTTTCACAGTGAAACCTGGCGGGAATATCGATTTTGTTCCCAAATGATCACTTGCATACGCTTTTGGGTTGGACTCGTCGTACCGTACAAAGTGACCATGGTGATCCATACACATTTTGAAGAATGCACCAAGTTTGGCACATTTTTCCACAAAAATGTGCTCTGTTTCTGAAGTAGCGTTTGGTTGGCATGAGGCTGCTCCATGTGCACCAGCTGTTCGATCCTGTTCTAGATCGTACCAACCAAACGCACCCCTAGGCAATGACGGCAAACACATAAGTTCCGTACCCCGGAACTTTTCACTGCTCGAAAACGACGTATAAAAAATCCGTAGCGCCTCCACGGATTTTGGCACGAAAATTCGTACTCCGGAACCTCCCTAATGCCACCATCCGCTCTTCTGATGTATGTTGTTGCACGGTGCTGTTGTTCTATGGCCTGATGGTTAATTTGCAATCTGGCTCTCTTTTTGTGCATGTATTTGCAGTAAATTTCCGGACCTATTTACGTGGTTCAAGCAATTCCTCGGCCACCGTGATGTCACTAACCTGCAGTCGGCTGCTGCTCTGGCCAATAAGGAGCGTATGGCATCCACCGCTCCCGACATTGGTACGTTGCCGCAAGTTCGGGAGCCCCTTTCCAGCATATTGCCGCCAGCTGTGCTGACACAGGCAGAGGCGTGACTTCACGTTTGTGTTCAATCTGTTATTCCCGACTTTGGAATGTCTTCTTGTCTTTGGTTCGTACTTCATGCTGTCACGTGATTAGCTTTGTGAATGCACCCGTTCTCAGCGGTACGTTTTCACTGTCACAATACTTATCCCTGCTGTCTGTCTGGCTGGGTGCATGGGTGCATTTATGTCAGGCCAAAGTCAGAATTCTTATTTGTCCTGTTTCGTTACTGACCTGACCCCATGGTGTCCGTTGTTGCTATATGGTGTTGAACTCAGACTATTCATCATGCAAGCGCTGCGGCGTCAGCTACTTGGCCCTGCCCAAGAGCGTTGTCTCGCCGAAATGCTCCGGTAGAAATACCATGCATAAGGAGGTTAGTGCAATATGACATTGTGTTGTGTGGGGGTTGGTGGGTGAGTGTACTTGTTGCGTTTGTTTGTGTGGAAACTTCGCCCAGGCCTATGTATATGCAGAGATATAATATTAGCCACGGTAATTGTATTGATTTTGTGGTTGTGTGTGTGTGCGTGCGCGTGTGTGTGTGCATACGTGTGTTGCTTGTTACTAGGTGTTGAACGACACGTGGGTGTCACTGCCGCTCTGGTCCGAGGACAGTGCTTTTCTTGGCACAAGGAAAACCCAGTTTGAAGAGTACATCTTCCGGTAAGACACTACTGCCTGCTGCTGCTGCTTCCGGTGCTGCTGTCTGGTGCTGCTACTGGGTGCTGCTGTCTGTTGCTGTGGTGGTGCTCAGTGAAATACTCTCAATTGAGTCGACTGACTTCATGTAGTGCCAAATGCTGCCCAATGCCTGACCTGCAAACACTGGACTGTGCACTGGGACAGGCCCGCAGAGCACTGTGTAGTCCCAGAGCTGCGCCAAAGCTGGGCTGTGTGTTGGCTCAGGACACTTATTCCAGAGATTAGATTCATTGGGCATGGATATAATTATATTGGTTAGTGTACAGTGTGCAGTGTACTTGCTAGGCTCTCTTGGTGTCTAGCTATGCTCTGGTTTGTTTGCTATGATAGGCAAGTCTGAATAGGGTCTCCTGTCATAGCAGGAGCAGCGTGTTCTCCACGCCTTACTGGAACACAAAATGGCCAAGTGCCGTATCTGTGTAGGGCAGAGCTTCTATACCTGCCATCAAGACTACACAACGCGCAAGAGTGTGCAACTTCAGCTATGGGGTCTGCGTCGGCAGACCTTCACATCACGTGACAAACCCGTAGACATTATTTGCACCCTGTGTATGATATTGATATATTATACAGCTTTGGGTTCAACTCTCTTGTGATCACTTTGCACTGTTTGCCAGTGTAACCTTCTGAACTATGTTGCGTCAACTGCATAGAGCTTGTGCAGGCTGTTGCACACTCTTGGGGGTTATGTACTCTTGGGGGTTATGTACTCTTGCTACCACGTGTATGTATTTGTAAGGGGTTGATGGATTGCTGCCGTACACCGTACAGCACCCCTAGTTTGGTAAGGGAACGCTGCGTACTTTGTCATGTTCTGGTGATCTGAAGACCATGATGTTCTGCTCTGCTGTGCTTGCTTGATTACTTGCTGTCAATGGTGTATACACTCGTGTTGCTGCATGCTTTGTCATGTGCTGGTAAACCGATACCATCGTTCTGTGCTGTGCTTGCTTGCTGTCAATGGTGTACACACTTGTGTTGCTGCGTCATCGGCACTCAGGACTGAAGATGAGCGTTTTGAGGTGAGTGTGAGTGTGCTGCTACATGTATTATTGTAGTGTTAGTGTAGTCGTTTGCCATGGCATTGCTGCACGGAGTGATTGTGACATTCCTATTGCAAGACTTCCTGTGTACTTTCTCAGCTTTGTCAGGTAGTGCTGTAAAAGCAGAAATCTTCGCTGGTGTTTTATACTTCGGTGCCGACCATTTTTACCGAAAATAAAACGCACCGAAATTTTGGGTACAACCGGTACTGTATACATGTAGTACCAGTACACTTACCTGGAAAACGGGTTTTACCGAAAATTTCCCTCCACCGAACCGCCGATTTTGGAAAATATTACACCACCGAAAATTTCTGCTTTTACAGTAGGACATTGTTCATAGACCTGTGTTTTGTCTAACTTGATAACCTCCCCAAGGCCGTATTACCCGATGGTAGTACTACAGCCTGACGTGTTCATAATTCTGAGGAGTAATTCCTGCCTGGCCATTACAAATGTACATCGGTGTAAAAAATGGCATGTACTAGAAATTGTACATTGTTTTTCGTACGCTATTTTTCCTGCTGCAATCTATTTCACGATGAAACAGTTGACAGATGTGTGGAACCCGTATATTTGGGAGACATGCGACCTGTATTATTATTATTATTATCATCATCATCATTACAATTCATGCGCCTGCTTCTTCTTGACCGCTGTGATTGTGTGTGCGCGTGTGTGTGTGTGTGTACAGCTTGATGTTGTGATGGAGACTAACCTCTGCTGCATCCGCTATCTGGAAGCTGTGCAGCGCAAGATTAGTCAGATGAGCACCGAGGAGCAACACAAGTTCCGCCTGGACAGCCGTCTCGGTGGAGAATCCGAAGTGCTGCAACGAAAAGCCATCAATTGTATTTACGGCTCGAAGGCGCCGGAGATCATTGAGGGACTGAAGAAAATGCCTTGCATTGCCGTGGAGGTTGTCTTGAAACGGTAAGCATTGTTGGAGAGCCCTCTCTAGCATACCGTGTGTGTGTGCCAATAGCAACTATCGACAGACTTCAGCTTAGCCACCAACCGGGTTGTTATTTCTTCAGCTTTCTTTTGAAGGGGGGGGGGGGGGAGTCTTTCCGTATACTGTTTTCCTTTGCGCGTTTGAATTCTGGTTTCGCCTTGTCCGGTCATCTTTATTTTCAATTTGCTGCTTTGTCACAATAGGGTATGAAAGTGTAGCGTGGATGTGCATCTAGCGATTTAAAACTTGTAATGTTTCTTGGCTACATTGTAATTATACTGTAAGGGCTGCAATGTCCGTTGGGTTGCATTTCGACTGAGCCTGCTGACCGCTCGTTGCAATTAAGCTGCTTGAAATTTCTCTAGCTGTTTCAGACTTTTTGGTGCTGTGTCGGTGGTGTGGAGAGCGGAGAGTGTAGTGGCGAGCAAGCACTTAGGTCAGGATATGACAATGCCTTGTGTGTTCAACGTGTGTGTGTGTGTGTGTGTGTGTGTGTGTGTGTGTGTGTGTGTGTGTGTGTGTGTGTGTGTGTGTAGGTTAAAGAGCAAGAATGCCGAGTGGAGAGATGCACTGCGATGCTTCAACAAGCATTGGCGAGATCAGAACGAGAAGTACTACTTGAAGGTGAGCTTTTCTTTGCTGTTGCTGCTTGCGCACATGGTGTTTGATAGACGGCTCTGACTGCTGATGCTTGGAACAGGAAAGAAGTTGAACGTGTGTCTCTGCGCATGTTCATTTGTTTTGCACAGTCTCTGGATCATCAAGGCATCACGTTCAGGACGAATGATTTGCGCTACATTCGCTCCAAGAGCCTCGTTCACGAGATCGAGAACGTCTTTGATGAGGTATGTACATTCTCACACCACCTCGCCAGCCAGACTTGATCTGCTGCACTTGATCTGCTGCACTTGATCTGCTGCACTTGTCGCACTCTATACTCTCTGTGTTATCCCCGTACATGTGTTCTGGTCTGTGCTCTGCGTAATCCCTGTACATCCACTGGCTTTCAAGCTACTGTAATGTAGCATGCTGTCTATGCCTGTGTGTGTGTGTCCACGCGTAGCATCAAGAGAAAGCATCCGATGGCTCGACAGCACACGATCCCAGCGAGCCTCACATGACGTTTCGCTACCAGGTATGTACATGTATTTGATTGGTATTGCAGCAGGTGACCAGTCAACCAATCCCTTACCAGTCCCTTGTTCATTGTGACGGAAATACATTGTTCAGAACTCTTCCTCCTTTATGCTCCCGGTATACCGTAAATGTGCTGGTGTGATAAAGACTGTCGTTAGTAGTGGCTTGGTGGTGGTGTTGTCTTGTTGTGATTGTTGTTGCTATGATTGATGATGCACGACATGCTGTGTGTGTGTGCTGTGTGCTGTGTGGTGGATACCAGGCTACAATTAGTGGTGGTCAATTCATCAGCCTTGCAAGCTGTTGAATGGTGTAATCCCAGCACAAGTTGCTATGTCTAACATAGCTGTTCGCTATCATCGCGTCCGCGATGGGCAGATCTGAGGTCTGAGGTGTGTGTGTGTGTGTGTGTGTGTGTGTGTGTGTGTGTGTGTGTGTGTGTGTGTGTGTGTGTGTGTGTGTGTGTGTGTTGAGTGGATTTTTAATGCTTTGGTCGTTGTTTTGTTGTTGTTGTCCTGTGCTGTGTATGTGTATGTACATCGCATCCCCAGGATAAGTCCATCCTGGAAGACGCCGCCTCACTTATTATTCATCACCTGAAGCGTCAGACGAACATTCAGAAGGATGAGAAGACCAAGATCAAGCAACTTATCCAGTGCTTTCTGCCCGACTTCTTCTTTGCACCACGGTTAGTATGGTTAGGCAACTGGTGTGCACATGTGCCCTCTTACAATCCACGCACTGACAAGGCAGTGGCACGATATCGAAGCGGTTAGCCCAGTGTTTGCCATGGAAGCAATGTAGGACACCCCCTGGTGGAGATCCCACTCAGGATCATCATCCCTTCGGCTAGTTTTCATTTAGGGTTTGCAATGAACGAATGACAGCGCAATGCATGGTTTGTTCTGTACGTGGTCTCTTGCTGCTGCAATGCATGGTTTGTTCTGTACGTGGTCTCTTGCTGCTGCAATGCATGATTTGTTCTGTACGTGGTCTCTTGCTGCTGCAATGCATGGTTTGTTCTGTACGTGGTCTCTTGCTGCTGCAATGCATGGTTTGTTCTGTATGTGGTCTCTTGCTCTTTGTCTGGCTGTGCAGTGGAGAGCTTAGTGACGATGAGGAACGTGATGACAGTCCCACTGGAAAGGATTCTGGCGACAACGATATCGCGGTGAGTTGTGTCCGCTCTCTTACTCACCTCTCTCTGTCTTTGTTTGTCTGTCTGTCTCTCTCTCTCTCTCTCTCTCTCTCTCTCTTTCTCACTATCTCTATCTCTCTCTCTCTCTCTCTCTCTCTCTCTCTTCCCACCCATGCCCACTGCAATAATACATGGGATGCAGCAGAACTTCTGTTGCCCAAATAGTGCTGGATTAGAGAGTGAGAACTGTTAGAGAATATTCATACCTCCGTTGTGTTGCTTTTGAAGCTTGAATTATCATCATACAGTTATTAGACGTGTAATGAGAACTTTGCTGTGTCTTCTGCTGCTGTTTTTTTGCTGCTGTTGCTGCTGGTGTTTGTTGCTGGTGTTGTTGTTGGTGGTGTTGTTTGTTGCTGGTTCAGAGCTCTGACAGTAACATGTTCTACTTGAACAATACGTGGTACGTTTTCATACGGCTTCACCAGGTGAGTACCAGACATACTTGTGTGTGTGTGTGTGTGTACGTGCGTGTGTATGTGTGTGTATGTGTGTGTGTGTGTGTGTGTGTGTGTGTGTGTGTGTGTGTGTGTGTGTGTGTGTGTGTGTGTGTGTGTGTGTGTGTGTGACGCTTAGATCAGATCCACTCTGATTTAGCCACCCACACTAGTAGCAAGTATTACCTTCACTGGGGGCAGGGGTAACTGCAGTTGGATCCCAGGACGGATACCCTGATGCCGTCAATCCTTTTTCTGCACCTTGTCCTCACCCACTTACTGAGGTGTGGTGAGCCCATAAGTGGGATCATTTTCAAGTCCACCCAGAGTTTTGGGGATTTCAGGGGGTGTCGGCCGTTGGGTGGTTCAATAGCCAATGGAGTCATCTTTCCAAGATTCCTTTTGCGTCTCTCTCCCCTCTCCCGGGGAGACCCACGTGACCAGTTTTGGCAGTGAGCAACAAGTACAAGTGTGTGTGTGTGTGTGTGTGTGTATTTCTCTTGCATGCACTGGACACAGCCTTGTCTCGACTAGTCAATCAGTTTCTACTGTCATGATGTATGAAATGTGTTGAGATGACACACATCACTGTTCTACACCTGTAAGCTGTACACTGGTCCATGTTCTCAAGTTGCAGCACAGTGCTCTTACTGCTCGGTACACCATTGCCACTGATTTAGTGTGTATGTCCACCCTGGTTAATATCCTGCTGTGTGTCGGTCTGTGTGTGGGTGTGTGGGTGTGTGTGTGGATGGTTGGGTGCATGGGTTGTGCGTGTGCTTGCGAATGTGTAATTTGGCACTTGCAGTTGCTATGTGACCGTCTTCAGAACATCTATCGCCAGTCGGTGATCATTGCGGAGAGAGAAGCGGCATCCAAGCAGAAATCTAAGAAGACGTCCATTCAGAACACGGCCTCTGTACAACTACATCTGAAGACACCAAGTATGTACTGTGTTTCCCGAGATATGCATGCATCACACCCTTCACTTTTGTGGACCAAACAGCTCACCAAGTGTATAGCTACCGTTCAGCATGTACTCGTAAGCTGAATCATTTATCTTCAGCCTTGCTACAAACAGCTGCTTTCCGGAGGCGCGCTCATTGTACCTCCTGAAGACCCTATGCTTCTATCTTTCTCCCTCTCTCCCTGCTGGCTAGCGGGTTGAGCAGTAGAAAGCAGTGAGGTTACACAATACCATAATATCCATGACGTGGAACACTTTCCAACAAAGTATCATACAGTCCGTGTGTGCAGAGTGTTGCTTGCATTTTGCTGATGAAATGATAAGCTCTGCGAAATTAGTACAGTAAAACCTGTCAAGGCGACCACCTGTCCTAGAAGACCACCTGTCCTAGAAGACCACCTGCCCTAGAAGACCACCTGTCCTAGAAGACCACCTGTCCTAGAAGACCACCTGTCCTAGAAGACCACCTGTCCTAGAAGACCACCTGTCCTAGAAGACCACCTGTCCTAGAAGACCACCTGTCCTAGAAGACCACTGAAACCAGCACCAAGGGATGCTATTTCCAGCCAAATGACCCTGGATAAGGAGACCGCCTGGTAACAGAGACCACGTTTTGAAGGTCCTTTAAGCGGTCGTCTTAGACAGGTTTCACTGTACATGTACAGTTAGTGTTCTGTGAAATCCGACCCAAATTGCATACTCGGCGCTCTCAATTTGCACAACACTTGATGCCCTGGAAGTGGTATGAATGCGGCTGGGTGTACGCATGTACACGTAGAGTGATACAATCGGAACTTGTCCATGGGCACCGGTTTTGCAATTTGGTTCGGATTTCAGTGAGCGTAGCTGTAAAGTTGTGCGTTCTTCACCTAACGCTCGAGCATGCTCCACTCTACTGTAGCAGGTAGCTGAAAACAGACACACCTAGGTCCACCATGGCAGGCTTCCAAGTCCCGCAGGGCCCCTACGCCACGAGGTCCAGACCACCAGGCTCCCCAAAGCACACAGGAGAAGTTCAGACCTACAGTTTTCTTTCTTAAGATTGTGAGATGGTCTGGAGGTTCTGTGACTGCAATACAAACTCCATGTCGGTGTGCTAGGTTTGAGTTTGTTTGCCTGGTTTGTAAATGTGTCTTCTTTGGCTTTTGCTACAGCTTCCGTTGATGTAGAAGAGTACTATCCAACTTTCTTGGACCTTGTCCGGAATCTGTTGGACGGTGCGTGCTGATGGGCTGCCCGCTGTTGTCTGCATGTGCTGTGCCAACTGCCTTTTCCTCTCTCTCTGTCTGTGTGTCTCTCTCTTTTCTCTCACTCTCTCTCTCTTTTCTTTCACTCTCTCTCTCTCTCTCTCTTTCTCTCTCTCTATTTCTCTCTATCTCCTTCACTCTCTCTCTCTCTCGCGCGCGTGCGCGCATGCTGGCTCGCTCTCTCACACTCTCTCTCTCTCTCTCACACACACACACACACTCTCTCTCTCTCTCTCTCTCTCGCTCTCTCACACACACTCTCTGCCCATTTCTCTGTCTGTCTGCCTTGGTGTATGCCTCTCACTGTACAGCTGTGTCGGCTAGACCTCACTGTGGCTTTGTAGACATGCTGAGCATGCTGCCATGTCAATCACAGTATTTCTTTCTGGATTGTACGGTGTTTTCTTGGCACGCTGCACCTTGATAGAGAATTCATATATGTGTTGGCGGCACCAGGGTTCCAGGGTTCAAGTGTGATGTTGGGGGAGTGTGCTGTTGGCTGCACTGCCGTTGTATTCCTTCCTCCATTGTACGTCTTGCCTGTGTTTTCTCCATCGCCATCTCTCTATCTCTCTCTCTCTCTCTCTCTCTCTCTCTCTCTCTCTCTCTCTCTCTCTCTCTCTCTCTCTCTCTCTCTCTCCTGCCTATACTACTGATAGGCCAAATGGAGATCAACGCATTTGAAGACACGTGTCGTGAGATGTTTGGCGTGCACGCCTACAGCAGTATTACCATGGATCGACTCGTGCAGAACATTGTCCGACAGGTTAGTGTGATAGAAGAGGAGTATCGTATTTTCCCCAATAAATGTACCTTCCTTTCTATTGTTCAACGGTGGTCAGACCTGTACTACTATAGAAAGCTGTACTAGTATTGGAGACGTGTACTTTTATTGTTACTGGAAAGATTGATTGTCTGGGTTGGGTGGTAAACAACTGGTGATAATATTACTGTAAAGCTGTAAATACATCCAACCATGGTAAGAACCAGTGTGCCGAAACGATGATAAACGGGTAAGAAAAAACGAAGTAAGGTGGGGACCCTGGTACCTGTACCCCAGTAATGCCCATCACATCATTCTGGCATGTGCTATTATTAGAGACGTGCCCTTTTATATATTTTTGATCCACACTCGACATGTACTACAATTGGAGACGTGTACGTTTAATAGGGAAAATACGGTAGTACAGATTAGAGAATCCTCAGCAGTACTAGTAAGCTGTTGCCTGCACTTTCTCTATCCAGTCTCTTTCCTGGTGCTGTATGGTTGGTGTACTTCGCAGTAGCTATATTGACCCAACCTTTGCTGTATGATTGCGTGTGTGTGTGTGTGTGTGTGGGTGTGTGTGTGTGTGTGTGTGTGTGTGTGTGTGTGTGTGTGTGTGTGTGTGTGTGTGTGTGTGTGGGTATGTGGGTATGTGTGTGGGTGTGTGTGTATGCCTGTACCTGTACCTGTGTGTGTGTGTGTATGCGTGTACCTGTGCGTGCGTGTATTACTTGTGTTGCCTACAGCTTGTTCTGCTGACATCCGAGGACCAGTCTATTGAGCTACGCAGCATGTATGTATCCGAGCTTGGCACGACATGGTCGGAGAGCACTGACTTAGCCTACAGGCAACGCTGTGAACAGCTACTGGGTGATGAGAACTGCTATCGCGTACAACTGGTCAGTAGTACATGACAACAGTCTATACATACATGTGTTGTAGTAGCAACTAAAACCCGACCCCTGATTTTCATGCACAAGTGCCGCGCCGATTCTAGCGGTCTGTATTTGGTAGTGTACAACCCCATAATAATAATAATATTCCGCGTCGGCATCGCTTGAATGTTCAGAAACACATAAACTAGCCTTCGCATCCGCAGGCCACCACTATGCCTGTTCACCTTAGTGGCGAATGCAGACCTCACAAGTGAGTCAGGGGAGAGGAGGTTAGCCCATACTGGGTTTTAATGCGAGTGCAGCACTGAGCGGGGGCCGGATGTCACTTGCGACCACTGAATTAGCAACAGTAGTACATGTCTAAGAGTGTGCGTGTTGACGCTCCCCCTGGCCCACGGCGCAATGTTTTTATGACATCGGTCTTTCGCTGCCATTTGACTCACTGATGCCATCATGCGTAGCCAGAGATCGCAGGACAAAGAAGTTGTACATCGCAGCTACGGTAGTCAAAGGAGAACGGCGGATGGTAGACCCATGTGTCCTGAGCCCGATAAACTGACACCGCATCACAACAAGACAAGCGTGGAAAAGCATACGCTCTTTGATCGTCTTCTGCCAAAGAATGACGCAATGAAAAAATTCCCCCGTGTTTGAACCCATCTCAGCTCGAGAGAGGAGTTGCACACTCTTGGTTATGTACTCTTGGTAGTAGTTCCTAACTTCCTAAGATTGTCGATATTTGTATGCCTATTTCGATTAGGTGGCTAACAAGTTCATGTGTTTGTGTGCGTGTGGCACCTGGCTGCTTGAATGTGTTTGTGTGCGTGTGGCACCTGGCTGCTTGAATGTGTTTGTGTGCGTGTGGCACCTGGCTGCTTGAATGTGTTTGTGTGCGTGTGGCACCTGGCTGCTTGAATGTGTTTGTGTGCGTGTGGCACCTGGCTGCTTGAATGTGTTTGTGTGCGTGTGGCACCTGGCTGGTTGAATGTGTTTGTGTGCGTGTGGCACCTGGCTGCTTGAATGTGTTTGTGTGCGTGTGGCACCTGGCTGCTTGAATGTGTTTGTGTGCGTGTGGCACCTGGCTGCTTGAATGTGTTTGTGTGCGTGTGGCACCTGGCTGCTTGAATGTGTTTGTGTGCGTGTGGCACCTGGCTGCTTGAATGTGTTTGTGTGCGTGTGGCACCTGGCTGCTTGAATGTGTTTGTGTGCGTGTGGCACCTGGCTGCTTGAATGTGTTTGTGTGCGTGTGGCACCTGGCTGCTTGAATGTGTTTGTGTGCGTGTGGCACCTGGCTGCTTGAATGTGTTTGTGTGCGTGTGGCACCTGGCTGCTTGAATGTGTTTGTGTGCGTGTGGCACCTGGCTGCTTGAATGTGTTTGTGTGCGTGTGGCACCTGGCTGGTTGAATGTGTTTGTGTGCGTGTGGCACCTGGCTGCTTGAATGTGTTTGTGTGCGTGTGGCACCTGGCTGCTTGAATGTGTTTGTGTGCGTGTGGCACCTGGCTGCTTGAATGTGTTTGTGTGCGTGTGGCACCTGGCTGCTTGAATGTGTTTGTGTGCGTGTGGCACCTGGCTGCTTGAATGTGTTTGTGTGCGTGTGGCACCTGGCTGCTTGAATGTGTTTGTGTGCGTGTGGCACCTGGCTGCTTGAATGTGTTTGTGTGCGTGTGGCACCTGGCTGCTTGAATGTGTTTGTGTGCGTGTGGCACCTGGCTGCTTGAATGTGTTTGTGTGCGTGTGGCACCTGGCTGCTTGAATGTGTTTGTGTGCGTGTGGCACCTGGCTGCTTGAATGTGTTTGTGTGCGTGTGGCACCTGGCTGCTTGAATGTGTTTGTGTGCGTGTGGTACCTGGCTGCTTGAATGTGTTTGTGTGCGTGTGGCACCTGGCTGCTTGAATGTGTTTGTGTGCGTGTGGCACCTGGCTGCTTGAATGTGTTTGTGTGCGTGTGGCACCTGGCTGCTTGAATGTGCTAATGCCTACTACCTACTACCTACATACTTGCCAGTGTCTGCTTGTGTGAATGACTGTACTGTTGGATGTGTGAATGACTGTAATGTTGGATGTGTGCACGTGTGTTCATGCGTGTGTTCATGCGTGTGTTCATGTGTGTGTTCATGCGTGTGTTCATGCGTGTGTTCACCGCTCTGCCTGTGCAGTTCCGCAAAGACTGCCGTCTTACCATTCAGCTAGTTGAATCGGTAGACAACGCGCCGTCTGATGAGGACACGGCAATATTCAAGGTACATGTTTGTCTGTGTTGTTAGTGGTGTTTGTCGGTGTTGTTAGTGGTGTTTGTCTGTGTTGTTAGTGGTGTTTGTCTGTGTTGTTAGTGGTGTTTGTCTGTGTTGTTAGTGGTGTTTGTCTGTGTTGTTAGTGGTGTTTGTGCACACATGTGCTGTACACTGCCTTTTCCTATTTGCATTCATCATCATCATCATCATCATCATGTAATTGTGTTCAATTGTTGTATTTCATGGAAAAACGATCTTTGCGTTGGATTCATTTAAACTATTATTTGTGTAGGGTTCCACTCCTTCATCTTGGGAAATTGTGTTTTGTTTGCCCAAAGAAGTGGCTTCATAAAAAATAAAAAAAATAAAAAAAATCATCATCATCATCATCATCATGAGAAAAGCCTCTTTTACGGGCAAAGCAAATGTATATCATTACAATATGTAAAGTGAACAGGGGAAATCAACACAAAACCAACCGGAAAATGATGAAACACAAAAGCAGTCAAGGAAGTAAATCAATACAAAAACAAGCAATGAACACAGAGTAATAAAAGGGGAAAAACCAAATAGCATTATATTAAGTTGAGGCCAAAGGCAGCACCCTACTCCGCCTGGCGGCACTGGGCCAGAAATGAGTTCGGCTGTCGCCTCTTGCCGTACGAACCGCGGCAACCGCGGAAGCAGGTGACTGCCCATCGCAGCAAGCAGAAAGACAAACGGGTGCGTAGTATGCCATCATCATCATCATCATCATCATCATCATCATCATCATCATCATCATCATCATCATCCACTGCCTATTCACATGTACATGTGTGCATTGTGTACTCGTCTACACTGCAGGACTGGGAAACTTACGTGTCCAGTTTGGTCAGTACGGGCAACGAAATGTCTCCGTCCGTTCAGGAATCCCTGAAGAAGAAGAAGCTCTTCTTGATGAGGTAACCCCTTGGCTTGTGTCTCGTGTTGTTTCCCTCTTACTGTCTGTTATAGTAACTTGACGACTGCTTGTTTTGCACATTACTGCTCTTTAATTTAAGAAAATACTTCTACGAATATAGTCTCAGGACTGCAAGATAAAAAATCAATGAAAAGAGGGAGTTGCGATATCGATATTAATTTTTATCATTGCTGCTCTTGCTCTCTTCTTACTCTTCTGTTTGAACTGATGGCGCCACTGTGGTATGCTGTTGGAATCTGAGCTGCCACTGTGGTATGCTGTTGGAATCTGAGCTATCTGAATGTGTACTGGATACAGTCTACTTTGCGTATAATGACACTCAGCGGGGCATCAGAAAGTGTCCTTATTCGCGAAGTGTCCTTATACCCGAAGTCTCAATATTTATTACAGTTAGATGGGACTTAAAACGTCACTTTGCTCTGGGCATGGAAATTCTGTCGTTATACCCGCAGTCGTTGTACCCGCAGTCGTTATACCCGCAGTCGTTATTAGCCAAGTTGACTGTACATGCTGCACCAGCTCACTATTTGTGAGTGGAAGTCATTGCAGCGCGAATGTGAAATGAGTGAGGGTCTGGTGCATCTGACCAGAGCATGACTGTGCAGGGGGTCCTGGTGATCGGTTGCTCTTGCAGTACATGTACTTGCATCGCTTGACATTGTACTGTGCGGGTGTGTGTGGGTGCGGGCGTGTGCGGGTGTGTGTGGGTGTGTGTGGGTGTGGGTGCGGGTGTGTGCATGGGTGTGTGCATGCTTTCTGCTTTTTGTGCCCATGTGCTGTACAGGAACATCAATAGGTCACGTCGCCTCTATGCTTCCAAATGCACTGGATCAGCATCATCCCCGCCACCACCACCTGCGAATGCTGACATAGCCACTAGGGGTGAGGCTACTGCGGGTGCTAGCACGGATGATGCCACTCAGCGTGATTCTGCTGCTGCCGCTGCTGCCACTACTACGGACACTGCGGGCTCCAGTACTGCCGGGGCTACTGCTACTGCTGCAACACCGGCTGTCTCATCAGATGCTGCCAGTGCTGGCGATACGGCTGCCAGAGATAGCACGTCGGGAGGCGCAGCAGCAGCGAGTGACAAACCTGTTGGAGGATCTGCTGCCAACTCTACTGCACCTGGCAATGGTGTAAAGCTGGAGGCAGGTCAGTGGTTTGTTAGTTACCTCTTCTAGTCATATTTTGATCAGTGACAGCTACAACCAGGTACTGTATGTTCCACAGTATAAGCCGCACCCACGACGTGTTTTGTCACGAAATAAATACAAACATCTATCTCATATATCTCAGAACAGAACAACAAGGACAATCTAGGCTTGTTTGCTGCGACTTCAAGTTTCATGCTCTGGCAATCATCAGGCAACAATATCTATCCGTTGATTTGACCATAGTAGTATAAGCCTGGCCACTGACTATTTCCTATTTCTGGCTGAATTACTGATGTTTAAAGTGCGGCTTTTACTCCGCAAAATACGGTACGTTGTATTGACCAACTTTTGAGTTTACGCAAATGTAGTGCTGCTGCTGCTGCTGCTGCTGGTGAAATTGTGTGTGTGTTTGCAGTGCTTGGTGCTCCTGCTTTTGGGGACATGATGTGTGCATGCATTTTATTCTTGTGTGTGTTTGTGTGTGCGTGCGTGTGTGTGTGTGTGTGTGCGTGCGTACGTACGTGTATGTATGTTTGTATGCATGGTTTTGTTGTGTATCCAGACACTCCATTGCCACCGTCGTCGCCCACGCCCAGTGGCGGTGCCGCCATTGCCGCTGATGGTGATGCCTGTGCTGCTGCTACACCTGCTGATATCTCTGCTGGCAATACTTCTGCCACCGACCGCGACGTGAAGAATGCGGCCAGTGCCAGCAGTGACGAGTCTAGAGAGCTGGTAAATGCGACACCCGCTGCAGCTGGCTGTGACGGCTGTATTGTCCGCGGCGCACTGGAATGCCGCATCAACCTTCGCTCGTACAAGATGCAGTTTGTGGGAGGCTCAGCTGATCTGCTGTATCGCCCATACCACTCGCGTCCTGCCACTCAGGTACATTTTGCATGAAAGGAAACCGACATCACAAAGCTATGCTGTTGTAGCAAGTGGAATCCGGACCCGATGTACACTTGCTGCGCTGCTCCTGCCTCGACATTCTAGCTCTCTCTCTCTCTCTCTCACTCTCTCTCTCTCTCTCTCTCTCTCTCTCCCTCTCTCTCTCTCTGTGTCTCTGTCTTGCTCTCTCTCTCTCTCTCTCTCTCTCTCTCTCTCTCTCCTCTTCCTTCCTCTCTCCTCTCTCCTCTCTCATCATTTGCCTGCAATGTGTACACAGCACGGTGCGTATGTGTGCGTGTGTGAGTTTGTGTATATGTTAGGGGTGAAACGAGTATCTATTTTGACCAATCGATCACTCATTCATAATATTCGATCGAGTATCCGATTATTTCGAGTATTTTATCAAAATTCAAAAGCGCTAGATTTGTGAGTTCTCGACCAATTCGGAAGAAATTATCTGTGAACATAGAACAAAAGTCGCCAACGTCTTGTACAGAGTGTAAAGTAACGATTTTCACCAGTGCTTTTATTATCTCATAACAAACTAACGTTACTTGCCGTGGTGATCGCATCGTCCAAGTCGTAAAATACTGACTCAAAGGCATGCATAATGCATGCATACCAGTGGATGAGCGGTACAACAGAAGTTTTTGAAAATAGAACGCCAATACTAAAAAAAAAAAAAAAAACAATCGAGTGCAAAATTTCGAATACTCGCTCGTTTGAAATTTTTGAACGAATACTCGAATATTCGAACTAATCGTTTCACCCCTAGTATATGTGTGTACGTGTGTATACATAAATGCACTGGGTATTTTAGTACAATTGTTGTGCTTGTGTGTGTGTGTGTGTTTGACTGCTGTACAGAACTGGGCTAGCGTAGCTGAGCGGCGTCTCAGCCGCTTCCACCACTGGCTGGACAAGGAGCACCCTGTGGATGTGGAAAGCGTGCAGCAGTGCGATGCCTGGCTGATGGGTGCCGGCCGGCCCAGCGGTGGTGCAGTGCTACCTGCGACTACATCATCCAGTGCCTCCACATTAGCACAGCAATCTACGTCATTGTCTGCTGCTGCTGCCGCCGCCGGTGGTGACGGGAAAGCCCCTACAGTGCTGCGTACAGTGCGCCAGTGCTTGTCAGATGGACGCAATTACTACATCACGCGGGAGTGTACTGAAGAAGAAATGGACGAGACATAGTACTGCTGGATAGTGGTTGTTGATTTTGTAGCGCTTACTAGTATCATCTTTATGTTAGTATCGTCCAACTGGCTGGCTGGCTGTTTGGCTGACTAGTTCACTGGTTGACTGGTTTACTGACTGGCTGGTTGGTTGACTGACTGGTTGGTTGACTGACTGGCTGACTGACTAATCTACTTATCCGGGCTACTGTGGTGAGTGGCCCCATGAGCTTGCTTGCTCTAGCGTGCCTGTATCTGTGTGTGCCTGCGTGCGTCCGTGTATGCACGCGTATGTCTGTGCATGTGTGTGTCTGCGTGTGCGCGAGCACGCCAAGGCGATTTGCATCGGTTCTATGTACATATTAGGCAAGTTAGTGCTCGCGCTGTACCCACTGTATAGCTATTAGTTCTGTTGCCAGTGCTGACATTGCTGCCTGTCGGCCTGGCCCGGCCCGGCCTGGCCTGCTGCCTCCTGGCCTGTCGGCCCGGCCTGCTGCCTCCTGGGCTGTACGTGTTGCATGGCTGTAGCCTATACCGTGTGGTCACTGGGCTGTACGTGTTGCATGGCTGTAGCCTATACCGTGTGGTCACTGGGCTGTACGTGTTGCATGGCTGTAGCCTATACCGTGTGGTCACTGGGCAGTAACCTATACTAGCTGTACCGCCTGTGCCCTGTGTGCTGCAGCGTATGCAGTGTACAGCGTATACAGTCACTGAGTGCATAGTGTATGCAGTGCACGGCGTATGCAGGAGTGTACATACATGCGCAGGGCGGACTCCTTCCATTATAAACTTAGTTCTAGTGCTACGAACGCATGTATTTAACATCTTATTTGTGGCTTTCTAGTTTGCATTGTCAATGTATGGAGTATTTTATTCCCTTATATGGCATTCAGGATATGCTGCTGCTGCTTTTCATATGGCACCCATTGACAAGAGTAGCACGCCTTAGGGATGTACTCTGGCCGTGCTCGATTATCTGATCTCTATTCAGCTGCATGCAATCCTTACCAATACCATGCTGTGCTGCTGCTGCTGTTGCTGCTGTTGTTGTTGTTGTTCTGTCGACAAGCCGCACTGTTTCTTACTAGCATGCTGTAGATCCACTGACATGTGTTGGTATTCTGGTGACACTGTACATGATCTGATGTAGAGTATACGAGTAGTAGTCCTGGATCAGTGTCATGTTCGTTGACACGCTGTACATTTGTACGGCCATGTACAGTGCCGGAGGTGATGATGTGCCGAGCGTAACAATTGATGCTGAAGTAGTATGTGTCGAGCCGGTTCTGGGACAGGTGCATGATCCAGCCCGAAAAAAATGGGGTACTATTGCCGTGCGCCATCACATTATGCTGTGTGTATTGTTTTTCCCCGAACTTACTAGCCTCGCCGGCTTGGCAATAGTAATCTGATTGCAGCGTCAGCAGCTAGCAGGGGGTTGATTCTCCATGGCAGCAGAATGGGGAATGAGAGGGGACTACAAGTACAAGTACACTGTTGGCCATAGAAATCCAACACCTCATGAACAAAGTAGCGCCGCGTTTGAGTGCACAGACCAGTATGTGTAGTGCCAGGGCTGCGTAGTGTCCGGCGCTATTTTATTCATCAGGTTGGATTTCTTTGTCCAGTACTGTGTGCACAATGAATTCACGTCAAATCTGAAAAGGCACAAGTGCCGCATGCGCACACACACCATTTGCCACATCCAGCTGTATCATGCCACCAGCTCCTGGTAGATGTACTGGGTCGCAGCATGCACAGAAGGAAATTTTCCCTCCGCTGCCAAACAGGACTGGTACTCGTACACAAGTAATTGTTATACCCATGGTGACGGTGCCGTGGTCACATGATCCAGTGAGGCTTTGGAAAGATAAACGAACAGATGTGAGATTGATATGCCTGTCCGGTCGGGCTGGGGTCAGGGGTCTGTATCTTTGAACAATTATCTTCAGTAAAAAAAATAAAAAACTGCGAGTTTGAAAAAGGAGGTCAATAAACAGAGTCAAGTCGGGAAAATACAATCGATGCAAAACAAAATTAATAACTGAAATACAAAGGAAAGTAAGAGTGGGCGGTTTCATCGCGACGAAAGAGGTCTATAGATCTTGCGATGCTGTACAGTGTGTAAAGAGCAGTTCAGCACCAAGTACGGTCAAACATGGAGCAACCCACACCGGCACTGGCAATTGATGAGCCACTGAGCACATTCACAGAAGCCACTGCTGCTACTGCTTACCCCCCCCCCCCCCCCCCCCCGTGCTAAAGGCTAAAGCATCATGACCAGCACCAGGGTACAGTACAACAAGGCTGAGCAAGCCATACGTCTGTCTGTAATCGAAGACAACGGTCAACTCACAATGGCCTATCAACACAACACTGTAGTGCATACTAACAGGTGCTTGCTGTCGACAGTATTGGGACAGGTGCTAACTGATACATGTAGTCATGCAGTCATGTAGTCGTGTAGTCATGCAGTCGTGTAGTCATGTAGTCATGTACAATCATGTGCTGCAGAACACCACGAGAAGTGGACACGTTCACGGCAGAGTCTTCAACGCATTTGAATGAAAATCCCCAGCCCGTGCCACTGCAGAAACTTAGCAGGCAAGATGGACGTGAGGAGGATCACCCCATGCACTAAGGTGTGACAGAGGAAACATCACCAGCAGCACCACCAGCAGCAGCAGTGGCAGTAGAGCTCTTATCAGCGGGCATCGGTGCTGCAGCGGAGTCCAGTGCTGCTACGTAACGATCTCGAGCGACTCGGACCCTGCTCATCAGCTCATGGAAGTGATCCTGTAGGACACGGCAACAACAATAAACACACATACAAAGTGAAACTTCAGTACACATATCACATACACTGATGGTGCACATATCACATACATGTACATGTACCTCCAAGGGAAGTACAAGTCAATACTTCATAGGTGTGAGGTACTCAATAGAGAGGTCTAAAAGATGCATGTTATTTCCGACGTGACGCACAATTTCACGTCAAATTTGGCGTAAAACTCCAAATTTCAATGTGAGCTGCAGGTCACTTGCGTTGTTTTTGGACGTGCGAGCCAAATAACGCGAGCTGAACTTTCGCGTCACGTCAGAAATAACGGGCATCTTAACCGCTCTGTTAACCGAGGTAGAATGACTGCAAAAAGATATGCAGTCTCAGCTTTGGCTGACATTTTACGGCAGACTCACGAAAAGAACTCTGCATTCTCTGCTAGTCCACCAACAATGAACAAATTCGTACAGCAAACAGCATGGACACACGGCAAAGCTACACTATAGTCTAGAGAGACAGCAAAGCAGCCCAAAGCTACATCACTGCTAGTGTAGAGAGACGGTAAAGCTACACAGTAGCTACACTTCAGAGACTGCAAAGCTAGACTCGGCAAAGCTAGACTCGGCAAAGCTAGACTCGGCAAAGCTAGACTCGGCAAAGCCAGACTGCACAGGGACAGCAAAGCTAGACTGCAGTTACACTGCAGAGAGAAAGAGGCCAACGCTACACTGTAGAGAGGGACGGCAAAGCCACACTGTGGCTATACTGTAGAGAGAGAGAGGGAGAGCAAAGGCACACTGTTGCTACACTGCAGAGAGACTGCAAAGCAGCTAGACTGCAAAGTTACACTGTGCGGCAGATACCACTGACCTGAGCACCGTCGTAGTTGAACAACCCGACAACACTAGCCGGTGTCTTGCGGTGCATGGTACGTCCCAACTTGCGACGGTTCAGCGCAAACACAGCCGGCACTTCCTGCTCCTGGCAATGCTGCAGTATCTCCGTCACCTGGTCATCTAGACCACCTGGGCACACGGACAAGCAAGAATCATTGACATCACATTACATCATCACCACATCATTATGACATCATCTTCGACTCGGACGGTTTAAAGGTGAGCAGTGAGTACTAGTATCCCCCACGCCTACAGTACATTGTACATCCACACCAACAGTACATCCACACCAACAGTACATCCACACCAACAGTACATCCACACCAACAGTACATCCACACCAACAGTACATCCACACCAACAGCACATCCACACCAACAGTACATCCACACCAACAGTACATCCACACCAACAGTACATCCACACCAACAGCACATCCACACCAACAGCACATCCACACCAACAGTACATCCACACCAACAGTACATCCACACCAACAGTACATCCACACCAACAGTACATCCACACCAACAGTACATCCACACCAACAGCAGGCTCTGTGCTGGCAACATTTCACCCACTGAGTATCATCAGGGCAATGGTGTGGTCAGGAAGGTCTCATGAATCTTCCTGTCACTGGTAGATGTCTGCAACAGTATCACCGGGCTCCAGGGAGATAAGGGGGATAAAACCGAACTACCCTCACCAGAATCACGCTCTTCTTAGCACCCTAAGCCATTGTGAGAATGAGGAGAAGAAGTCTGACACATAAGTTGACATAACGTTAGCATACCAAAAATATTACCGGCTATAAGTCGACTTTTCATGACCTAAAGAAAAAAGTAGTCGACTTACCACCAGGGTTTAACCGCTATTTAACCGGGAAATCAAAGCCACAACCAAGTACACGGGTCACTGTACATGGGTCACTGTACATGGGTCAATCGGTAAAAAAATACAGTTCATGTATCTCTGCCTAGTCCCAACACTCATGTGTCAACAGTCTCATGTACATGTGTCAATCGTGGAATCTCTTTCATCTTTCATATCATAGTCAATGCATAGCACAGCGGAGATTTCTGTTGGCCAGGTCTTGCAGAAACTCCTTGCTGAAGATCGGTTCTTGGGACAGATCAACTATAGGGAGAGTTTTGGATCTCCTGAAGCGTTGTGTCATATCTTATCTCCAACGAATACCCAGGAAGAAAAAAGAGCAGATCAGAAATGGCCACAATTGATAAGTTCATGTTTTCAGAGACTCGTTAGCACCTGAAGCGATTTCACCTCCACTACCCTTTGAGTACTTGTCAGCATCTTACCTGGATTTTTGCTGCGTTCCAGGTTGGGTGAGATCAATACACACTTCAGCTTCCTGGCCTTGACGTGCTTCTTGACTTCACGCAGCCCTATAACATAGCGACGTCGGTATTTAGCCTGTGTGTTGGTGTGTTGGTGTGTTGGGCGAGTATCACCAGCAGTGGACAACACGGTGAGTAACACAAGCAAAGGAAGGGAATTGAAACGTGGCAACGTTTTTTTTGTTACATTTCAAACCAGATCGTGCCGATTTTATAATTTTTTAAACCCCATTGTCATCGACACCCTCTGCCTCCAAGTGCACATACACCCTCTACCTCCATGTGCACATACACCCACTCTTTCTCACTCTCTTAATAATAATAATAATAAAACTGGTTTGAGGGAAAGAGACAAACGGGAAAAGTCTGAAGAAAAAATTGACTGTCACCACCAGGACTCGAACCAGGGACCTTCGCTTGTAGCCAGCGATGCTCTAACCACTGAGCTATGGTGTAGTCGTCATCCCAGCAGAGGCCGTTCAACATCTTCTTCAGACTTCGTAACTCACACTTCCTGTGAATCCACACAGGTGGGTAGGACGCAGCCCTCACTGTACCCACACACTTCACGTACAACCTAGCACGCAATAATAATAATAATAATATTATCTTTATTAGGATGACCCAGAGGCTTGTCGCCTATCAAGGGGTTCACCGCTTTGAAGGGTGTACATGTACATGTACATGTACACGTATGAGCTAAAGTGAAAGTAGTGAAAAGTTGCGCAGCGTGAATGCGTTGGGGAGCACTTTCACTCACCCAACGTGTATTTACCAACAACACACTCTCACCCAACTGACCACACAATCACCCACCCACCAATTGGTCCCACTCATCCATCCACCTTACTGCCCATTCACTCGCCCGCTCACTGACTTTCTCACCCGCCCAACTGCCCATTCGGCAGCTTCGCCGATGATTTCTTCCTTAGCGCTGCCCGTTGCATGCAGACTTCGCTTGCAAGTCAGGTGCGTCTGCATTCTCATCTATCGCTTGACCTTCGCCACTAGTACTGGCTACACGCTTTGCCTGCTGCTCAAAATAGCTCTGAATAGAGCGCTGGCCCTCTGGATGTCGACGCTTCATTTTTCTTTTCCACAAAGCGAATGCATCGTCCAAAACACGACCAACTTTGTCAAAAACAAACTGCAAAGGAAAATTTGACTCTGAGACCGAGGAATCCGGCGATGTAACTAGAAACGTGTTGGACCCAGTTCAGTACGCTGTGTCCCAGCACCATTTTTACACCTGGGCTACACTTTAGTCACCGTCCTCGGACCGTCAGGTGGACTCCATCCAGGCATGCACTGCGAGCGCTGGGCCTGGATCAAAAAATTCTCCGCACCCACATCGAATTTGTTTTACTGGTTCCCGGGCATCCCGGGAACCGCCCCATGTACGCCCCTGCCACTCACTCACTCACCCACCCACCCACCTACCTATCCACTCTCTCACCCACTCACTCACCTACCCACCCACTCACTCACTCATCCACCTCCCCATCACTCACTCACCTACCCATCACCCACCCACCTACCCACTCACTCACCCACCCACTCACTCACTCACCTACCCACTCACTCACTCACCCACCACTCACTCATCTACCCAGCAACCCACTCACTCACTCACCCACCCATGCATACAATCATTCTGAAAGACAGAATGTCAATAGACATGTAGACACAGTTTAAACTGACCTTCAGCGGATTGTCACGATGTGCCCGATCCTGAAAGAAGATGATTCTCTGCAGTAGGAGAATGACCACTTCGTCAATGCTGGCTTCTAACATGTGATCGCAGTACCTGATACAGTGATAGCAGAGAGAAGAGGGAAACACCCGCATATCAACACATAATATACTTCGAAGTAATAGGAATAAATATACTCAACCTGCGGCGGACAGAACCGTTTCGTCCTTTGTGGACTCATCAGCGCAGCACAGAGGAATAAATATACTTCAAGTAAAAAGAATAAGGTGAACTTTTCTAATTGTCCGCAAACTCCAACGCAGCCACTTACACATTTAGCAAACTTGAATGGCAGTGAAGAGACCGTTTTTGGAGTTGAGAAGTGAAGTTTGCTAACAATTTTTAAAGTTGCCTGCATCTATACGATCACCGGAGAAACCAGACCACTCTTTTATCCCACCTGAAAATTCACTGACCAACGTTGCTCACAGATCAAATAATTATGTAATCTTTCCTCTGCTGTCTTAAACCCTACTCTATTTTTGTTTTCTTTTAACCTTTTCCTTTTCCTTATATATATGTGCCTGCAAGCAAGCAAGCAAGCACACACACACACACACACACACACACACACACACACACACACACACACACACACACACACACACACACACACACACACACACACACACACACACACACACACAACCGCACCCACGCATGCAAGCACACACATGCAGACATACACACATACACAGTGTCACTTCTGGATGCATAAAGGAGTGTTTTTGCAGTCCACCATGACACCCATGCATGGCCATGAATGCCAGGATTTGTAATACATGGTACTTCGAAGTAGTACTGTGCTACTGTAGTGGATTGGCGGGTCCAGGTTGAAATTGAGCAGAAGGAGCAATGTCCTTGTGTAAGCAGCAAGCACACACACATACACACACAAAATGTGGCAAGTGCATGTGCCCTACTGCCCCTACATCTTGCGCAAATCGTATCCAGCTCAAAAATCTGAAGTTGCGACAGATTCAGCGGTGAGGCAATCATAGTTCCCTCCACCAAAAGTAGAGTGGGGTGAGTGCACAGAACAGAGTGAGAGAAATAAAAAAAATAAAAAATAAACTGTCAGAAGTGGGATTCGAACCCACGCCCACATACGTGGACCAGAAGGCTCCAATCTGCATTGACTGCAGAAGGTACAAGACCTTGAGTCTGGCGCCTTAGACCGCTCGGCCATCCTGACAGGACAGTAAACAAGAGGACAAGTACTATAAACAAACAAGACATTGAGAAGTTGCCTACTCCGCAACACATACGAGACACATGTTTTGACACGCAGACAGCCCAAACCCTTTCTACCAAGAGTAGACTACTACTAGTATCAAGAGTACATAAACCAGAGTGTGCAACTCCCACATACCCTGCTGTCCCGACAGAATTTCAAGTTGACGTCATTATTTATGACGCAATGCTCCTTGCACCAGTGATTTACAACATGTGTACGGGTATCAACGCATCACACGTTTTTCTTTGCAAGAATTTGTACAGGATCAGATCGGCTTCGGTCAACTACAGGTTCCGGATTCGTCTGATAATCCGTGTACAGTGCGCATTGCATCATCAAAATGACGTCAACTTGAAATTCTGTCGGGACAGCACCCATAGTGGAGTTGCACACTCTGGGGGGTTATGTACTCTTGCTAGTATCAAGAGTACATAAACCAGAGTGTGCAACTCGGGATGGCTCCTGTGGGAGCGTTATTCGTGCAGTACGTCATTTCTGACAGCATGGTAAGCCACAGGTACGGTGAAAAGTTGCGTAACCAGTCACGGTAGTGCAGGTCACTGAGTTTGTCCTGATTTCGGTTTCTTGATATAGATAGCCTAGTGAATTTACTTGTCGATGAATGTACGCAGCAGCATACACAGTCACACAAAAACACTGAAATCCTGAAACAGGACGTCTAAAATCAAGCAAACTTGGTTGATTTCCGGGCTATGAAACACGAAAATTTGAGCTGTACGCAAGTCGCGGCTTGGCTGATATCATTAGGGTGACGTAGTGCACGAACTGCGCTGTTTCAGATCTGATATGCACAGTTGCACACTCTGGTTTATGTACTCTTGCTAGTATTCAACTGTGATCACTGGTCTCTGGGCAAGATGCACAGCCAGCCACTTTTGGTCATGGACACTTGTTCCTACCAGTTCTACGTCAAGAGCAAGGCACTTTTTAGCATATCACTAGACAAGTACTTTTAAAGAGTACAAGTACATACACTACCAAACAACAGTCAAAGTCATGGTTCCCTTGAGACTCAGTTAGACTGAGTTTTCAGCATCCGTAGGAACGCCATCACCCTGCTATGATCAAAGGCGCAGATGCAGCTCCCAACCCGGGCCAAAGCGGTGGGAGGTGAGTAGATCAACCCACCAGCAAAGTGGTCAAAGACCGAAAAGCATTGTTTCAATACAAATACAAATGTGGTGACCTTTCTTCCAAAGTACACTCATCCCTCGTTGGTCGAGCACTTTACACTCGAGCACTCTCCATACACCATCAGTGCTGCTCAGCGACATACGATCAAGTGACTTAGCGATGCACCAGGTGCTGTGCAGCACCAGGCCTGCAAACACTGGGCTGTGCACTGGTGCAGGGCGCTGTGCAGTCACAGACCTGCAAACACTGGGCTGTACACTGGTGCAGGGCGCTGTGCAGCACCAGACCTGCAAACACTGGGCTGTGCACTGGTGCAGGGTGCTGTGCAGTCACAGACCTGCAAACACTGGGCTGTACACTGGTGCAGGGTGCTGTGCAGCACCAGACCTGCAAACACTGGGCTGTACACTGGTGCAGGGTGCTGTGCAGCACCAGACCTGCAAACACTGGGCTGTACACTGGTGCAGGGTGCTGTGCAGCACCAGACCTGCAAACACTGGGCTGTGCACTGGTGCAGGGTGCTGTGCAGTCACAGACCTGCAAACACTGGGCTGTACACTGGTGCAGGGTGCTGTGCAGCACCAGACCTGCAAACACTGGGCTGTACACTGGTGCAGGGTGCTGTGCAGCACCAGACCTGCAAACACTGGGCTGTACACTGTTGCAGGGTGCTGTGCAGCACCAGACCTGCAAACACTGGGCTGTGCACTAGTACAGGGTATTAATTTCTTCATGGGATCAGGGTTTCCTTAGCACGGCGGAACTTTTCCAAAGGATGCCACCGGGAATTACAAGAACATATCACCATCGTTTGCTCCAGACTTGAAAGCTTTATTCCGTTTCTTTTCTTTTCTTGCCATGGTTGGCTATCACCCCTCTCTCGCAATTTGTGTGCCAATTGGTCATGTACCACGAGTTGAGTGAAATAAAATAAATAAATAATAAAAGCAGTGCAGGCCGGCCATAACACATAGCTTATTCCCAATGCTAACTGGGGAGGGAATGATAAGATGTGTTATGTTATGACGTAACATTGTACATTAGCTCTACTGTGTATGCACGTACGCACATTTTCGAGAGTCCTCTCTGTCGTTTACAGATTGAATCTTCTTAGTTTTTTCTACTTGGCGTCTTCGAACCAATAGACTACTTGTCTCTTGTCTACCGAACCTAACAACCTAACAACCAAACAACCTAACAACCTAGCAACCTAACAACCTAGCAAGGCGGAAACATGATGCTATAAACAGGGTAGACAGCTTACTCTCTGAACTTACTCTCTGAATCGTCGACTGTGCAGAACGCCAGCTTTGGGCATGCAACCGTCAGCATTGTCTGGAGTAACAAAACACACGCACAATACACACGCGCGCACACACACACACACACACACACACACACACACACACAACATACACACACAATATACACACCATTGGACCATTGGACGCCCATCGCCAGAGGCGATGATAGCGGTGCTACAGCAGAAGCCATCGCAACTTGTGCTGGGATTGCACCATTCAACAGCTTGCAAGGCTGAAGAATTGACCGCCACTATTCAGCCTGGTCTACACAACACAGCTATGAAGTGGCTTTTTTCTGGCCAGTGAACCCTACTTTTTGGTCTTTTTTCTTTCCTTTTTTCCTTTTTTTCTTTTTTCCCGCACATACATCACACCACATACTCCGGCATGCACTGGCTATTGGTAACCACCCAGGAGAATGAAAGAAAAGACAGGAGGAGTCTGAGAAAGAGAAGAAAGACACACACACACACACACACACACACACACACACACACACACACACAAGAATAGCAGCGACGGCAGAGGCAGCAGCAACACCAAATAGTGGCAAATACACAGCCAACTACAAACATAGGCACACAGCCACACACATTGTACCCAATAGGCCATGCACACCATAGACTGCGAACGGCAGTGACACCATCCTATGCTACAGTAGGAGGCATAGATACTAACTTGTGTATCATTCCCAGACACGCACACCCGCACTACATGCAACACCCCCGCACACATATACGCTCAACCGTCACTCACTGTTGGGAGTGTCATCCACATGTTCCTCATCGTCATCCAAGACCATGGCGGCGACATCATCAGTGACATCACCAGCATCGTCCACAGACGCTGCACTCACTGCTGTTGTCAGGGTATCCACACAGACACTGGCACTGAATGAAGTACGCACACCACATGACAACACAGCATTACCGCATCTGCTCTCAGCCTACCATCTGTGTCACCAGTGCACCAACGCTGTCACCACTGCACACTAGCGGCATTGCCATTGCATACCACCCTAGTGGCAGCCATTGTCACCAGTTACCCTGGCCGTTCACAACAAAGCAACAAACCTAACCGCACTACCAACACACCTGTCCTCAGCAGTATCATCAGCAGCAGCAGCAGCATCAGCAGCACTGCAAGGAGCCCCATCACCGGAACACAGCGACAGTGCAACTGCAGGACTCTCAGCAGTGGCGCTGGCAGCATCCAACGAGTCACCATTGGTCAAGAGAACATCTTGATGGGCCCTACCGCTGTCAATATCATCATCACCAGCACCAATACTGTATGTATGTTCACTCTCAGCTGCATCCATTGCATCAGCCACACAGTCATCATCATGTTCATCATCAGTGGCATTGTCATCTTCAGGTGACTTAGCATCTGCAGTGCCGGCGGAATTCGATGGTGCCGCTGCCTCACGAGCTTGACGACGACTTTCTCGTTCCTGCAAGATAGTCTGAGAGAGAGAGAGAGAGAGAGAGAGAGAGAGAGAGAACACAGTCAGATGTAGCACTGTCACAGACACCGTTACCACGGCAATACAATTAAATTACCGTGACAGCACTGTACATCCACGTCAATAGTCTCAATGCACAGACTCATTACTGGACACCTTACTCGCTTCAGAGCCGTGGGCTTCTTCTTGCGTCCACCTTCTCTCTCCTTGCCACGACGAACCAGAGGGGCAGTGGAGTCGAGCACATTGCGAGGGACGGAAGCTTGCTGCTGTGGTCATGAGTAGAAAGTAAGCAAAAAACAAAAAAAAACAATAACAACATGACTGTAGTCAATAGCCATGCACAGCAAAGAATGTACAAAACGAATCTGCAACTCAATATATGGAACATTCCCTTGAAACAAATTTGTGCACAGTGTATATACAGCAGAGCTGCCAATGCATGGAATACACAATACCTGGTGTTTCTGCCGTTGACTGGCTTGTGCTTGCGCTGCTGTGGCGTGTGCTGATGTGGACGCGCTAGGCGCCTTTTGCGACGATGCGGCCGAAGTTGTAGCTACCGTCGCCGCTGTTGTTGCTGCTGCTGGCGGCGGTGGTGCTGGCGTTTTCTGTGCGCCTGTCGATGCAATGCCGGGGACGGCTGGCCAGACAGGAGCGGCCGGTGCAAGCGACGGCCAAACACTGGGTGATGGCTTAACAGCAGCATGGCCAGCAGCAGGTGTGGACGATACTGGGACTGCACGTGATTGCCGCTGTGCCTGTGTAGTAGCATCAGCATCAGCATCAGCAGCACATACATGTAGACAACAGTCACACAGTAAAACCTGACAAGGCGACCATGCATGATGCAGTCAGAGAGTAAAACCTGTCAAGGTGGCCACTCGGATAAGGCAACCACCTGTCCCAGAAGACCACTGCAACCAGGACCAAGGGACGCTCTGTTCAGTCAAATCACCCTGGATAAGGAGGACACCTGGTAACAGAGATCACGTTTTGAAGGTCCCTTGAGTGGTCGCCTTACTTAGACAGGTTTCGCTGTATTAGTAAGCAAGGCTGAACACAAGCGAACAAGCTAGCTTATACATTCGTGTTGTAGCTATGCAATCGTGCAGGCAAACACACCCAGCTGCAGGAGATCCAGCTTGTAAAGTACTGTTGCAGTGCCTAGGTCATACTGCTGTAAATTTGTAATGGACCATTGCTGTGTCTAGATCATACTGTTGACAAGAACACTGCCTGTCAGCCACAAATGGAGCTTCAGTTTCTCAGCCATGTACTCAGCAACACGGTCAAACTCAGCCACGGCCACAAAAAGAACATGGGAACTTCTACTACCAAACAATCCTGTGACAAAGTCTGCCCAGGCGGCACCTCATGGTCAAGGTAGAATAATAATAAACACAGTTAGCATCAGGGGCGTCACAGGGCAGTTCGGAGTGGTACGACCGGGGGTCCGGGGGTGTCCCCCGGAAAAAAATTTGGGATTTTTTGGGCAATAGGGCACGTTTTGGCGCTCTGCAGCCGCAAACGAGGGTTTCCCGAGCACTTATTAGACAACCCCACTTACACTCAATATGCACATGTATCACACGGGAAACTTTAATTCAGAATATCAGCAAAGACACTTGATCCGACAAATAATTAAAAATACGGAACAATAGTTCTAAGCGGCATCAACATTGGCCAGACGCAAGATTTAAAATTTGCCAAACAAATCAATGCGGTGCTGGTTGGAGGAGGCAAAGTCATTGCCAATATCCTTCAGGTCAAGGGCATCACACTCCTCTTTCATCGTGGTGAGGATGGCACAGTGATTCAACCTCTCCTGGCTCATTGTGGACCGTAGGTAGGTCTTCAAGCGGCGCAAGGTAGAGAAAGATCTCTCGCTAGTGGCATTGGTTGCAGGAGCAACCAGAATTAGCCTAAGCAGGGCTACAACTTCACTTAGGAAGTGCTTGTTGGGCAGGGCCTGTACGTACTCTGCGATACGAGCAAGAGACACTTCCTTGGAGGTGAAGTAAGACGCCAGGATAGCGAGCTGCGACTCCAGCAATGACATATTGATGTCATCGCCCCAAAGCTTAGCAACATGCTCCTTCTCGTCCTTGTAGGCAGAACCAGCTGCAGCCTTCAGCAGAAGTTGCTCTAGGTTCTGGTAATGCTGCAGGCCAGGCTGGTCAAACCGGTCACCGATAGCTGCTATGATGGTGTCCAGTGCCGAAAAGAACATCGGACGATAGAGGTCCTCTACTGTAGCTGGGAAGTGAGGACTGGAGGTGCCCGTCTGAAGGCGAGCAGGGGTTTTGCGGCGACGTGGCAGCTGCGGCTCACTGACATCCACAGCAGACTGTTTGAGGAGAACATCGGCCCAGAACTTCTGAAATTCCTCTTCGGATCGAAGCTTCTGTAACGCCTTTACAGTCTGCGAAGCCATCCTTTGCCCATCTGCTGCTGAGAGTGACTTCTGTTGGAGCGCCACACTCAGGTTGTCAGCAAGACGCAGAACTAGGTGACCGAGGCAGGTTCCAAACAGAAACTCGAAAGTGGCTAGCTGATGGCCGACTCCGTTACACTTGGCTGACATCTCGTGGTCGTACTTCGCCAACTCCGTAAATCTCTCAAGACTGGCCTGGATTACTTCATAGTTTGCCAGGACACTCTGCAATGATGCTGCACGGACAGTCCAACGAGTCGGGCACAGGGTTCGAAAACCAGGCTCATCAGGTGCTATCTCTTCTTTTAACTTCGAAAACTCAGCAGTCCGCTTAGCCGAGTACTTGAGTAGCTTGCTCAGCTCGAAGGTAGTGTCTAGCGCATCCTTCACCACCTTCACGTCTCTCACCATGTCCTGGCAGGCCAGATTCAACGAATGTCCATAGCAATGCGTGAAGATCGCTTTGGGTTGCTCGTCCTGGATCTGTTTTGCCACACCATTCCTTGTGCCCTTCATAACTGCAGCACCATCATAGCATTGGCCTCTGCAGTTGGCGAGTGACATGCCCATGCGAATAATGCTGTCTTTTATTACCTGTGCAATGAGGAACAAACCAAGACCAAAACACCCAGATCAAAACAATGTTGTGGGACTGCAAGTAAATGGCACGCTGTGCAAATACATTGCAAAATCATTCACACTGACTGCTACCATATTAAAATAGTCAAATCCCTGAAATGTAACTATTGCACAGTACATTGTCAATACAGTGCTCTATCAAAAAGATTTTAAACATCAAGTGACAGCATTTACCTGGACAACAGTTGAAGCGTTGGCTGTGTGGATTGCATAAAATCCAAGGAAATCCTCTTGGGCTTCGAGATTGTCGTCTACCCAACGGACAACTACAACACATTGCTCCACGGTGGAGCAGTCAGTTGTCTCATCAACCATGATCGCAAAGATCTCGTTCCGAATCCGGAGTGACAACTGACGAAGCAAACGATGGGCCATCACCTAGGAGAGGCAAGCAAAAGGCCAATACAACAATAATAAGTTTGTGTGAATATTAGTCAGCTGCAATATATTCACTGAAATGGAACAATAGCTGATAAGTGATAAGCCATTGCTATCACGAAAATGCCACAGTATTTATTGTTCGCTATTTTCGAAGTACATCGAAGTTGGAAACACAATTATTGCTCTGAGTCTGAAGAATAATAATATCCAATAGCATATCATTAACATGCAGTCATTTGTCTGATACATCGAAGTTGGCAACACAATTATTGCTCTGAAGAATGTATCCAATAGCATAACATCATTAACATGCAGTCATTTGTCTGATTCTTACCTGAAGTATTTCATTCTGAATGGCAGCACTAGTGTACTTGTCAGTCCGACGGTTCAGCCAGCGCACAAGACTCTCATCATTGTCGGACAGTAGAGCCAGAACCTGCAGAAAATTACCGTCACACTCTCCACCTCCCGACCTGGAGCTTCCACGCAAAGCGAGTCCCTGTCGTGCGAGAAAGCGCACGGATCGGAGCACTTGCAGCAGACAAGCACGATTCTCCTTCCGCTGGGCAGTAAACTGGGAGTCCAAGCGCTCACCAACATCGCCGACATTTTCCGGGATTGTCAGCAGGCGATCGACCGCTTCCTTGTGGCAGCGCGACTCGGCATGTTTCGACATCACGCGCCTTGCCTCCTTCCAATTCTGATAGCCTGTTGTCACGAAGGCTTGCTCCACGGTTCTGGAGGAAATAAGGCCTCGCCTCGACGCTCTGACGCAAGTGTGGCAAAACGCTCGCTCGCTTGCGGAGTCCCAGTGCAACCAGGGAAAAACATCAAACCATTGTGGCTGGAAGGACCGCCACAGAACAGTCGCTACGCCATAGCTGCGCTTCGGAAACTGGAAATCCCTGGGCTGATTGGGCTTATCCGCAATCTCTGGTCCAGCGGATTCCGCCGCCATTGAAACTACCCTGCAGCTACGGAGCCAAGTGTGACGGTAAGTCCGCCTCAATCACAACATTATAACGATTTGGCTTCGCAAACTGTGTACATAGATCTACGGCGTGCTCCTTGTGCGCAGTTGTGGTGTGACTGTGAGGTGCTAAGTACTATAATGTGATTAGTACTAGTGGATGTACTCTAGACTAGTCTTGCAACACTTCGCGTTGTGCTACGAGGTGTGACATGTCACTGGTCACATCCGGCCTACCAGCAAGGCGCGATCTGCCTTGTTTAGCACACCGACATGTACGATCTGTACATATGGGCGAGTGCTGCGACCATCTTCTCACTGTACGAGTACACTGCTAGAGTGTAGTACACATGTACAGGAATGCCGTGCTTCGTGCCGTGACTTTTAGAGCGACTTTTAGTTGTAGTTACGATGTTTTGACTTTTGTACAAGTCCGAAGATCCTTGAATTTTTTTATCGCTTTTTTGGATGAATTGGGTGGACCATCCTGGACGAAAAGTGGTACGACCATGGTCGTAGTGGTCGTACCGTGTGTGACGCCCCTGAGCATGAAACATGTGGGGTTAACGCATGTGTCTGCAGGAATAAGTCAGGTGAAACATTTGAATCTGACGTACAATTGATAGTAGCTAGCGGTAGGGGCTAGCTGGACAGCTTTAGGGTCAAGGTGTACACAAATTCAACTTACCACCTTGACTGATCCTGCTACTGGGGGTGCTGAGGGCTTAGCAACGAAATCAAACAAGTCCAGGGTTGCTGCTTTGCCAAATTTCGGTTTGACCATCGCCCCAGTTGCTGCTGCCGCTGCTGCCCCTGCCTTTGCTGGTGCGGATGTCGTTTTTGGCTTTGCTTGAGTTTGGCGTTGTTTAGGTTTACCGGATGCTTTCCCTGCTGGTCTAGTCTCACTGATTCCTTCAGCGGTGCCTGGTGCTCTTTTCTTCTTTTTCTTACTGGTGAACTCCTCAAAGCCGTCATCACGCTTCTCCGCCCGGCTGGGCTTGGGTGACTTAGACGCGTGGTGTCGTCGGTCTTCCCGCCCGGGTGCGCTGTCCTTGGTCATCGGCCTTTCTCGGGCCGCCGCCGACGCGGAGGATAGCGGGGGCGGCGGAGACACACCGTGGCGGCGATCTTGACTGGCGCTGCTGCTGTTTGTGGTGCTGGAAGAGTGCTGAGGGAAGACATGGACACACGATAGTTTTAAAATGTTCACTAGTTCAGGAATGGAAAAGGGAAACGTCTGAAGAAAAAATTGACTGTCGCCACCAGGACTCGAATCAGGGACCTTCGCTTGAGGCCAGCGATGCTCTGACCATTGAGCTATGGTGTAGCAGCAACCCCAGCAGAGACTGTTCAACATTTTCTTCAGACTTCCATCATAGCTAATTAGTTATTCTTCAGGCTATTCAAGCAACTAGGTTGGTCAGTGTCCAATAAGCAAGCTCATTACAACCCCAACATCTCACACCAAGACTAGCTCAACCAACCCAACAACAAACAGTGTCTATGCTTGTAGGAGTGACTAGTGAGTACAAACAAGTTGTCGCAAAGACATTGGGTTGTTCTCATAATGATGTCATGGTGATGTCATAATGGTGACATAGTGATGTCATGATGATGTCAAACCATAACCAGGGGCGTCGGAAGGTAGTTTTTAGTGTGGTACGGTCAGCCATCTGAAGTACAATTTACTCGTGCGGGGAAGGATGGCTGAGCCGAAAATTTTGGAAATTTAGAGCCCAAATCAGTGCATTTTACTGATTCGCGGGGGTACTTGGAGCAAATAGTGGTACGGTCAATACCGTAGTGACCGTACCGTGTGCGACGCCCCTGATATCAAAGAACCAGACATGCCCCGGTGCACCTCTTGCTCTACCAGCAGAGCTACTAAATAACTAGATAATATGATACAGTACATAGCACACACACACACACACAAACACACATACACACACACACACACACACACACACACACACACACACACACACACATACACACACACAAACACACACACATACAAACACACATACACACACACACACACACATACACACACATACAAACACACACACACACACACACACACACACACACACACACACACACACATGGTCTGAATCCCTAGATCAACACTTACTTGACTTGTAGCCGCCCCTGTGGACCGCGCCCCACCTTTGCGCAGTGCTGATGCATAGTCAAACGCTACCGTCGGAGCTGGCGCCTGATCACCACGTCGCGCCTGGCGTACATCACGTGCATTGTCCGCCGAGTGACGAGTGCTTGGTGCAGACCCAGCGCGCTTCTCACCGCCTAGTGACCAGGTAGCATAGGCAGCAGCGGTGGCAGATGCACGGGCCTGTGAGCTACGGTACGGGGCGGCTGCTGCTGAACGGGTCTGTGACTGGTGCCATGACATTCCCGCTGAGCACCATGCACCACTCTACACCACTGTAGTACACAGTGATAACGACGATGGCGACGACAACAGCAAACATGCAGGTATCACACACATGCACATGAACACATGAACACACACACGCACACACACACGCACACACACACACACACACACACACACACACACACACACACACAGGTATTCTTTGGTCACATAATACATCGCATGTTGTTATGAGTGCACAATTGATCTTATTTATTGCCATTTTACGACTATTGCCTTCTCGTCGATTGTTGAAAATCACATAATTATTAGTATTGGTATCCACAAATGGGAGTGCTAGTAACGTCCAAATACTGTACAGAGTATTTTTATGTGCCATTCTCGTACTACAATTCTCCCAAAGGACATTCAAATCCTTACCCTGAGGTAATTGCTGAAAAACTATGCTACTCTTGATCTTCACCCACTCGTTCAAACAAATCAAGGACGCTGTGTCTTGAAAATTTGACAGAACAAAAATTCAAGCCAGGCTGGAGGACTACACGACACGAAGCACTGACATGGAATAATAATACCGCTGTCTTCCTCCTTCATCTACTCAAGAGTACTCTTGCTATCACCAGTGATCCCACAGTTTCATACAACTACTTTATCATTTTTATGTGACATGCAAGAATCGAATCTGACGAAAGCCAAAATCTCAACTGGTGCATATGTCATGTTGTCTTTCACAGTTTCAGTTTGATTCCTGATCTTCAGACTTCACAGGACTTTTACTTCTTCGTCTTTGCTTGGTCCTGCTTTAGATACGAGTCTACGCATGCATGCATGCACTCACGTACTGCAGCCATGCACGTGGTACATGGCATGCTGTCGACATGTCATTCTCAATAAGATGACATCATCACTGACAGAATTTAGTAATTCTTCTAGAAAAGCAGTCATCTGATCTGGTCATGCACTAGCAGAACCATACAAAGAATATGATGGGCCTCATAATCAGTCTTCTGTTGCTCCTCTTCTTTACCCACAATACCAGGCACAACCCGACATGCGTGAAACATTCCAGAAAAAGTACCAAAATAATAATAATTCTGCCAATATTTCTGTCGGCATTACAAATCGGTACCCCACCCATCAAGGGCTATCCGAGCCAGTCTCACATGCTCACAGTTACAGCAACATGTACAGCAAGGTGTGACTCTCTCTCTCTCTCTGGCTGTTCCAAGATCACCGGTCTGTTTGAAAGATGCAAAACGAGATGTAGGATAATCCTATTCCCATGCACATGTACTCTAACTGTTCCTGAGTGTTTGTCATGCGGCTGGTGTGTTAGTTTGGACCAGGGAGTCGTAAAATATTCTATGCCGTGACTCCATGGTTTTGACCAGGGAGTCACGGCATAATTGTTTACGCGGTTACTCCCTGGTTTCGACCAGGGAGTCCTGGGGCTGGATTTGTACGACTCTGGTTTCGATTGCAGCCACATCAGATCTCATACTTATGTGCTCGGGAAACACCAGGACAAGAGACTTACAAAGGCCAAAACCGTATCCTCAAACAGGCAGGCACACACACGCGCGCACACACACACATACACACACACGTACACATACACACAACAGGTAGTCACCAGTGATCACTGTATCTGAGTAGCTACATGTACACGAATCCAGTTTTACTATTGACATGAAAACTTTTCTTGTGCGTTATGCTGCATGATTATAAAAATGCAAGAAATTGAACCGAAGCAAAACTACAGATAAATTTTCATAAAAACACAGTTTCACTATCGCATACTGAGACCGAATTAGTAATTACAGATGTGACATTCTCTCTCTCTCTCTCTCTCTCTCTCTCTCTCTCTCTCTCTCTCTCTCTCTCTCTCTTTCTCTCTCTCTTTCTCTCTCTCTCTCTCTCTCTCTCTCTCTCTCTCTCTCTCTCTCTCTCTCTTGTGCAGGATATGTTTTCACTCTTTTGGGGGAGTAAAACTTGGTTGATAAAAAAATAAAAAACACAGATTTACTAGCGAATATTGAGTCATAAATACAGTCGTTATAATTAGATTAAAAAAAAGACAATCTGTCTCTCTGAATCTTGTGCAGGATAAGTTTTGGCTTTTTAAACATTCTTTTACCATTCACCAGAACGGAGTCAAGTGATAAGCACTGATATCTGGACGACGCCACCTGCACACAAAACTATCGGCGAGTTATTCCCGCTTTTCCGGCACCCGGCCTAGCGGGAAGAACGGGACAAGCCGGCTGGTGACTTTCTGGTATTCATAGTACAGCGGATAGCGCTTCAACGTCAGCATTTCCGTGAACGACGTCGAGCCCTGGAACAGGGCCATGAGCAAGAGAACACCGACGCACGAGTAGTTGATGTACCGACCAGTGGCTGCCACCGAGAACAGATAGACGCACAGCCACATGCACTGCTCGGCGAAGAAGTTCGGATGCCGGGAGTAGCGGAACAGACCGGACGTGAGAAATCCGCGAGCATTGTCACCTGCGAGGGGCTTTCCCTCACGCTTCGCCGTGTGCTTTCTACCCTGAAAGTTCCACTGCTGCTGGTCAGCGGTCGTCTCTAGGACTAAGAAGAAGAGGAAGAGACCTGCTGCAATGTAGTCCAGGTTGTTCAAAGGTGTCTCGCTTCGACGGCTGACATATGCCGGCACCGTGATCAAGAACAGTAACACATGCTGGAACGATGAAATGAAGAATAAGTTGAATAGCTGGAAGACGATTGGGTGCATGCGAGCACGTAAAGCCTCCCAGCGGTAGTCCTCCATGCCCGAATACCCTCCGCGTCTCCAGAAGTTAAACGTCAGCCGCACTGACCATAGCGTAGTCAGACCAGCCATGATCATCACCCGCTCCTGCCCTGGTGCTCCTGATCGTGTGCTGGGGTGAAATGCAAAGATCAGGGTGTACACTGTTGGCACCAAGGACCACTGACGATCCACATAGGAATAGTCACCTGTTAGCCAAGAGGCCACAAGGCAGTAGACGAACAAAAACGTGACCAACAGGCAAGCCACGGCTAGCGGATCCAGCACACAGAACGCTTTCCACAAGCCACGGGGAAAATCGCGTAAAACTAGATCATACTCCAAGCCCCGCAGTGATACTGCCGCATCACCGGCAACAGACATCAACGGTGCAATAAATTCATCCATTATTAATATTCAAATCTATTGCAGCTTTCCTCAGGCTATCACAGCTACAAGATTACGGTATCTCCCGACTTGAGGGATTGGGATGATACCAACGTTCAACGTATAACCAGAGGGACCAGACAAGCTCTTCGTCCTTCAAAGACTCTGTTCGCTACCTGGCTTGATCGACTTATATATCAGGAACGACCATACGCACGAAGCAAGGATGAACTGATACCATTCTTTGCATTTTGAATTTTTTGAAATCGAGGGCGCAGCTAGCTAGCGCGGGCCCGGGCGCCCGGGCGGGGAGTACAGTCATGACGTCGTCAGTGAGTGAGTGTTACCTGCTCGAATATCGCTGATCGGCCCGGCCAAATTACTCCGTAACCGGTCACGACACTGTAGTGTATATTTGTAGTGCTGTGCTTGCATTGCTGCACCTGTACCCGGCCGTCCCTGGCCCTGAGTGAGTGTTAGTAAGGAAGTACAATCATGTACATGATTGTGGTATGATGTTGATGTGACTTGGCTCGTGCTCCCCACAAAGTTGTGTCACGTTCTGACGCATCATGACCTTCTAGTTAGTACCCTTTCACCCTGGCCTTGGAGCTGCCTGCCAGTTAAATTTTTTATAAAATTAATTAATAGTGCCAGTGCCTGTACTGCCCTACTGGTGAGTGGTATGGCACTGCAGAGATTGATTCATTCATCACCATCATCAAGATTCATCAATCATGCTTGGTCATCTGCACCTGGCATACAGATAACTGCGAAGTGCCATGTCATGTACGCTGGCATAAATAGATGAAAGGGAAAGGAGAAAGGCCAGGATTTGGGCATGTCGGAGACTATGGAACTGGCAACTTTCTTTTACCAATTTTAGTCTTCCTGTTGTGTGTAGGATGCAGGCTTGCAGCACTCTCCTCTTTGTTTTTGAGCTTCCAGAGTCCACCCCCTCTTGACAGTGCATCATTGCTGCAATGCATGCTCAGTGCTCAGGTCTCTCTTCTGTATCAGGGAGTCTCCAGTAATACCACCCTTTTATACAAACTCTTTGACCCATTCAATAATAAAAAATAAGTGTCTTCCACAGAGAGCTCAAGTATATAATTATCCATAAATACTACGGCATTGGAGTTTATTCTGTGCATATACGGCAGTGGTAAACCTGAATATGAAAGCCTCAAGCTACTTTTAGGAGTTGAATGGAGGTGTTGTATAGAGGCTGTACTTCGAAGTACATGTACTGACTCAGTGACTCTTACTGACTTAGATTTACATTTACATGTACATGTATATGTGGAATGTAAATCAGCGTCAAAATCACACAAAGTCAAACCTGGGCAAACCAGAGAAGTTTAGATTCATGTATAAACGTAACGTTACCGGCAGTTTGTATTTTAATGCACAATCATGGTAGCGACTTCGGCGATGATTGCATAGGAATGGTGTTTGCTCCCCACACAGGAGCTCATGCTTTTCCGCCGATTTTACTGACTTACGACTGCCATCCAGAACACATAACAAGTCCATTGAACTTTCCACTCGGCAAACCTGCAAGAAAGCACCACTCCCTGCTCAACACACAGTGCCTCGGGAAATTCACCCCTCATCAGTTGAGCTTGAGTAGGCCGAGGAAGATTGTGCCTGAAAAGCACTGCTTACATAGTGCTCTCCGGGCCAAACTATCACCAGGGATACAAACTTACAGAGACGCTCCATTTCCAGCACGACAAACACATCACCGAAACACTGTGGAGTGGTGCTTTCGTTGCAGGTTTGCCGAGTGGGAGGTTCAATGGACTTCTCGTGTGCTCTGGATGGCAGTCATAAGTCAGTCAAGTGGGCGGAAAAGCGTGGTGAGCTTCCGGGTGGGGAGCAAACACATTTCCTTTGTTTTAAATTTCTAATATTTTACATGTAAGAAAGGGTTTGCTCCCCACACCGGAGCTCGCGCTATTCCGCCGACTTTACTTGACACTTGACTGACTCACGACTGCCATCCAGAGCACACGAGAAGTCCATCGAACCTTCGACTCAGCAAACCTGCAAGAAAGCACCACTCCCTGCTGAATACACAGTGTTTCGGGGAATTCACCCCTCATCAGTTGAGCTTGAGTAGGCTGAGGAAGGTTGTGCCTGAAGAGCACCACTTATATAGTGCTCTCCAGGCACAGACATCACCAGGGATACAAAATTACAGAGACGCTCCATTTCCAGCGCGACAAACACCTCGTGAACACCAGATAGCAGCGCGAGTCAGTGTCGCTCCTGGACGGTGAGACCAGACGTTGAGGACCCTCGGTCATTCGCAACGCTGTCACCTCCAAACCAACTAGTTGCAAGCCCGCGCTGGGCACAACAGTACGAAGTAGTGGTTGCATGTGTTGTGTATTTTACTGTACTCCTTTCCTAAGCTGGTCGTTGTGTTTCTCAACACAATTGTGTAGCAGGTGGTGACCTGTTGTTGTTGCTATCATTGTCGTCCTCGTGAGCACAACCAACACGATGTACTGGCGCATGAGAATATGAGGCAGGGGCGTCACCCGTGATGGGCACGGGGGGCACGTGCACCCCCCTAAAAAATTCGACCTTGGTTTTTTCGAACTCCTGGTTATGAAAAGTGTAGTGCTGGTAGAATCTACATACTAATAAACTGCATGCACTAAAACTAGTTGCACTGCACTGTGCTGCCGCAATCGCGTGAGTGCATGCAGCGAGTGCATGTACATGACCAGTACGAGTACGACTCGTAGACTAGTTACACTGAAATGGCACCAAATGCCTGAAAATGCTTGCCTTCAATTTTTGAAATTTTTTCCGGGGGAGGATAATGAAGAATTCTTGTCCCCGGTCGTAGCGTCTTCTTGGCTTGTTGCAGAATCAAAAAGTCTTTCATTGTAGTTACACTGATATGGCACCAAATGCCCGGAAATGCTTGCAATTGGCTTCAATTTTTGAAATTTTTCCCGGGGAGGGCCCCCATACCCCATGGCCGCCCCACCTCCAAAGTCGGTGCAACGGGCCTGCTATCAGCGAACTTTTTCGTGTTTTTCTGTGCACCCCCCCTGTGAAGGGGCCCGGTGACGCCCCTGTGAGTGATTGATTGCATGTACATGTAAAATGTCAACGATGAACTCTGCTAGTAGTGATACATGTGTGGCATGAAGAGTATGGACTCTTGCTGGTATCTGTCACCAAAGATGGATCCACTGAGAGCTGCACATGTGGAGATAGTCAAGAAGATGATTTCTACATTTAATACTACATGGTTGTGTAAACATGAAACCAGACTCCCAAGTCGGTTGACAAGTAACTATTAGTAGGACCGTTGCAGTGCTACAGCCTTACAGGTTTATCAGAATCACAGCTGATACTCTGGGCTGAATTGTGCCTTGGACAGCTCAAGCTTGACCATCGTTTGCAGGCAAATCACTCACATATTGGGGGCCAGGAATCAGGAGCTCTGAAAGGTGCACTATCTCACTGCACTTTTCGCTTCTGCTTCTCCTTGAGAGTCGACACGTCTACGATTTCCTCTAAACGTTTCTCAAGTCCCAAGCTGGGAACACTTCTCTACACCCTGGCCTTGCCAGTCTTGTCTGATCTCCGGAAATGATAGACTGTGCACTGCTAGCTACGAACTATGGGTGAACTTCGTACTATCGTAACTATTGCCAGTCACTTGTGAGGTGCCCCACCATTGCCAGTCAGCAAAAAACTCATCGGACTGAGTACGAACACAACCGTTTCACGCACCGGCCTTTCCCCGAAGGTGATGCGGCCACGTCAGCGTAGAAGCTGCAGCCAGATTCGATGCAGGATACAGTTCAAGTCCGCTCCGTCGTAGCAGAAGGGATGCCGGAAAGAGGTCACCCAAGACACAACTCTACAAGATTGACAACCTGTGCTCACAAATATGGATCCAATGGTCCAGAGAACAAACACACGACGACTGGCTTTATTGTGCGCATGCGTACACATCTGCTAGTCATCGGAAGAAGACGTTGTCTTTCTTATCAATTTCTGTTTGTAGCTGTAAAGAGAGAATCCATAAAACGAACAGGAGTCTTAATTTTCTTAATTAGCACGGCTTTTAATAGCTTACACCATGGCAGAGGAGGCAGAGAAGTTTCTGCGAAGTGCCGCTGTTGATCAGAATGCTCAGCAAGCCTTCGACTCCAAGAAGTGGCTGTGGGTACCCGATGATGCCGAAGGCTTCAAGAAGGCCACCGTCACCGAGACGAAAGGCGAGCAGATTACTGTTCAAATCGAGAATGGAGGGGTGAGTGGTTGAGTAAGACAAGGTTAAAGCCTTTCCTTAGTGTTTCGTATGCTTATTTCGGGGGACTGATTTTCCAACATGACACCGACGTTCTTTCTGCACAGGCTGCAACCTTTGATGCCGAGAAATGCTATCAAATGAATCCTCCCAAGTTCGAGAAGATCGAGGACATGGCCTGTTTGACATACCTCAACGATGCTTCTGTCCTGGAGAACTTGAGGCAGAGATACTACAGCAGTCTCATCTACGTAAGTATAGCTTCCACTGCGTACTCTAGAGCTCTCTCCGTACGTTCAGGTACTTTCCTGCTCTGTCCTTCGTTTGGGACTTCGAAGGCCACCGCAATGGTCGTTTTCACCACACATCCTGTTCAGAAGAGTGTTTATTGTATGCACTTGTATGAACGACGACGCATGAGATCAACAGGAGACGCGTTTGGCATGATCCTCGCATGTTTCAACGAATCTCGCATTCTGAAAATTTCCTTTGAGTGCAAGCGTGGGTACCGTTTGTACGAAGCTTTCTTCTAGTTCTTCAAACAAATGTGCACGTTGTCATTTTACCAGAGAATTTCTCTACAGGATAGTAATTTTGTGGTTAGAAGCAGAGTTGAGGGATATGTTTGCAATGTACGTCTCCGTGATTGGCCAATGCACGTTGGCGAACGCGACTGCGACTGTCTGAAGCATATTGCCGAGAACTGCTCGAGTTTGGTGAATCTCATAGGGGGACTGGCGCAGTACAATCATGTACTACGTCAATAATACGTCAGCCAGTATGCTGTAACTCATGAAACCTGTAGTGCGTTGCACTCTGGCAACGATCCTCGCGGAGAGTTTGCATTGCTCGAACCCAGGATTTGCCCTGTTTGAACCAGGAGAGCTCTATTCCTCTGCTGGACATCCACTTGCCTGCAGTGTTCCGACTTTGTGGCAAAAAAATAATCCTGCAAAAGGACTAGGCACAGGCACTGCATTCTCTCCGTGTCACGCGTGCTGTGCCACCTATGCTGCTTGCCTCAGACTGATTCTTCTCACCATTTTTTGTTTGCTTCCCGTACAGACCTACTCCGGTCTTTTCTGTGTGGTGATCAACCCCTACCGGCGACTGCCTATCTACACCGATGCAGTTGTACAGATGTACAAGGGCAAGCGTCGCACTGAGATGCCACCCCACGTCTTCTCCGTCACTGACAACGCCTACTGTGACATGCTTCAGAGTAAGCGGAGAAGATCTACAATGTTTGTTTGCCCCCCCCCCCCCCACACACACACGTTGACTTGCGCAAAACACAAACATTGCCAAGCAACCGTCACCAGCACTCCAACAATGGTTATGTAAGGCTGAAAATCATACCTTCTTGAAAGACTTGTAGTAGCAATCAACGTCCCAGTTTCCTGAGCATTATGATAGAGCTCTTTTGGTAACCCGAGTGTCGCTATTTGATCAATACTACATTATTATAGGCTTCACCACACACGAATCCTGCCAAATATAGAGGAGTTCACTGACACACAATCCCTATAAGGTGGTCCAGTACCGCACTGTGGCTATTGCATGGGCCTTGTCAAGCCCTGGTGCTCTTGATCTGGTTGGGTGCCGCTGGCCATGTCCAACGCCCACACGCCAGGACATCATGCAATAAGCCACACTTTCCCAGAGTTTTCGGGTACAAACCTAGATTGCCAGACTAAAGCTACATTCTACCTGTGTGGACACGTAGCGTTCATTCATCTCGAAATGTGGAGCATTTCTTGGCACACTGAAGGCACCTGCTCGTGATTTTACAATTCAGTTGTACAAAACACAATGTGAATGCCAAAATGCTTTGGACATTCACTCGTCGTTCAGAGTAATCAGTTCTCCACACGGCAATGCCATTGCTTTCACTTATGAATTGTGTGTCTGTATGTGCGTGTGTGTGTGTGTGTGTGTGTGTGTGTGTGCTTTGCAGACCACGAGAATCAGTCTATCCTGATTACGTAAGTTCTTGTCCCTAGTTTGACATGCTAGCCTTGGCATGTGAGAAAATGTGCACTGGAAAACATGCTGGGCATGAATGAGTCAGTTTGCTGCTATTTCTGATACATGTTGTGGTGCGAAAAGGACAACCTAGAATGTGCTGCTTCCCATTTGCATTTACTGTAAAGTGAGAAACTTTCGCTAGAGATTAAATTTCGCTATTATCGCGACCATCACGCATTCGCGAATATAAATCGACGCAAACTGATTGTAGACAGTACGAGATCCGACTGAAGCGATAGAATCGCAAAAGTTTCTCATCGTGAACCAGCCCAATTTATGAAAACGCTAAATTTGCACACCGCGAAAGTTGTCGTTTTGCAGTGTCTATAGCGCAATTTGTCATTTCCATCACCCAAACGGTGAAAAACGGACGTAGCAGATTTTGTTAGTGCAGCACTGAGACTGAGAAGCAGTGAAAGATTGTGGAATCATGAATTTGTTTGTTTGCAATTGTTTGATCTTTTTCTTCTGTTTCTTTGTCTGGCATGCATAGTGGTGAATCTGGTGCCGGAAAGACCGAGAACACAAAGAAGGTCATCCAGTACCTGGCTCAAGTTGCTGGCAGTGGAGCCAAGAAGGTATGTCTGGTGCAGAGAGTCATACGGAACTAATGATGAAGTTCGTACAAAATGCTTACAACCCTGAACTACAAAAATGGTGCTGCATGTTTTTACAATCCGCAATGCATGAACATTTCTCTTGAAAGTACACTCAAACGCCTCTTATCCGGACGCCTCAGATACGGGCACGTCTCTCTACCGGGCACCTTCAGCTTGAGTTCCTATAGCACAAATGCGTCGAATTCGGGTTTTTTGAACTTTTTTCTGTATGTGGAAGTGCTTATGTTTAACTGCCAACCTATGTAATCCACTCATTTTTATCAATGGGTTCCTTTTGTATCCTCAACATGTGCAATACGTGCCAAATAAACTTCTTCAAAAAATGATATCATGCATGGTAGATGAGTTATTCTGAGATACGGGCAAATCTGAGATACGGGCAGTGCCCGGTCCCAAGGTGCCCGGATAAGAGACGTCCGAGTGTACTCACTTTGTCTCTTGTTTGTTGTTTGGGTTCACCCTTGTACCGCCGTATCTGAACTGAGCGTGCACACACGAATGCTTTTTTTTGTTCTTTTTTGTCCAGGGACAAGGCAATCTGGATGAGCAGGTCATCCAGGCCAATCCCGTGTTGGAAGCTTTCGGTAACGCCAAGACCGTCCGTAACGATAACTCTTCTCGATTCGTAAGTCCTGCATTATCAATCGTCTTTACTTCCTCTTTCTGTTCTTTGCACCAACTTAGGCAAGCCAACAAAATTTACAAGGATGATGACTGAAGGGATGCAATGTTTAATTTTTGTGACTTTTCAATGTCGAATCAATATTATTCTCATTTTTCATTTTCTTACCATGCACGTCTACAGGGAAAGTTCATCCGTATCCACTTTGGCAACAACGGCAAGATTTCTGGTGCCGATATCGAGTACTGTAAGTAGAGATATGAGCGGCCACTCTGCACAGGTCTGCCTATTATTTTATACAGCTGCCTGCTCTTCTCAGCCTTGTGTTTTGCAAGCCCTGATCAATTCAGTACCGCATCATTTTGTACTGTCTCGCAGACTTGCTTGAGAAGTCGCGTGTCGTTCGTCAGACCAGCAAGGAGCGTAGCTACCATATCTTCTATCACCTCCTGGCCGGTGGCTCCAAAGAGATGCTCGGTGAGTTACGCACACACTGTACATATCCATACGCATACACACACATTGTTTTTGAACCCATGGGCATCTTCAAGTACATGTACACTCGTCACAAGCATATCTGCATCACCTGAGAACTTGTGGAGTATACATCTACTGTAATTCTTAGCAGACATACAGGTCGTGCTCTTGATACCAAGCCCTTTTGTACACGAGAAGTCGCCTTTCCATATCGCTGACACCTGTAGAGTGACAAGATCATGTTGACAATGATTATATCAAATGAACTTGTGGGCCACAACATATCGTGTGGCGGCCCAGTGGAATTTAGACATGTATGCATTTCTGTACGGCGTGCGGTTTAACAACAGCTATGCGCCTGCGTTTGAACACTTTCTCGCCGTCATTCTTGTTGTCCTTACAGAGAGTCTGCTGCTTGGTCGCAACTACTCTGACTACAAGTTCATTGCTTCCAGCTGCCCCACTGTAGAGAGCATGGACGACCAACAAGAGTTCAAGGCAATGGAGGTCAGTTGTGCACTTTCTACCACATTGAAAACTCACAGAAAATCTCTATGAATCAATCACCACCCCACCGGATTTTTAATTCCCTTCAGAGCAATAAAATATTTTGTACTACCATTCCCATGGTGCCGACTGTCCATTTTGACCTTGTCTTGCACAATGTATAACTTGTCATTTTGTGGACGTGTTTTCAATCTCTGTGCCTGTACAGGAAGCTTTCAATGTACTTGGATTCGACAAGGAAGAAAAGATGTCGCTGTACCGCACCGTTGCCGCCATCCTTCATCTTGGCAACATCAAGCTGCGTTCCAAGAGTTCCCGTGACGACCAGGCCGAAGTCGCTGACCCATCTGGCAAGTAGTACTATATTCACTGTACATGTAATTGTATATACCTTGTGCTGGACTCGGCATACTTGTAGTAACCGGACACAGCTATAAACTTGTGCACTCGCAGCACCTCGGGTAGACCATGAGCTTAGGGTGAGAGAGAGAGATGTTATCACCCCCGGGTAACACAGTTACCCCAACTAACCATGCAAGGCACTAATCTAATCTGGGTGCTTGTACTTCGTATGTATTTCATATGTAGTTGCTCATTACTCACGTCTTCATCTTCTTTTGCCTGTTGTCTGTTCAGATGCCCAGAAGGCTTCTCACTTGTTGGGTATCAAGGTTGACGAGCTGTGCAAGAGCTTGGTGCGCCCGCGTATCAAGGTCGGAAACGAGTGGGTTGCCCAGGGCCGAACCACCGACCAGGTCGCATTCAGTCTTACCGCCATCTCCATGGCCCTGTACGAGCGCATGTTCCGATGGCTGGTACAGCGTGTCAACAAGACCCTCGACTACAAGGTACGATAAGAATAGACACACTGCAGGAATGGAACGGAAAATAGCTTTTACAGTCTCCACAATACGCCCCCCCCCCCCTTTCCTCAAATGGATTCATTGCTCCAAGATCTGTTTGGATTGCTTACACCTTACCGTTAAAGGGGAAGTTAAGGCAAAAATTAAAATTTCACCAGTTGTAGTCTTCGGGGTGCTGAGTGGAATGGTCTTGGTCCGAGAAAGCTGAGACGCTCCCTTCCTACTTGAATCCCAATCGAACTCACGCACTTCCACCGAAACTGGGTGACTGCGCCCTACTAGATGGGGATTTGTATGCAAAATGTCACTAAAAGCGCCATTTCGTTCTTAAAGGGGAAGTTAAGGCAAAAATTAAAATTCCACCAGTTGTAGTCTTCGGGGTGCTGAGTCGAATGGTCTTGGTCCGAGAAAGCTGAGACGCTTCCTTCCTACTTGAATCCCAATCGAACTCGCGCACTTCCACCGAAACTGGGTGACTGCGCCCTACTAGATGGGGATTTGTATGCAAAATGTCACTAAAAGCGCCATTTCGTTCTTATAAAAGCACGGATGACCACGATTGGCCCATATGTTGTACTCTTTTGGACGCTGAGTCTACTGGTTTTGGTCCGAAAAGGCTGCAATGCAGCGTTCCTCCTTTATTCCCAATCGAACATGGTTGAAGAAGCGGTCACGTGCTCCTGGGTGCCCAAATCACCTGGTCACCACGCCAGCAGGTGACAACTTTCACACCAAGGTTCAACTCGAGTTCAACTCGAGTGACAGGACTGCACCCAAAAAAGGTCAAACAGGCTAGTAAGTTGTACCCTGCAGGCACGGTGACCAGGTGACTGGTGTACGCAGCAGCACGTGACCACTTGTTCGACCATGTTCGATTGGGAATAAAGGAGGAACGCTGCTTCGCAGCCTTTTCGGACCAAACCCAGTCGACTGAGCGTCCAAAAGACTACAACATATGGGCCAATCGCGGTCATCCGTGCTTTTATAAGAACGAAATGGCGATTTTAGTGACATTTTGCATACAAATCCCCATCTCGTAGGGCGCAGTCACCCAGTTTCGGTGGAAGTGCGCGAGTTCGATTGGGATTCAAGTAGGAAGGAAGCGTCTCAGCTTCCTCGGACCAAGACCGTTCGACTCAGCACCCCGAAGACTACAACTGGTGAAATTTTATTTTTTGCCTTAACTTCCCCTTTAAAAAAGCACGGATGACCGCGATTGGCCCATATATTGTAGTCTTTTGGACGCTGAGTCGACTGGTTTTGGTCCGAAAAGGCTGCGATGCAGCGTTCCTCCTTTATTCCCAATCGAACATGGTTGAACAAGCGGTCACGTGCTCCTGCGTACACCAGTCACCTGGTCACCGTGCCTGCAGGGTACAACTTACTAGCCTGTTTGACCTTTTTTGGGTGCAGTCCTGTCACTCGAGTTGAACCTTGGTGTGAAAGTTGTCGCCTGCTGGCGTGGTGACCAGGTGATTTGGGCACCCAGGAGCACGTAACCGCTTTTTCAACCATGTTCGATTGGGAATAAAGGAGGAACGCTGCATCGCAGCCTTTTCGGACCAAAACCAGTCGACTCAGCGTCCAAACGACTACAACATATGGGCCAATCGCGGTCATCCGTGCTTTTTTAAGATCGAAATGGCGCTTTTAGTGACATTTTGCATACAAATCCCCATCTAGTAGGGCGCAGTCGCCCAGTTTCGGTAGAAGTGCGCGAGTTCGATTGGGATTCAAGTAGGAAGGGAGCATCTCAGCTTTCTCGGACCAAGACCATTCGACTCAGCACCCCGAAGACTACAACTGGTGAAATTTTAATTTTTGCCTTAACTTCCCCTTTAAGTCGGGTCATCAGTAAGGGCACGGGTTAGATGGGGGTTAGAAGAATATGTGCATAACGAGTATGGTTTGTGTATGGTTTGTCTAGATATTATACTAGACCAGATCCTGCATGGCACGACAGAAGACTGTGCTTCCGTGTGACTTCCCACTTTTCACATTATCGTTCACAAAAGTCCCTTTTATCCAGTGCTTTCTTTTGGAAAAAGTTCTTCTCCGGAATGCGTCCCTTTTCAGTTTTCACTGCCCGCATATCCTCATTGTTATTCATCTGTTTCCTTTCCCTGCGTTTAGATGCACAACAACTACTTCGTCGGCGTCTTGGACATTGCTGGTTTTGAAATCTTCGAGTTCAACTCCTTCGAACAGCTGTGCATCAACTACACTAATGAGAGGCTGCAACAGTTCTTCAACCACCACATGTTCGTGCTCGAGCAGGAGGTCTACCGCAAGGAGGGAGTCGACTGGGAGTTCATCGACTTTGGTCTTGATCTTCAGGGAACTATCGAACTGATTGAGAAGGTGAGTGTCGCCCGGTATTTTTTCAGGGTTGCAAAATTAGCGTTTGCTCCTTTGCATCTCCTTTTGGACTGCAGATCAAATGCCTGGGTTACACTAATTTACGTGAAAAAATTGCTGAGTATCAGTGTGTTTCTTTACATTGTGCTGTGCTGACACAAGAACTTTCTGTCCAATTCTATTCTGTCATCTGCAGCCGCTGGGTATCTTGTCTCTCCTGGATGAGGAGTGTCTGTTCCCCAAGGCCTCTGACAAGACCTACACTGACAAGCTGCACCAGAACCACGAGGGCAAGAGCTCTCAGTACAGCAAGATTGGTTTCACCAAGGGCAACAAGACACCTGCCATGTTCAAGCTCCACCATTATGCTGGTACCGTAAGTTGGTGTAGCATAGGAGGCGCTTGACTTTGTTTCCTTGCACGTCCAGCTCATCCCTTCCACCAACAGTGGGTACTTGGACTAAGCCCAGCTCATCCCTTCCACCAACAGTGACCGGTCTGTGTCGCACGTCTGTAACAGACGACTGGTCTTGTCGAGCTCATCGCGCTCCCATACCCTCTCTAGGTGGGTAGCCATTTCGACAGCCGCTTGGACTGTCTGCGTTGCATTTTCGTGCAACCGTATACGCAACCCTTCTGGGGTTGCGGCATCTAGGAACTGATCTCGGACCAGTTCGTTCTGCAAGGCAGGTTGCATGGTTGGGTACGCCCGTCCCACCAATTTATGCAATTCGTCACGCAAGGTGCCGAAGTCTTCATTCGCACGCCGCCTGCGGGTGCGAAATTGTGCTTTGTATTGGCGTGCTGCGCCCGCCGGAGCAAAACGGTCCGTGAGGTCCGCCACCAGGTCGGCCCAAACGGCTCTCCTTGCAGCTGAGACAGAGCCCAGAAATTTTTGCGCCCCGTCACGAAGACGGACTGCCAAGAATTGTGCGCGCTGCGCATCATTCCATTGATTGACCGCGGCGCAAAGGTTGAAATACTCAAGGTACTCCAACCAATCACCGTGGCCGGTATAAGCCTCCGGCATAATGGAAGGCCGTGCATTTGCAGCATTTGCTGCTCCTCTAGCAGCGTTAGCTGCAGCAGCGACATTAGCACCAGCCGCAGGCCGGTTTTGAGCCATGATAGTTGCAAAGGATTGCAAGTTACAAGTGCTAATAAGCACGAGAGGCAAGCAAGGCTTGAAGGAGAGGCTGTGAAGCTTCTTAGTGCAGACCCGAAGGTGGAATGATTTCTAACCCCACATCGGTCTCTTTTTATCCCTGGGCTGCTGACGTGTCAGCGCCAGTTCGCATTCGGCGCCGTGGCGCGGCCTGCGCAGAGCCTGCGCACACCAGCTAAATGCGGACTGTCGCCAGTCATTGTGTCAATAGTACACCGTGCAATGTTACGAACTCCGTAGACTGTAGAGGATTTACTACCTAGTACCCATAGTACCGGTCCTGGAGTACCGCTCAGGTGTGACGAGTCACACCTCAATTACTTCCCGTAGGAGTTTTCTGAACCGACGTTCCTGGCCTGCTGACCCCCATCTGGCCAGGCTACGCTGGTTTTAGTCAGACTATGAGTACAACTTACTTCTAGTCTGATTTCTCCCATTCTGGACTCAAGAGCCCAGGGGTGTGGAGCTACGCAGCATGCTGGGGTGCGTCTGGTTTGACCACTTGTACATGCAGCCCTTGGAACTAGTTTATACCACTAGTCCAATATCAACCCTCATGCTTTGACACACAAAACACAAGTTTGTTCCAGTTCGCCTCAAGGGCCATCTTCAAGTAACTAATACTTAGTTAATTATGACAATATCTCGGCTTTGGCCGAGGCCAAGCTGGCGGCGTCGTCGACGGCTGCGTCGGTCGTTGCCGTCAGGCGTTCACGTTCAGCCTTTGCGGCGTCTCGGGCTGCAGTGACGGCGTCGTCACGGGCACGATTTCAAGGCGTTGCCGCCGTTGCGAATCTTGGTCGTTTCGGGGAGGGCCCTCTTCAATTGCGGCCGAGAATTTCTTCAGGGCCATTAATAGGGACGTCAGTCCGCCGGCGATAGCCCGGAGCTTCAGGGCATGCGAGTGCTGGCGCAGGGCCTCCAGTGCTGAGGCACCTGCCTGCAATGCAACGATCAGTTCTTGTTGATGCGCGGCATGTCGCGGAAGTCGCGCCTCGGGTGCGCCACGCTGTTGCTGTCCGTCAGCCATTCTCAACACTGTTCAAGAAGGAGACACACATAACAGTGTTATAGCATTATCGCTTGATCCTGGTCACAGCACCAAATGTCATCGCAGGAGATACCAGATTGTCCATCTCTTCCTCCACCCGCCGCTGTGGGCTGGATTGAGCCCAGCTCATCCCTTCCACCAACAGTGGGCACTTGGACTAAGCCCAGCTCATCCCTTCCACCAACAGTGGGTACTTGGACTAAGCCCAGCTCATCCCTTCCACCAACAGTGACCTGCACGTCGCAGTGTTCCTTTTGTTGTTCCAGCACGTTTTCAAAATGTTGCAGTGCGACACAGGCCACCATTTGCGCATTACCCCATATAGATGTTTGACTTTAGCCAACGGGTTTAAGGCTGATGTGCATGTTCTGTTTCATCTAATATGAACTTGTTTGTCTTTGCCATGCCAATAGGTCGAATACAACACCGACATGTGGCTGGACAAGAACCGTGACCCTCTCAACGACAACGTCGTCGACCTGCTGAAGAAGTCTTCCGAGAACTTCATGCAGACCATCTGGGCCGACCGTGCTGCTGAGTCCTGTAAGCTTTGCTTTGCATGGCCGTGGCTGTTTGTGGAGAATGTTCCCAGCATCCAGACGGCTATGTGCCTTCCAAGCCGCATGCACTGATGTTAAGTGTAGCCGCACTAATTCATACCGTGTGTGAGCGCTCCAGCACTTCTGTTGCTAGAAACCAAATCTGCCATTCTCGATCTGCTTGTGAAATGTGTGTTTGTGAGCTACCGTTGATAGAAACCGAGTGTGCCATTGCTTGATCTGATTGTGTTCTGTTCTTCTTTGTCTGGTTTCCCTCGTAGCTACTCGCAAGAAGGGAAGTCAGTTCCAGACTGTGAGCCAGATTCACAAGGTGAGATTCTAACTTTATTGTATAAGAGATGGCAACGTCCTGACTGTTCTCCTTGTTGTCATGGCAAGAGCGTGGCATCGTGACAGTCTAAATTTATTATCAATCTCAAATTCTAGACTTGTTTCTCATTCTTCACAGGATGTTTACTGTTGTCGCTTTAGTTGACAAGTTGCTGTACTCATGATTTTACACTTCACAGAGCTCTCTGAACAAGCTGATGAACACTCTTCATGAGACTCAGCCTCACTTTGTCCGTTGCATCATCCCCAACGAGATGAAGAAGCCCGGCGTTGTCGAGGCTAAGATGGTGCTGCATCAGCTGCACTGCAACGGTGTCCTGGAAGGTATCCGTATCTGCCGTAAGGGATTCCCCAACAGACTCCCATTCCAGGAGTTCCGTCAACGGTAAGTTTGCACATGCATACAAGCTGAGGTCTTTCTGGTTCGCTCTGGTCATGATTATCTCTTTCGCTCTCTCTCTCTCTCTCGCGCTCTCTCTATCTCTCTCTCTCTCTCTCTCTCTCTCTCTCTCTTCCCCACCCACAAGGCAATCAGTAGAAGTTGTTGTTGTTAAATTTCTTTCCGATTCAGACACGCTGTCACGCTCACTAAACTGTTGCTGTTTTGTTCCTTTCCTTACTGTTCCTTGTGCAGTTATTCCATCCTGGCCCCTAGCTCTGCACCCATGGGATTCATGGACGGTCGCAAGGCAGCCGAGTGTCTTCTCGATGCCCTGCAGCTGGAGAAGAACGAGTTCCGTGTCGGTATGACCAAGGTCTTCTTCAAGGCCGGCGTTCTCGGTCAGCTGGAAGATGAGAGAGACAAGAAACTAGCTCAGGTCTTGACCATCATGCAGTCTCACATCCGTGCCAAGCTCATGCGACAGATGTTCAACAAGCTGCAGGACCAGCGCCTAGCCATTGCCGTCATCCAGAGGAACATGCGCAAGAACGTCTTCCTTCGCAACTGGCCATGGTGGAAGCTGTACACCAAGGTCAAGCCTCTTCTCAACGTCTCCAGGCAGGAGGATGAAGTCCGCCAGAAGGACGAGGAGGTCAGAACTCTTTTCATCTTTATTGTGAAATTCTCCACACGTCACATATTCTTCAGTTATTTGGTATTGCGTATATCTCCGTGTCTCGAGTCTTCACTTCATATTGAAGTAAATAATATTTTCATATTTTGATCTTGAGGACTCCACTGTAGTAGTAGTAGTAGTAGTTAACCTTCTGATCCACATTCTGCTTTGACAACACTGTCCTCCAATCTTTCTGTTCAACCGTCTGACCAGATCCACGTGTATGTTTTGATGTTGGCCATGTGTTGATCACAGATCACCAAGTTGAAGGACAAGTGCACTCGTCTCGAGACCTGCGAGAAGGACTTGGAAGACAAGCAGGCTGCTCTCATGGAGGAGAAGCAGCAGCTGTTCCAGGACTTGCAGAGGGTAAGTGGTTCCAACTTAATGGCTGTTTGGGATCAAGTCGGACAGTGACTACGCACTACACCTTTACTCAATGAATGTTGTGTAGTTACTTCAAGAAGTACATTTTGCTCGGATAGTGACTGACTGTGTCAAGTCGGATGTATGGAGAATTGATCAACCTTCTGTATTCTTTTTATTACTCTCTGTTCCTTGCAGGAGCAAGAAATGGCTGCTGATGCCGAGGATCGTCTTGCTCAGCTGACCATCGCCAAGGACAGCTTGGAAACCCAGGTTGCTGAGCTCACTGAGAGACTCGAGGAGGAGGAAGATGCCAACGCATCCATCTCCAGTGCCAAGCGCAAGCTCGAGGCCGACCTTGAGCAGCGCTCCATGGAGCTCGAGGAGATCAAGAGAAACTTCGACAAGGTCAGGCAATGCTCCTGCACTGAAACTGTGCATAGACACTGTTGGCCAACTTTCTGTCCACCGGTTTTGCTTCTGTTTGGTTTGGTCTGGGGTAGCAACAGGGTCATCCAACAGGACATGTACTCCACTGAAGTACACAACTACACATCATAGTCATGTTGTGTCTCTGACCATGCCGGCTTCAACACTTGATATTTTCCAAACACACTGCATAGATACAAGTAACACAATAGTGCAGCCCAGCACCAGCACCGGCCTTACAGTGTATGCTCTACTGTTATGTGTAGAACACACACACACACACACACACACACACATACATACACACACATACACACATACACACACATACACACACACACACACACACACACACACACACACATACACACACATACACACACATACACACATACACACATACACACACACACACACACACACACACACACACACACATACACACACATACACACATACACACACATACACACATACACACACATACACACATACACACACACATACACACATACACACACACATACACACATACACACACACACACACACACACATACACACACACAGTGCTGAGCACAGGCAGTTTATATTCGCAACTCTGAGATTCACTACATAAGTACAAGTACTGTACAGCTGCTTTACTGTTCCTGTGCCTTACCCTCTCTCCATTTCTTCTGCCTGCTTAGATCGACGGCGAACGTCAGACACACGAGCGCAACGCCAAGCAGTACGGCGAGGAGCTCGAGAAGCAGAACGAAGCCGTTGCCCGCTTGACCAAGGAGAAGGCCGCCTTGGAGCAGCAATTGGAGGTGGGTTTGTAAACAACGATGACGAATGCAATCACGGTACCGCTTGTATCACTTGTGAAACTACAGTTTGCTCTCTGGGTCACATCTTTGGCCTGCTAGTTTTGCGGAAGCTGGGAATTTTGATTCTGATTTTCAGGTATAACAGTAGGGCAAGCATCAGCTTTCAGCGTGATCATCAATGAATTAGTTCGGCCAGAGAGCGTATGTCGTGGAGGTAGAACTGATTCATTGATTTTCAGGTGCGTTTGCTTGAATTTCTTCATCCGTGCCTGTATTTGTTGTTGCTGCGTAGGTAACTACCAATGCTCTCCAAACTGAGGAAGACAAGGTCAACCGTCTCACCAAGGCCAAGACCAGACTCGAGGCTCAAGTCAAGGAGCTTCTCTCCGACAGCTCCGACCAGCGTTCTGACCTGCAGTCCAAGATTGAATTGCTTCACTCTCAGACCACGGGCGCACAGACTGAACTGGCCGAGTCCGAGCAGAAGGTCAACCAGCTGATGAGAACCATCAAGAACTTGGAAGAGCAGCTCGAGGCAGCCAAGGCTGACCTGGAAACCAACAAGGCCGTAAGTAAATCCACAACACCAGCCCTGAAACTGGCCAATGGTGTGCCCTCCATCTTCAGTTATGTGCCTCTTTTTCTCTTTTCTGATCGCTTGCCAAGTCCACAAGCGTACACAGTTCCCCAAGGGTCAATTCCTTTAAAACACTGCTGCTCTCATTGTGACTGTGCACGTGTGAATTTCTTTTCCTGTTCTGCACACACCTTAGGCCAAGAATGATGCTCAGAACAAGCTGAAGATCGCCACCAAGGACCTGGCTACCACCACCGAGCAGTTGGAGGAGGAGCAGCGTATCCGCGAGGAGGTCGAGGCCAAGCTGAGCAAGGTGACCAGCGACTACACTGCCCTCAAGCAGCGCATGGACACCGAGATCAACACCCGCCTCGAGGAGCTCGAGTCAGACAAGTATGTGGCCATGTGTGTGTGTTGTGTGCTATGTGCGTGTTGTGTTATCCTTCGTGGCTGCATTGAAGTTTGAGAGAAATCCCTTTGCATCTGTGTATATTGCTGTTCGGTTTCAAGTTGGCGTGAAACTTTTCCTTTGCCCGTGTTGTTGCCAAACTGCTATGTGTATAATGTATATCATCCTTGTGTTTGTTGGTGTGTTGCAGGCGTCGTCTCAATTCTAAGTGCACTGAGAACGAGAACGTTCTCGAAGACATGCAGAAGAAGATCAGCAACCTGGAGAAGACCAAGCATCGCTACGCTGTGCAGATCGAGGACTTGACTGTCAACCTGGAGAACGTAAGTAGTTTGTTGCAAACAGGCAATTGTAATGCAGCTGTGTGTGTGTGTTCTTTGTCTGCTGTCACTTTGCCTCGAATTTGTCGGTTTTATTTCTACACGTGTGTTCACGACATGCCTTGTTCTTTGTTGCTGCCTTCAGGCTCAGACAGCGTCCGCCAATCTTGACAAGAAGCAGAAGAAGATCGACCAGAGCATTGCCGAGTGGAAGGGCCGTTGCGAGAACCTGACTTCGGACCTGGAGAACGCTCAGCGTGAGGCCCGCACCTACTCCACCGAGGTGCTCAAGCTCAAGAACGACCTTGAGGAACAGGTAGGTGCACGATGTCCTCTAACACTGGCAGTGTTGTAGTCAAGTTACTACAAGCTTCAAGCATCTTGTGCGTGTAGCTGAACTCCAGTTGAGGCCATACCTTATCAATCATCTGGACCTACATTCAGAGTTGCTGCATGTGCACCTGCAGATCCAGCAATGCATCAAACTCCTAACTGTCCTATCTGTAGTATCCCATTTGCAGCTAACATGGTGAATGTACACTGTGTGGTATGATATGCAGTTGATAGGGGAAAGACTAACCAGGTGCTTTCTTCCAGCTTTGCCGTCTTTAGCCTGATGCCCTGTTGCTGTTGGTGGTTCAGGGAGATGTTTTACCCCAGCTATCTTTGCTATGTACAACACTTCACAATGAAGACGAATATTGACGAGTCCAGTCATGAAAATTTCCAAGCGAAGTTTCATGAGGGACGCCGTGAGTACGACCCTGCAATACCATGGTATTTTCGGTATAACTTGGTATTTGTGCTATTTCTGCCTCTTGTAGGTCGATGCTCTTGAGAACTCCAAGCGTGAGAACAAGAGCCTGGCATCTGAAGTCAAGGATCTCACTGAGCGTCTTGGTGAGGGTGGCAAGTCTACTCACGAGCTGGAGAAGGCCAAGAAGCGCCTTGAGGCCGAGCGTGATGAGCTCACCGAGCAACTCGAGGTATGCTTGTTCTTGATGTATTTCACAAGAATAGTTCACTGAATGTGCCAACTGCCGTTTCATTTGTAGTATTTTTTTGTTTTGCCTAATATTCAGGAAGACATTTTTTGGTGATTTAGATGTTTCCAGAACTAAATCACTACTCTCTCTCTCTCCCTCTCCCTCTTGCCTGTGCTCAGGAAACCGAAGGTGCTCTTGAACAAGAAGAGGGCAAGGTACTCAGACTACAGCTCGAAATCCAGCAGATCAAACAGGACTACGACCGCCGCTTCCTGGAGCGCGATGAGGAAACCGACTCTGTGCGCAAGAACTGCCAGCGTCAGCTTGACTCCATGCAGGAGAGCATCGACACTGAGATTCGCGCCAAGGCTGAGCAGGCCCGTCTGAAGAAGAAGCTCGAGGTCGACACTGCTGAGCTGCAGATGATGGTAGACTCCATGACCAAGTCGAACACAGACGCTTCCAAGAACTCCAAGCGTCTCCAAGCTCAAGTCAAGGATGTCCAGGCCATGCTCGAACAGGAACAGAAATACAAGGAAGAGTCACAGGCTGCCCTCGCACGCTCCGAGCACAAAGTCAACGAAATCCAGTCGCAGGTTGACGAGCTGCGCAGCACAAACGAGAACTTGGAGAGGCAGTTGCGCAATGTCGAGGGCGAGGTGAATGACGCCCAAGAGAGATCTGCCGACCTTCAGACACAGATGACAACACTGACAGGTGCCAAGAGACGTGCCGAGCAAGAGGCTACCATGCTCAAGGACGAGATCGAGGAGATCTCCACGGAGAGCAAGATGAACGAGGAGCGCGCTCGTCGTCTCCAGAATGAAGTCAGCCGTCTGCAGACCGAGACCACAACTCTCAACGAGACGGTCAACTCCATGGAGAAATCCAAGGTACGGCTTGTCATTGATGAGACCTTTGTGAAAGAGGCTAGCACCTTGTATTGTGCATGTGTGTGTTGGTATGTACGTGTTGAGAGTTGTTCCCACTTCACAATGCTCGGGTATCAGTACTGGACGGCTTCTCCCGGTATCAATCATGAACTGCTTTTTATCGGGTATTGCCGGGTCCCATTCTGTAATCATTGGTTGTTTATTCTGGAATTTTCGACAAATTCTTCAAGTCTGTCTGTTCCATATGTTCATCAATGTTGTCTTGTGGGTGCTATTGTTTTTGTAGAGCTCTGCCGAACGTCAAGTCAAGGACCTGCAGGCCACCATCGAGGATCTGGAGGCTGTCGGCGGCAAGAAGCTGAAGACACAGGTCACCAAGGCCGAGGCCAAGGCACGCGAGCTTGAGCACGACCTGGAGAGCGAGCAGAAGAAGACGAGCGAGTTGACCAAGTCCAACCGCCGTACTGAGCGTAAGATCAAGGAGATGCAGTTGCACCTTGAAGAGGAACAGCAGAACACCAGAAGACTGCAGGACCAGGTCACACAGCTGCAGTCCAGATCCAAGCAGCTGCGCCGCCAGGCTGAAGAAGCTGTAAGCATCTTACTTGTTGGTGGTTTGGAAGTGCTAGAATTTTTCACTTGGAACCGAAGTGTTCCACTATGTGCATATCGGGGAGTTGTAGCATAATAGAGACAACACGAGATTATAGTTCCCGAAACACTCTGTGTTTGACCCTGGACGTTGTGTCTTGATACACCATTTTAAAAGGGGTTCAGCCACTCATAGAACACATACAGAATCAGCAGTTGATTTCTTGTCAGAACTAGAGTCAAGGCTGACTGACTGACGATTCCCACCCCACATGTTTCGCAAATTCATCCAGAAACGGACTCGCTTCATGTGTTGTTCAAGCCATATGTTGTGTCGTCTCTCCCAGGGGGTGTTGTCATTGCTTAGTGTCTTGCTAAAGCTGTGTTCTGCTTCATTCTCAATTTACCTTTGCGCTGTGCAGGAGGAAGAGGCAGAGAGCCTTCGCAACAAGGTCCGTCGTCTGCAGAACGAAGCAGATGAGGCTATGTCCCGTGCTGACGAGGCAGAAGCCGCTCTGACCAGCCGCCGGACGATGACCGTCAGTTAAAATGACAGCCCATCGCAAGTCTATCGGTGGAACGCGTGTGTTTGTGTGTGTTGCCAGTGTCGTTGTTGTCTTCGCTGCTGCTGTGAATTATCCCCGTTCACATTCTGATTATGATTGTCTTAGCCCCCTTTCCACCGTATGTTCGTTTGTATTCAGTTCCCCTCAGAATTACCGTCCCTCGACAGCGCCGCCGCCGCCTCGCTAGCTTTTGTTTATATTTTCACGATCATATTCCGAATCTAGTATTTGGTTGCTACTAGCTCCCATCTTCCCTTGTCATAATATGTATCAATATCACTGAATCTGTGTAATCTATCGAGGTCTATTTATATGCGCAGGTCTTCTTGAGAGATATAGTATACTGATTTCAGCCATCTTTCCTTAGTTCTCTGCGTCACTGTCCGTTTGTTGTTGGTCGCAACTTACTGTTAGAATAGGTCGTAGCCGTGCTTGTCAAATCAACACTTTTAGCCTGACCTACCGCCGCCTCCGATGAACTGTTTGGGCGACTGATATAGTAAGCAGTGGTGATGCATGCATGCATGCTGCATGCGTGGGCGTAATCCGAAATGCCCGTGCACCTGTTGTATCTGCACTGTATATCGTGCACTAGCAGCAACACTCAGATCCAGTGTGCGTGATGCAGCTGACCCATTGCCCGTTCAGAGTAATGTTCTCTTGGTTGTCGGGGGAAGGGGTTGACTTTTCGCGGAGTTTTGCTAGTCTGAAGGGAGGACCGAAGTCTAAAGTCTATAATCAAAACAAGTTGGGGGTACAGGAGTATTGGTATGATATCTCTCTCAACCCAGCATGTGCACAGTTTCCATGCAACTGCTAGATGTAGTAGGGGAAGTGTGTTGATCATGGACTGTATGCAGATGAATTTCAATCTACAGAAGCGACCTGATAACATATCGGTACCGGTATCATGGGGCTGGGGAAGACTGTTGCTGTCACTGCGAAACTCCTGGAAATAAGTTACGTAAAGCTATGACTTGTATTCCTGACGAACAAACCACTTTGCAGTGAGAGTGGACCAACGGAGCTGCATGCTAGCAAGGAAAGCGTAGTTACACACTCTTGATCTGGTTCATGAACTATTACCAAGAGTACATAACGGGAGGTTATGTACTCTTGCTATCAGGGAGTAGTACAACTTGTACTACTCCCTGCTTGCTATTACTAAGTCTGTGCCTTCGGATGGAAGATCTTCGCTCTGTGCTTACTACAGCACCGCTCAATGAAATCCGATCGAGAAACTCATGCAAGTACACGCCGGGCGTTGAGCAGCCCCAAACCTGTGAACACCGGGCTGCGAAATGGTGTAAGACGCAAACTAATTACTTGACTCACTGACTCATGCGATCGGATTTCATTGAGCAGCACTGTGGTATAGTGCTTCTTGAAGATGCAGTGAACAGGATAGGGGGGGGGGGGGGGGGGGGGGGGAGTGCACACTTCAGTGACAAGTGTGTTAACCGTTGTCGTTAAGTTACCGTACGCGTGCGATTAGAGCTCTCTTGAATAGTGCCCTATCTCGAATAGTGCCCTAGTCTCCAAGAGCCAGTGAAAAATATAGCCCTCTCTTGAATAGTGCCCCCCCCCCCCCGGTCTTGTAATCAAGTCCATGTGCAAGTTTGGTGTTCTTTTGCTAATGTTCTTGGCCATTTCTTTGCACTGGTGTTTTCAGGAACAAAATCGCAGGTCTTGTTCCCGTTTCTGTGGAGTCGCGAGCGTTTACAGTACACTTTAGGCTCTGTTTTTCTTCGTTTTATGCTGGATAATGCAAATGTACCAGCAATGAAAAAATAGTGCCCTCTCTTGAATACTGCCCCATCTGTGATGGACATTGAAAAAATAGTGCCCCAGGGGCACTAATCGCGCGAGTACGGTACCCGTGAGTCGTGACCGGTACTTCAAGTGGTGGCATGTACATGTGTTCAGTCGACGGCTGCCTATGGCCGGCAGTGTGATCCCATTCTCTCAGACAGCACTACATGTACTAACACACTTCATGAGCAGCAGAACATGCGAAACCAGGTACAGTACTAGTAGCTTCACTTTACAGGTACAGTACATGTAGGCTTCGAATAGCACTGCATCTTTGCTTATGAGGAGTAAACTAGAATATATACCGGTATTTTCCTTTAAAAAAAAAGAAACAAAGCTTTATCGATAAGATCTTTTTTATTAAGAGCACACAGACAGCAGTATATGCACTTGTAAAAAAATACAACACCACACAACAACAAGATGTATGAGACTGTAAACAGAGACACGAGTGGTCAGAGTAAAAACGTGTGAGAAAACACAGCGGTGATTGGAAGGAGAAATCTGGGTCATGGACTAGCTGGTAAAGTTAGTTCCGAAATCACTTTTTGTGTGAGTGTGTGTGCACGTGTGTGCGTCTATGTGCACGTAAGTGTGACAGCAAGAGCAACTCTTCTGGATTGACTACACAGAACTAGTAGAGGGTTAGGTCTGTATTGAGTATTCAGATGGCGAAAGTAGCGAAATGGCTTCGAATAGCACTGCATCTTTGCTTATGAGGAGTACACTAGAATATATACCGGGCATTTTCCTTAAAGAAGAAGAAACAAAGCGTTATTGACAAGAGCATACAGACAGCAGGGGGGGGGGGGGGGGGAGTAAAGATAGTTCATTCAGAGATACATGACGTTACACCATGACACACTAGCAACATGGTCATCACAGCATCCCTGGCCAGGTGTTCAGGACTAGGGATCTCCAGGCAGGCATTCATGGCCAGGGATTCGAGTGGGACGCTTCAGCATGCCCATGTCCAGTTACAGTCCCGACAGACCGTCCCACCGCTAACCTACTCACCGCTAACCTACTCACCGCTAACCTACTCACCGCTAACCTACTCACCGCTAACCTACTCACCGCTAACCTACTCACCGCTAACCTACTCACCGCTAACCTACTCACCGCTAACCTAATCTCTCTGATCTGAGGTCGGTGTGTCTGTATCAGCATACCTAGTGGATCAGCATCAGCAACAACAGTGCGTGTGGATCAGCATCAGCAGTGCGTGTGGATCAGCAGCAGCAACAGCAGTGTGTGTGTGGATCAGCACCAGCAACAGCAGTGCGTGTGGATCAGCATCAGCAACAGCAGTGCGTGCGGATCAGCATCAGCAACAGAATTGTTAGTGGACCAGCATCAGCAACAACATTGCGTGTGGATCAGCATCAGCACCGACATCGCGTGTGCTATGCCTATGGTAGCGCGGTGTGTACTTTAAACGTTCAATATGGCGCCGAGTATGACTAGAGCCACGTAGCATGTAGACGGCACACGGGTGAAGATCAGACCGTACAGGTTAACACAGGGCACACGCAACACCTTGCAGGAGATTCTGGAAGAGTAGAGGCGGCGCAGAGCAGCCAGCGCACACACACACACACACACACACACACACACACACACACAGCACCACTGGATGTCTTGTTCCGAGTGCTGCACGTCTGCGTTCACGACACATCCCGCTGACTTCTGGTGTCGGACACAATTACCTGGGTCCTATGTAGCCGGAGAAAAACTGCACGCTTGGCATGGCGGTCTTCATTGATTACAAGACACAGTCGACGTCGACACCGTTGTTATAATCATCCATTTGTAGCAGTATCAGAAGTCGTATCCACTCGTAGCAGTGTTAGCAGAAACAGTTGATGATGACTATGATGATGTTGTAGTGCATTCTACAGAGACTTGCATTTTATTGGAGGGTGGATCAAAGGCTTTGGGAGCCTGTCAAGGGGCTTTCCTTATGTTGAATGAAATACCTTTTTTCTTCGAAGTATGATACTTGTGCTTTCTGAGACTTGCACCATGCCAATATCCCTGCTGTCATGGTAACGCAATCTAAACACCAGGGAGCGATCAACAGAACACAGGAGAGAGAAAAGAAAAGCAGTTTGCATTAGGAAACAAGCATTGTACGCGGTGTAACCCATGACAGGTTTTCGTGTGTGGGCTATGTGTGTGGGCTATGTGTGTGGGCTATGTGTGTGGGCTATGTGTGTGGGCTATGTGTGTGGGCTATGTGTTGGAGGTGAAGTGACAAGATCACAAGGCTACAATGGAGTTTCAAAGTTCTCAGAACGACGGCGAAGTTGTTGTTTTTCTTGCCTTGTTGTGCAGCTACCATGCAGTTCCTCATGTTCACAAAAGAATGTCAAACTGGCATTTGCTCAACCTCTGACACTAAGCCCTTTGCGCAATGACGTAGCTTGTCCCACCGACACCCCACACAGCCACCTGGGTTGGTTGTGTGGGGGTGTTGAACAGTGCATTGCTGATCCCAGCGTACTCACATGCATTACTTATGCATTCCATAATTGGCAATGCGCAACGGGCTGATTGCTAAATAGTAATCACACATTCCCCCGCCGGGCAATGAGAGTACCTTGATGAGGGACGGTGGACCCTGCCTCCGGAACAATTAAAAACGAATTTGTATTCTACAAGAACAGAATGATTTGCTGAAGACTCCAATGTAGCATCTTCTCTAGTGGAGGGTGTTGTGCGGGCGCGTGTTGGGTTTTACTTTTTAGTGCATTTTACCATCATTACCATCATTACCATCATTCCTCCACAAGAATATTTTTTTCAAATACCAGCAGAGCTCCCCTCTACTATTGTATGTCTCTATATTCTTGACGATATCTTTAGTTGAGCATGACTAATAACAATTTCCTTCACCGCAAGAATTCATTGCGTTTTTAACTTTTTTTGCCCGTAAAAGAGGTTTGTCGGAAGTGGCAAAAAACTATTGGTGTTGTTCTGTTGTATGACGTACAGTCAGTCATCGGTGCACTGTGACTACTGTCTTTCCACATGCACATGGTGGCAAGGGCAAAGAGGTACTGGTGTGTATTCTAGAACAGGGCCTCGGTTTGAGAGGTTTGAGAATGTGAAAACAACTGAGTACCAGGAGAGCAGTTGCCAGTCGACCACTGACCAGCCACTCTTTACAAAAACACAACTGCACCTGTACAGACTCAATTAACATCTCATAAGCTCCGAAGACAGCAAGAACCTCACCCCCAGAGACTGGACCGCAAGCAGCGCAATGCGGCTCGCAAACACGTTCATTATCGGTCACGAATCTTGACAGAGCAAGCACTGCTCTCGTAAGCATGGGAGTTTGTACGAAGCTGCAATGTGAGGCCAGGCAACACGATTTCTTCCCGAGTCAGGTGCTCATGCCAGAACAATGAGATACTGGTAGTGCAGAATGCACCACAACAAAACCATAAACTAGTCCTCACTAGTCGATTTATTTGATTTGATTTTTCCCATCTACTGGACGGGATTTGTCACCATCACTTTCATTGCTTGCGCTCTTTGAGCTCTTCATCCCGTGCATCACCTGGTTTCCGACACCCAGTAAGTTTGTTATCAAATGAAGGCAAACTTCTCGGTACTAACCAGATCTTGCTGGTCAAGTCCTCGCGTGCAATGACCCTAGAATAACCCGGAACCTGGGGCTTGTCCTGGGAGCCACTTTATTCGCCACATACACGTTCGCACACATCCACATACGAACATGCACGTGCATGTACGCACGCGCGCACACACACACACAAACACACACACACACAGACACACACGCACACACACACACACACACACACACACACACACACACACACACACACACACACACACACACACATACGCACGCACACACACACACAGAAACAGCCAGAGAGATCAGAATATGACAAGCAATTACTGTCTGTACCGTCTCCCCACAGTAACACAGTCACTATAGTTGCAAAAGAAGGATTCACGAGCGGCGTTCAAACCCAGCACCCCTGTCTTTCCGGGACAGTGCCCTACCGATTAGGCTCCCAGGGATCACACACGCACGCACGCACGCACACGCACACACACACACACACACACACACAGCTCCATCTTGCCACACTATCCAGGCGCGTACGCAGGGTCACCTCTAGGGGGGTTTCCAACCGAATCACAAAAAATGACTCGTTTTAACCCTTTCTAAAGAGCCCTAGGAAATTTTCAAAATTATACATTTTTTGTGTTCTTTGGATCATAACTTCAGTTCTACTCACTCAATCTTCATTATCTTAGGCTTCCTGGAAGTGGAAAAGTACCAGGGAGAGAATGAGGTCGAACATGATAGTCAGTTCACAGTACAGCCATGTACATATCCAGCGCTATACTAGTATGAGTATAGCGGTAGAGTGCAGCGACGGTGCGAAAAAAATGCCCCAAACTGGGCCAAAGGCCCAAACGCATCCTGCTCCAGCGATTTCGCTTTTCTTGATCGCAGAGTTTCGATTTGTTTGCTGTGTACTCTTGAAAATATCACAAGTGAAGCCCCTGCAAATTTGAGCAAATCAGCGTGACGAAAGTCTCAAATTCTCGATACTAGAGTCGCACTGCGCGCTTTTGAAATTGCGAGATCGCGGCTCAACTTACGAACGATTTATCTCAAGAGACATTGCTCGCAGCGCGTCGCAAATTGTTTCAACCGACCGCTGAGAGTTTTCTATTCGACCTGGATATTTGGA